TCCACCGCCTCATAAGTTAATTGCTCCAAGCGTTCTCCATCTTCATCCACAGTCATCTCCGCTTCAACAATCGTCCCAAAACGCGTCCCATCTCTTTGCTTTCATATTTCGATGCTTCTTCTACTCCTCCTGTTTCCTCGTCTGACACACTCTACTCCTCGGCATGGCGATGCATATTTCTTCGCTCATTTCATGAATGCCATCTCTTTCGTTGTTCTTGTGCTGTGTTTGCTATCCTTCTACATTTCGTTGTTACCTCTTTGATTTTAGGCAATCCGATTTCCTGTGCCCGAATCCTTCCACAGTGGAAGCCACTTTCCGCTGAAACTTCTTCTTTCTTGAAATCCGCTACTGCTCCCAATTGTCCCTGTCTAATTTTATCCGTTTGACTTTTCCCCTTTTGGGGGGGTACCTTTTTGTCCCGTAGCTTCCCCTTCTTCCGTTCGAGCCTTGCTTGTCTGGGCAATCTTGTTGCTTGTGTCCGATCTTTCCACAGTCCTGCATCTGCTCCTTGAATTGTTTCCTCTCCATCATGAAAGCTGATTTCGCCATTGTGTCCGTTTCGACTTGATTCTCGTGCTTAATCTCATCGTAAATTTCTCATAAGTCATCCACCACACTCTTTACCGTTATTCCATGTCCTGTTGTCATTGATCCTTATCAGAACATTTTCTTCACTTCATTGGTACACCCGAGTTCTCCTTCCTTCTTCGACATCTTCTCGAGAAGGTCCTTGATTACTCTCTCGTCCGATATCTTGAACCCAACCTTCGCTAGCTTCTTGCGTTTCACGTCGAGTCCAATCTCAACTTCTTTGGGTTTCCTTGATGTCCATCTTTATCGCTAGTATTCCTTCGTCGAGCTGCTACCTTACCACTGTCTTCAGCATCGTAGAGGTCCAGCATGGGCTCCCACATGCCCTTGAACTTTCCAAGCAGCATGGTCAGTCGTTGGTGTGAGGCCAGTAGTTCGAAGGCGACTTGCCCTTTGATGGTCTCCACATGCATCGAATACCAGCAGTAATTCCAGCAGCCCTTGCTGTTTCTCTTCTGCAAGACTTTCGATCTTTTCTACTTCGCCTCCGACCAACTTGCCCCGTACCTGTGGGTTTTCCAGTTGTCCGGTTTGATCTCCGTAGAGTCTTTCATCAGTTCTACGTACCCATACTTCGATAAATGGGCCATCATCTTGACCTTGTAGAACCTGAACTTCTCATCTTTCTCCATCGAAGAGGGATACTTGCTCGACGATGATACTCACTACCTCCGTAGACATCTTTCTTACTTCTCAATTCTTATTCTTTTCTGTTTGACAACCTGGATCCAAGCTCACTCTTTCCTGATAGCTATCGTTTTAAAACGTGTTGAAAAGGTGTGAACTTGAACGCCCAATTTTCTAATTTAATCAATATCCCTCCAGCTCTACTGTCTAGTAGACTGGGCTATTCTGTTATCGTTTTCTCTTGCTCTCTCGTTCAGATTGTGAGCCTACAACTGAGCTCCGATATGCATACATATACCAGGATCTTTCGATCCTCTGCTTCTCGCAGTTTCATCTACAGATAGATCTTGTCGATCTATCTTCCTGAAGTTCATGGTTGGCCCTGGAAGGGCTTTCCCACTTTACTAAACCGATGACCTTCATCCGTCCATTCATTTGCTCCATCCACGTCGCTCCTTGCATTCATCTCTTCGACCTAACTTCCTAACCTTTGTAGTTGCATCATCTAGACGACCATTGTCCTCGTTCCTCGTACACCTGGCCATCTGATGATGATCGGATAACCATCTGATTTGAGTCACACATCCCCAATCACGAACCGTGATTGTGGATCCCGAGTCGTCTGTCCGTCATACGAAAATACCTTTCTGACATTCGAGCTACAATGCTCGCCACCCAAACTCGACCACTCTAGCTAGCGAGCACTCAGTTTTGCAAGGACGACAATGGCGGCTTCAGTTGTGGCTTGGCGGCGGCAGCTACACGCTGTTTTGAGTCCTATCAGAGGCAACAGAAGCACCTTCTTCAATGGATCACTACTGTTATCATCATGCCGACAACCAGTGGTTGCTCATCATTGGCCGTCATCATCATCTATCTTTATTCGAAGCACAACACACAGCAGCAGTGACGGCCAGCAATCACATCAACAGCCACAACCACAAGTCCGTCTATCTAAGTTATTGTCTCAACATTCCTCCAATCTGGCGATTAGTCGACGAGAAGCCGAACGGTTGATCCAAGGAGGCCATGTCACTGTGGCAGGGCAAGTCATGACATCTCCTCACTTTTTGGTCGAACCCACCAGGAATACCGTCAAGGTCCACGGCAAGGTCGTCCAGCTCTTGTCCAGTAGTACTAGTACAAGCGAGACGAATAGTAGTAAAATATGGATTGTCCACAAACTCAAGGGAGAATTGGTCGCCGACTTTGATCCACATGGACGACCCACCATGATGGAACGATTGATACGGAGTGGTGTGGGACAGAACAAGAAGCAAAAACTACACATCAAACCCATTGGAAGACTCGACATGATGACAGGTAATTACCTTAACTAACTAACTATGTTTGGGAAGAGGAGTGACAATGATCATAAACAGCTCCTTTATTCTCACTCGACATGCTTGATTTCTTTCGTTCCTCTTCTTGAAACCTCCAGAAGGACTCATGTTGGTCACTACCAGCGGTCGCTATGCGCGTGACATGGAGTTGCCAGTCCATCAACTACACAGAACCTACCGCGTGCGGGTTCATGGACCACTCACACGATACAAGATACAAGCCATTCAACGAGGAATTACCATTACAAACGACGGCACAGGTGGCACTCGATACTCTCCCATGAAGGTACAGCTCGAACAACATCGACAACGACGATCCTCCACCAATTCGTGGATTACAATCTCCTGTACCGAAGGGAAAAATCGACAAATTCGAAATGTTCTCCAGCATCTAGGGTGTAAGTGGATATCAATACCCAACCATGCCTCTGTCATCATTGCGATTGCTATGAGTGCGCATTGGTCTCACTGATCATCCCTGTTTGTTTCATAATGACGACGATTTGGTTTTGCTTTCTATTGACACCAATAATTGACTTTTTCACAGTGACAGTGACGCGTTTGATCCGAATCTCGTTTGGAGACTATCAGCTTCAAACCATTCCACCGGGAATGGCTGTGGAAGTGCCACTCAAGGATCTAAACAAACAGGTACACAAGGGACCACTTTTTGGCAATAGACGAAACAGAAACAGAATCGCCAAGAAGACACCAAAACAAGAGGAACCAAAGGCATCGCCGGTGCAATGGATACGTCATTATCGGTAGTCAGGTTGTGATACCTCTAGAATACTGTAATGTAATGTGGTTGATGGACAAGAACGTGACAACTTGCTTCTGCATCAGTAGAGACATGGCAACTCTCTTGAGGATGCGACAGTCTACTAGAGCACGCTTCTTCTTGATTGTTGCCTGCGGGAGTGCGCATTGGCCACTTCTCACGATTATTATGAAACAATATACTAGTAATCTTCTGCCCACCAAAGGGCCTACCGTACTATGGATCCTGTGTACAAACACAGCAAATAAGTCCCAAGAAGGATACCATGAACTGCCTCCTGCAGGTCAAGGGATTGACTCGAGGAGACACTGGCACTCGGGGTGGCGCATTGACATCATCCTTCCTACACATCGGCTTCGGTCTGCTGTATCACGGATATTCACCTTGCGGGACGAGGAGCTGAGGATGAAGAAAGCCTACTAGTACTTGGTCTCACGACCGGACACAATCACTGGCTAGCTGCTCAATTGTTGCCCAGTTATATACTATTGCCACAGCCACTCCCCAGTTGCTTGCTAGACAGGTAAGCGGCTGATATTGTCTTCCGCAATAACGAGACTGTCTTTTGTATAATCATGATTTATATATATGCAGTGAGTTTGTAGTTTATCTTTATTGCAAGATGTGGACTTCCACGTCGGAAGAAGCTAGTGAGAGCAAGGTTTGAAGTGTTTGGAAGAACTGGGGCTCAGGAGGAACGGGCGGCTACGGTAGCTAGCTAGAGTCTGCCATCATCATGAGGAGCATGGTATTTTCCGTTCAACCAAGTCATTGAGTCCAACCGAAAGACTGGATCACAGAGAGCCATCTCCGTATCCTTGAGAAGGGAAGCGGGCCAACCCCCACGCTTCTTTTTGGGGTGAGGCGGTAGTGTTGCTGGAGGATTTGCGGATGTTTCCATGGGGATGGCCAGGTTCGGTGAATCGGCATGCCCAATTCGCCAAGGCATGACACCTAGCCCCGGGATGGAAGTTGACCTGGCCAGGTCAAAGAAATCGTTTGATTCTGACCGGACTGCGGGCATGATGGGTCCAAACCCCGGAATGGAAGGTGATCTCGTCGGACCAAACAGATCGTTAGTGGTCCTCTTGGAATATTGAGGTGCGGACGACCTTGCAAGGCGGTCTTCCAAAGCTCCAAGGCGGGCTTCCAAACCTTGAATGACCGTGTCCTTGGTGGCATCATGTTTCTTGAGAACTCTAATGAGGGTCGACTGCTCGATGTTGGAGGCATCCAAACGCGCCATGGTCCTTCTCAGTTCACTTTGAACATCTTCCAGCTCTTCGAGCCTCGTCTTCAGCGCCTTTGCTTCTTCGGTACTCTTTGGCTTATTGGAGGACTGTCTGGTGATCCTGTTCAGCAGATCCGGTCGTCCCCGCTGAAAGAACTTGTGACGGAAGACATCAATCCGCGTGAAGGGAACATCCTTACGGATGGATTGCCTGTGTGAGCGGGCGAACTGATATTTGTTCAGCTGTCGCCTGAAAGAAGCATATTTGTTGGTGCCAAAGAACTTAACGCCAAGAATAGTGCGTTCCAAAGCGTCGATGTCCTTAATCTCGAATGCATCGCCTTCCTTTGTCCTGAAGAAACGTCAAGGAGACAAGCATGATGTTAGTAATGGTAATAGACATGTTGAGGAATAACCGGCAAAACAGTCGAAGAAAAACCAATGACCTACCATGAGATAATGTGCGGGTAGTGCTGGGTGCCGTCTTCAACCAGTTGATAGGTTGCTGCAGGGAAAGATGATTCGATTCAGAAGAGTGAGAGGCAAAATCAGCAAGCGATATTGCCTTTTTGAATCAACAACACTTACATGGAATCACCAAATTGTTTGCAGACACTCCACGGCTTCTGGAGGTTATGACGAACTCTCCAGAGTTTGAGTTTTCCTCGCCTCCACCGATAGTAGAAGCGATCGACACCACAGAAGCTCTTCGACTGCGGTCATCGGAGAACACGCTCTCGCTGTCAGAAGCCATAGTTTTTTGATCTCTCTTGAGGTTTGCTTAGCTCGAACGGATCTTTGTTCAGATCCAGAGGTAGTCGAAGGAAAAATATGAGGGGGTGGCTTGGGGCTTTGGCCTGAGCTGAGCCGTGGAATTGTGCTTTTGAGCTGTCGTGATTTTGGCATCGGACCTGAGACCCGACAGGAATTGATCCCCATCTGAATTGGAAATGTCCTTCTACTGAAAAGAGCACACAAAAGTGCGCATTCGGAACCTTTTGGTGGTCCCTTGTCATCCAGCTCATCCTGTTGGGTCCCAAGTAGATCTTCAGCTGCGGCTGTCTACTGTCTACGACTGTAACCCCTTCCGCAGCAGAGTGTAGCACCAGTAATAAAGAAAGGCTTTGCTCAAGTCACCGTTCTCCATCCGCTCGTCCACTCCAACGTCATCCAAGTCTTTGTGGATGGCTCAGGAGTCTTCTTCAACTGTTGAGGGTAAAGTACATGTGGCATGTTGCGTCCGGTGTCATATCAGCCTGGCTGTACAGAATCTGATGGATGTACCAGATCTATTGGGATGAGAGAAGATGCTTTCTTCGTACTTGTTGGCACTGCATGTATTGAGCTAGACTACAGTATGTACGGTATTGTTACAAAGAATATAAAGAACCCTTCATCTTCACCTGGCTGATTGGCGGATATGGAGCTACATGCATCATTGCTGAATGCAGAGTGCTACTGCACCAGTGCTAGCTAGTAGCTTTCCTCCAGATGTTCGACCTCCTCTCTGAGCTACAGGTTACATCATGAGTTCTATCGGTAGGGTGGTGATGGTCTTTCCTCTTTGCCCTTGTTTCTCAAAAGGCGGGAAGAGAATCTTTCGGTGGTACCGGTAAACCTACATGTAGTACCGTATCGAGAAGCAACAGAGTGCTCGAAGCCTAAACCCAGCAGCGAAGGAGTCAGCCACGATAAATCCAGCCAATAACACTACCGTATCGAATTATTCACTGCAAACTATTTAAAAAAAGGACTACGATGTACTGTAATAATCGGCTACGGTACTGTCTGACCTTGTGACCATCGTGCTCATCAGTACAGTTGCGCTGCAAGGCCAAAGAGGACACGATGGACCCATTGGCGGATTCTTCAGCCAGCATCCAGTAGTATCCTCACGGTTGCTTGCCTCAGTTTCACTACAAGCAAGAGGAAGGATACGAGGGGGCCCTTGTGGACTCGACGAACCGTTGCCTAAGTTGCATTGCAAGCAAGCAAGCAATAAGGAGACGACGGGCTCCTTGACGGACCCTATCGACGGACTCAGCGGCGCCCGTCTTGATGGGGTTGGGGTGGAACCCAATAGTAGCCTACCTGAGGCAATACCAGCCTTGCACTTAAGTGCGGGGCAAACCCTGACCCCTGATTCAATCGAGATTCTTGGGCGTGGGCCAGAGGGGTCTCAAGGGCTGACAGGTCTGCTTTTGAGTATGAACGTGGCCTTGGATCCCTCTAGAATCCCCGCGAGCCACGACTGTTACTCTACAAGATCACAGCTCCGCAGGGAAGTGTGGATCAGTCGATGATTTCTACTGTAGTTGCGTGCACCAAAAGAATAGATCAATGACTAGAAAACATGCCGTCGAACGCACCGGGCTCCTGTGGACACCGGCTGCGGCTTGCCCTTCCTCGGGACATAGCAATCCGGCATCAAGTGGGACCATGCTATTTTCGCTATGGTGCGCAAATGTGGGCCAATCAGACCCTTGTAGTACATGACATTGCACGTATGTGAAAGCAGCAGGCCGAGAGTGGCAGGTGCAAGATTCCCGAAACAAACCGACAGCCAGTCAGCTAGCTATTCTTCCTATTAGCGTCGTGGGCAAGAAAGATACGATGGAACGGTGACAGGCTCTTCTCCGTTGAGTCCAGTCTGATCCAAGAGATGAAGCTCCAGCCCTGTTACAGCAAATTTCAACAGCTACCAAAACGCCACAAGAGCTTTGGCTTTCAAGCTTGGGGTCATCCACACATCCACACTGTGATCCGAAAAATTGTTTCCACTCCCACGGAAGCAATCCAGTAGCCCTAACCGGCCACCTTACGAAGGCCTTTAGGGATACCGGTAGCTCGCGAACGTGCCAGTTATGGTCCCAACGTCCCATCAAACAGCAGCTTAACAGTTCGGAGAAGAGGCTTTTCGAGAAGTAGAGATCCACTATGATCCAACTACTTGGATTACCTCTAGTTTCAGTGTTAAGAAATCAAGCGAAGATCTAGCTTTCTGGTTTGACCGTGTCCATGAACCAACACCTGAAACAACGCGGTAATCATAGCAACAATCTACGAAACCTTTGAAGTGATCTTGAAATCTTTGACTTAAAATACTACCGTATAGTGTATGCCATACCGTGTGGTAGTCGTATCCATACCGGTAGCATTAGACTATCAGATTGAGAAAATTGTGCGCTTGGGTCAAGGGACAAATATGACATACGGTAGCTCAGCTACGATGTAGCTATATCGTAGTCAGTAGACAATAGTGTGGGAACTATGTACCGGAGACCATTTTAGAATACTGTATGTACCGGTACCAGTTGCTCTTGAAAAATAAATGCCTTCAGCCTTTGGTGGTGCAAGTTGGAGTCTTATAATCAAGGTTCTATAGTTTTCATTTTGTGTGTTGAAGAAACTGACCAAGCCATTTAAAAGCAGGTGTCCAGGACATACTGTGCTTAATAGGAATACATCCGAATTGATCTATTGGTCTTTGTGGAAATCTCGTTATTTAAGGAATATTTCTCTTCATATTCATTTTGAGAAGCCACCCTGAAGCAGCAACGCAGCAACCTCCTTCCAAGAACATCAGCCTGCAGGTCACAGTGGCTTTGCAGTAAGAGGCCAAATGAGAACACTAACCACTCGGTAGCTCGAGGAAGATCTCAGTGAAACTCGTCACGATCCAATGAAATCCTTGGATTCACTCGTGCCAGATAGCTCAGCTCTCCCTCTCAATCTTAGCAACTGCGAGTTTATCTCCCAAACAGACCCACAGACCCACAGCTCTTCTCATAATCCCAAAGCCACAAGCAATTTCAAGCCATCTCAACCAAACGAAAACGAAGTCTCACTAGTACATCCACTTCTTCTTACCTCCTCATCACAAGTTTCAGTTCAGTTCAGTTCAGTTCAGTTCAGTTCAGCTCAACTCAGTGATGCTCATGCCAATGTCCACAAACTCTAACCAAGAAATGCCAGCCCTCGCAGGAAACAAGCGCCGCAGCCCAACTGACGAGCTCAGTGATGATCTCCATTACTCCGGCGATGAGAAGGTTGTGCAGACCACCAAGAGCAAGGGGATCGTCAATGTTCAGCTTTTCATTCGAAGTAAGTGCGCTTGACAGAATGATATCGGGAGAACGAGCATTTGCACAAGTCGAGTATCGAACACAGTAGCTTACACTTCCTTGTCCTCTCCGACTTGTCCTCAACTACAGAGGCCTTTGCGATGATCAACGAATGCGACCCCAACATCGCTTCTTGGACCGACGAGGGCGACAAGTTTGTCGTCAAGAACAAGGACGTCTTTGCTGCTAGCGTGATTCCTCAGTACTACGACCACAGCAACTACTCCAGCTTTACTCGTCAGTTGAACTTTTATGGGTTCACCCGAGAACAATCCATGACCATCAAGGTCAGCGACCTCAACTCTCTCGCTGTGGGACAGGAGACCTTCTACCACCAGAACTTTCAGCGCAACCGCCCTGATCTTCTCAAGAACCTGCAGCGCAAGTCCAGTGACAACAAAAACGCCAAGAAGCGCAAGAAGCCCCGCACCGACGCGGATGTTGGATACCTTCAAGGAAGGATGGAATCCATGGAAGAGACAACCAAGGAAATGCTAAGCACCATCAAGCTCATGCGCGAAGAAAACTTTGCTTCCGTGGCAGCCATTCGCGACCTTCAGAACGTCAACGCGGCCAAGGACGAAAAGATTGGTGCTTTGGAAAAGCGCATCGAGTGGTTGGAGCGTCGTTTGACATCGTCCGCAGTTCAGCGCGAAGAGTCTTTCTTAAGTGCTGGTCAACGCTTGTTCGGAGGCGCCGCCAGCCAGACCAAGAATGCTTGGGCCACCGCAGCAGAGAATGTTGCTCATACCTTTGCTCAAGCCCAACAGCAGCAACAGCACACCGATAACTCCTACTTGACATCCGCAGCCAACGGTGAAGTTGCTGATGCTACCTACAGCCACTCGGAAGCAGGGGCGACATTGGCTCGCCATCCCAAGATGAAGCGAGCAACCGCTGCCCCTACCAAGGATATCTATGCCTACGATGCGGCAGCAACCATGGCCAGCATTGGCAACTTGAACGCCAGCACAAACACTGCTCCCATGCGGGAGACCTCTCTGGACTTTGGATTGTTCACAGGCCTGGCCCGTGAGAGCTCCTTGCTCTCCTGGTTGCCACAGGCTCGCCAGGGAAACAACGACAAGACTCTCTGACTCTGATGGGCAACAAATATTCAAGCCAAAGGCGAACAGGAACGCCTACAGAGCTGCAGTCGTATAGACAACTCCCTTCTTCCGGCCACCTCCCAATTCCGCTGTCCTCATGTTCACTATTCGATCTTGCATTCTATTCTAATACCAGTACTAGAGACACACTACATTATTAAAAGTTTTTTCTTTCTACTTTGGCGCCTCAGCGTCAACATCAAATCATCCGGCTCCAGTAGGTGGCTAGGTTGTAAAATCAGCTGCGCAAAGAACCAGAGAGTTGATCCCGCACCAAACTGGCAACTGAAGTGCCAAACAACCTACAGGTTGTGCACTTCACAGGATTACGGCTCCCTTTTCTACTAGCTAGCTAGCTAAAGCTCCAACTCCTAACTACTGATCCATTCCAACGAATAGATAGCACATAGTTGTTTCCAACCTACAGGTTGTGCACTTCACAGGATTACGGCTCCCTTTTCTACTAGCTAGCTAGCTAAAGCTCCAACTCCTAACTACTGATCCATTCCAACGAATAGATAGCACATAGTTGTTTCGCACTAGTAGCTAGCTAGCTACTAGTATGATTAGAGACAACGGCAGCACCGGGACAGCAGCAGAGTTGAATATCGAAGGTTCAACTGTGCTCTGGAGCGAAAGCCAAAAGTGAATAGCGAGAAGGTGTGGACAGTGTGGGCACAGATTTCTGTAAGGAGCTTGGTGGAGTCCACAAGAGCATCTTCATGCGTGTAGCCAAAGGAATGACAGAGTCTAATTATTGAAGGAAACACACCATAACTCAATTATCGCGAATCGGCCTACCACTTCCGGCTCTCTCGGAGCATCACGGTCGTTCATCGATGCACCAAACATGGCCTTGGAACTGCACTGGACACCACTGGACTGGAGCTACCGTAGCTACATGACGAGTGTACAGTGTCCAACGTAGATAGCTACTACCGGTACCACTCGCGTCAATTGCCAAAGCCAAGATCCAAGTCTGGTCAAAAGGATACCATACTGCAGTAGCATATCAAGGTCATGATGGTTCTCTCATCGCGAAAGCCCCACTATCCCACACTGGCTGCTCAGTTCAGTGTCTGAGTCCCAACGCACCGGTTCTGCGGACGCTGCCGATAATGGCCCACTACAATGGCACGTATTGGTTAGCTAGAGCTAGTAGCCCACAGCGTTGGGCGACAAGCATGCCTTTCCCCCTCATAAAGAAGAGCTCTGCAGGTACCGGTACAACCCGATTGGATGAGATGGGTTCCCCCAAAGAGGGACAAGATCAGTTAGTTTAGAAGCAAAACAAACTCATGTCATCCATGGGTTGGAGAGGTTCAATTGAGCACCGGTAGCTTGGTGGTGGTGGAGGGGGTTGCGGTATCACCGTGTCATTACCAAGACGGCAACAGCACAACAATCCAAGTAGTTTGCCAAACTAGCCTGTACTGACTTTTTCGCAAAACAAATTTCTTCCCTAACTAATATCTGTTTTTAAACTATCAAGTTGCTGCAAAGAGTCACAACAGCAATCCAAGAATCACAATCTAGCCTTCGATCTTTGACCAATTCTTTCGGAGACCACAGGCTTCCAAGCAACGAGCGTCCTCGCTGGAACGGAAGTAATCGGCGTACAAAGTGCACAGTCCATTCCTCGCGATGGCTTGGCACCAACCCAAAACAGGTTCACGAGGCTTGGTGATAGTAACATCGTAATAGCTGGACTTGACAGTTTGAGGACCCAAGGCATCTGGATCCTTGTTTTTGGTAAGCACCAAATCACGGGCTCGGGCTGCCATAATCGTAGCATCCTTGCGAAATAGTGCTGCTGGGTAAATTGTGTAGTCAAAGAGAGCCTTTTCAATGTCCTCTTGATCATGGAGTTGCTTCCTTTCCTTGACGCGCTCCCTATCTAATTCTCGTTCGTGCTCTTTGGAGTATCCCGGGCGACGTCCCTTGACGTGTTTCTTTCCAAGGGCCGTATTGGGTGTGTAGTTGATGAGGAACGACTCCAAATCACCAAGTGGAAGGACCGCTTGTGGAGCCTTCGGGCAGTTCTTGGAATCAGGACTCTCGTGTTCACATACAAGACCCTTTACCATTTCTAGACGCTGTCGTTCTGTTACCATCCAGAAAAAGTTGGATCCACCTTCGATAAGAGGGGACACGGCTTCGTTCGCGTAAACCTCCGGAGACGTTGGCATTTGGAGTTCAGCAAAGAAAATCCACCACTGACCACACTCTTCCTTCTCTGCCAATCGCCGCTTGGTACTTGTACCGGCAGAGCACATGGACTTGACGCCTCCAGCACCGGACAGGGAATCAGGGATCCATGTCATGTCAAAAGAATCTCTGCAAATTTCCCAAGACGCGGGGTGGAAAAAATCTCCATGCATGCGCCATTTGGCCACCTTGCTGTTTTCTTCGCTGACGTAAGACACCCGTACAAACGAGGGGATCAAGAACGGACTCGAGGGGGCGTTCGAAATGGCAACCGTTGTACCGTCAGTGGCTTGTTCCGGGGAAGGCTTTTGGTTGACAGGGGACGCAGCAGCAGCGGCGAGATCGGCACTGGCTTGCAAGAAGGAGTTGACACTACGAATAGTGACGAGGGACGACCACTTCATTGCCACGTACAAGTCATGGTCGTCGCTGCTGATGAGATCGGGGTGAGTAGTTTTGGAAGATCCAGGTTGCTTGTTGCTCTCGTCGCCAAGGAAAGGAGGCGCCATGACCAGATCCTGCATGCGTCGCTCCATAAAGCCACTCTTAAGATCATGGCAAGTGTCTGCTGTTGAGGCACTGGCAACGACCACAACTTGGACGGGACTGGCTCGTTCTTCCACTTTGTATCCATCCTTTGGCTTTTCATTGATTGGAACGGGTGGTTTTCCTCCGCAATTGACCAACATGGAATCCATCCATTCGGTCCACTTGGCCGGAATAGGCTCGCAGACGAGCATTTGGACACGAGCAGCGATTTGTCCAGTAGCGCACATCGAGTTGATTTCCTTCAAGTTCCGCTCCAGATGTGAAGCAGCCGTCTCCTGCTCGGACATCCAAGGCTTGGGCCCCTTGGCGTCGATCGTGGGAGGATTGGTTTCCCAGAGAAGAGTGGTTCCACGTCCTGCGCCTACAGTATTGATAGTAAATAGAATGCGGCATCGATCCATCGCTCCAGAAGGATTGTTGTTGGCTGATCCACCGAACCAATCATTCCATAGCGTTCCTTTGCCAGTGTTGGGTCGAGCAGGACTTCCCATAGCAAGACAATTCTCCAGTAGGCGAATGTGGGATTTGACTTCCTTTTCCGGTGCTTCGTCAATCTTCAGGAAAAAGTCTTGAAATTCCTTACCACCACCAGGCTCCTCGACAAAGCGCGCAGAGACAACTCCAGAATCATCGCGTCCTTCAAAGTAGTCGGCCTTTCCGCGAGAGCGTGAGAACCGGTAAAAATATTTCTGAAAATGAACGCGATGGAAAATAGAGTGAGAAACGAACGATAATTCCATAATTTGTGCTCCTGCAATGCAACGCTCCGATACGGGCCGAAATAATAATGAAAGGGATCAGATAGCGATTCTGATGTGTAAAGTGTCCTCAAGCGAAGGGTGACTTCGGTCTTCGGATGAACTATACTTTGTGCTAAGGTATCCTCCTATCCCCTTCCATTCGTTATCTTGCAGATTGATCCTCTTAGCAACCACAGAACCTACCTGCAATGGACCGGTGTATTCAAACCAGTACTTGACTTCCTCGGGTGGCGTTTCGTCAAACAGTTTTTTTCGCTCTTTCAAATCCTTCATCAGACCGCTCATGTAAGCAGGAATTCCGTCCACGCCCAAGAGACGTCGATGGGGAGTTTCTACTTTGGCAGCAGCGTTCTGAACAGGACTTCCACGGTCTGACAATGTCGTAAAGGCACTCCACAAAAAGGCTGTTGCCAATGCCAACTTGAGCACCGTCGTCATCGAAGAGGATGAACGCTGAGAGGTCATCGTTTCTTCATCTTCGTTATCTGGTCGCCGTTCTTCTGCTTTCTGCTGATCCGCCATGGTGTGGTCTCTCTACAAAACTAGTCTCTGGTATGAAATGCTATTTGAATGCTACCAAAAATGAAGAGGTGCTTTAGCAACTGGTGAATTTCGTTCACGTGAGGTTGACTGCGGTTTCGAATAAATCGACTGTCAGGACTCCCTCCAAGATCGCCTGCAGGCGCCGTTGGGATGCGGACGGCGCCATGCAAGACTCACTGGCAATGCCTATTGCATGTGCTCCACCAAAGTTGCAAGTGAGTGAAGGGTCATTGCATCGTTCTTGGCGCGGTTTTGTTCACCTGCTGCAACTCCTGCTTCCTGCTGCATGGGGGTATGTACCGGTACATGTATGCATGCTTTGCAAACATACTAGCTAGTACTTTAGAAAGCTTCAAAGGGAGACTATCATCGTGCTATGTTATCAGGTGGTCAGCACCACAGCTGAGAGCCAGCAGCCATACCAGTCCAGAAGCTGTGCTGGGGTGGAAAGCAAGCAAGTTTCTATGCACAACTACTAGCTAGAGGGTTATTTTACACCGCGCTCGATTTCGGCTATCCCGTGGCTCATCAGAAGGTTTCAATTCCAATTTGGCTTGACCTGTGAGACTTTTGCTTTCCCACCCCCTGTGCTGTAAGAATGGGATCCTTTCACAACTATCGTTTTCTAGCTAGCTAGACCTGCGCTCTGTCCAACTAAATGCGTAGAGCTGCAAAGAGCCATTGAACGGGAATCGTTGGCAGCCAAATAAGCATGAGGTTTCAACGTACTAGTACATGTATAGCCATCTCCTCCTTTCCTTTCCTTTTGTCTCGGCCTCTACTAGGCGTCCAAGGCTAGTTTCCAAACTACTAGTACCGGTACCGGTACTAAATCATTACTGCCGGCTTTTTAACATAGAACACAATGGAAGGTTCGAATAGCTGACTCAGCCTCCTCCCGTTCTCACGAATGACGGCAACAAGGCCAGCTGATACCGTACCCCCCCACACAATTACCTCTTCGTATCAGCTATCATACTACTAGCTCGTTGTTGATTTCGAAGGAAACAATCATAATTGAACTGTCTACAACATGATGAATTTTTTCAGCCTTGTTCTGTTGCAATTATTGGTGTCCTTGGTTGCCGTAGCATCCTTTGCGGTGGTTCCACCGGTCTCATCGTCTTCGAAACCAATTCGCTCTGCATCGCACTTGTATGCAGCTGACGGGGCGCCACAATATGACAAATTTGACGGCGTTTTGCAGCAAGCAGCTTCATGCTTCATGTAACACTGGCAGACCCAAAGCAAGATATCCAGTTGGATTACCAACCCGGCCATGTGCTGGCTCTGGAATTGGAAGACAAATCCGATGACCTCAATGATGATGCCAAGAGAAATGGTGGCTGGATGCGTGGACCATACACTGTGAGTCGATCCTCCAAAGACTCCATTGATGTTCTCGTCCGAGTGGTGGGCAAAAAATCCAAGGCATTCTCCGAATCGCCAGAGGGAACCCCCGTGAGATTTGGGGGGAAATTCAAAGTTCCAATCCTGGTAGGGGTCAAGAAGGAGGATACCAAGTCAGTGGTTCTGGTCTCCACTGGAGTTGGCATTGGCCCCTGTGTGGGAGCCATTGAATTGGCTATGGAAGACGACAGTTTTCCGCCGATTGCCCTGTTTGCTTCGTTTCGCGATCCCGAGGATGTTGTTTACGACGACTATCTCAGCCAAATGGCCAAAGAGAATCCCACCAAGTTCCAATGGCATCCCATTGTCACCAGCGAATCTGGCAGGATCTCTAGTTGTGAAGAAAACTTGGAACATGTCTGCAACTTTGCTACGCCCGATAGTCACTACCATATGATTGGCAATGGCCAGCTGGTGAACGAGTGGAAAGCAGGGTTGGCACAGGCTGGAGTTCCAGAAGACAAAGTGACAGTAGAACAATACTTCAATCACAAAGCGGAATCGGACCAAGGTGCAATCAACAACATTGCCAATGCCATTGCAATGGCTTGCGCTGTTGAGGCATGATCATAACATAGACAACTCTTCTCCTTTTTACGACTTGGCAGAATCAGATTGGGCCACTCTAGCTAGCATTGATCAGTACAGGTATCCCCAAAACACGAACTTGCATCTAAAAGGCAAACGTTCCACAAAGGTACACCGTTCCTTGGCTGCGGTGCTCATATTTAGACTGATCATTCATTCCATGGGCAACCATTTTCTCAGACCCATTGCAAAGCGTTCAGTTGCCCATTAGCAGCAGCATTGCGGCAAGTGTCACCCCCGACTTCTTCGATTTAATTTTCACAGGCCCATTCATACACGTCCAAAATCGCATGTTCTCCATGTTCATTCCAGCAGGCCAAAATGCCCATGTTCTCCGCAGCTGCAGCACAGGTTTCTTCATTCCAGTTGTCTTGTCATTGTAGGATCTCAAACTGAACATTCTCTCAGTAATACGGTAGCTGAGAAGGTGTTCTCACCTTGGGAAATGATGGCTTGTGCTTCAGACGCTAACCGTGGGGCACCTCCGTGGATGCATGCATTTTTTTGTCCTGCGGGACTGATGGATACTGGAACCGTCGTTGATCTTCTTCTATTTGCCATGGCAAGAACCGATGGAGACGATGTATACCACAACATGAACTCTTATCAGCAAACCAACTCTAATCCAACACCCTCCACTATGGAACCCGAAGATAATGAAGGCGGTGAAGCCAGTGGTATCATCGTGTCTACAATCGACCGAACATGGGCATCAAAATCCTTGTGGAATTTCATTTGGATGAGTGTGTTCTTCAGTGCCAATCACGGGTGCGTTGTGGCTTGTTTGTCGCTTGCCACTGCTCGTCTTGGGTCAGTAGGGGCCTGGCAGAGTGGAATCTTGTATATCTTCTACACTGGATCTGCTGTCTTGGGAGCCACCTACGTTGTCAAACAGCTCGGCCCGAGAAATGCTCTGATCACGGGAATGGGACTGTACTGTGTCTATGTCGGATGTTTCCTTGTAGCGACTCTGTCGCCGGAGATTGAAACCCCTGCGGCATTATTGGGTGCAGCCGTTGGTGGAGTGGGAGCAGGGTTCCTGTGGACGGCACAAGGTAGGTATCTGGAGGCTCTTGGTAGTGGATGAATGGAATGAATCGTGTTCTTTCTCACTTTTCTCATCTTTTCTTGTTTCTTGTCTCTATCTGCCAGGATCTTACTTTAGTAGAGCTGCAGAGGACCATGCACAAGCCCTGCAGCAGCCAGTACAAGAATCGAATCAACGGATGGCTTCCATCTTCGCCTTCTTGTACCTGGCTGAGGAAGTAGGCTTGAGGGCTCTGTCAACACTCTTGCTGGGACAAGGATTGTCCTGGTCGGTGGTATTTGGCAGTTACAGTGCTGTGACAGTGCTGTCTACGTTTTGTATGGTCTTTGTCCGTGATTATCCGACCACCAGCAACTTGAGTGTGTCAACTGCAGAGGAGGAAACAAACACACAATCTACTGGTACTGGTCCATCTTCTTCGGTATGGTACAAGGTGACGGCCGCTTGGCAGCTTATGCGAAATGATCCCAAGATGAAATATATGATTGGTTTAAATGCCGTCTTTGGTTTTGCTGCGGCCTTTCTCAATTCTTATGTCAACGGAGAGGTGGTGGGTGTGGTCACCAATGATCCGCAAGCCAAAAGTGTGGGCATATTCAATGCTTGGGTCTCTTGTGTGGCAGCCGCCATGAGTCTGCTTTTTGGACGTGTCTCCAAGAAAGTTGGCAATGGCCCCGTACTGATTCTGGGGGCCCTGTGTTTCTTTGGGGTCGTATTTCCCTTTGTCATTATCCCCAATACGCGTCAGTGGGGTGTCGCTCTGCTCATTTTCATTTACACCTGTCATGGATGTGGACGAGCCACCTTTGAGGGGACACTCAAGGCAACTTTTGCAGACTATTTTGCCTACGAAAAGGAGGGAGCCTTTGCTTGTATTATCTTGCAGAATGGGTTGGCGGGGGCCATTGGCTACATCTTGACTTTTACGCTGCTGTGTTCGAAAGAGAGTCGATACTGCATTGCCTACAGCAACGGAAGTTTGCACGATGTGTTGTCCTTTGAGCTGCTCGTCATTGTTTCAGCTATGGCAGCCATTGGCGGGTACTGGCGAGCATCAAGCTTGCGCCAGGCGGAGATAAGGGCCATGGAAGCAGCAGCAGCGACGTCCGAAGACACTGCTATGATTCCATCCGCAGAGACGGAGTGACGAGCGCAGAATGATCTGATGGAAATTGAGGATCAAGTTGTCTGGACGTTCTGCCCCGGTTGCACCTCCGTAAAATGTCAACCGGAAGCTCGCGGCAATCATTCCAAGCGAAGTCGCAATGATCTAGCTAGTAGACCTAGCCATGGAGCAAGCTTGCGGTGCATTTTTGAGATGTTGGCTGCGTCTCCTTTCCCATCGCCGATGCCTTTGCTGACCTCAGACGAACAAATACTGGTAGCTACGGTATGTGTTCGTAGATTCAGGAGATGACAGGCTCCTGGAGCTTCAAACAGACCGATATATCTAGGACTCCTCTATGTGTCCGGTAGTAGCAACTAGTCTAGCTTCTATTCTCCAGCACACTCCATCAACGGTCGCCTTCAGTAGACTACCGTGCTTTTCTTCTCCGAATACTGGAGGAAGTGAAAAGGAGCAACGGAAACTTATAGTTTGACATAAGACAGGACGACACGATCGGCAGCGAAAGGAGGGGGTGAAGGATGGTCTTCAAGGACGCCATATCGGCACCTCTCCTCCGCAACTGTTTCGAAGCAAGAGCTTGCTACAACATGTACTGGTACCTGGTGGTCCACCGACGTCAAAAAGTCCATAGGTAAGTCTCGCAGATGCTTCCAACTCACTACCGGTACCGCTGCATGTTAACCTGACCTGCGCTGTTTTAGCCGCCCGCGGAAATTCCACAGTTACTGAGTATAGGTGCAACTACACATCCAACTACCCCATCGACTAACATAATGCTGACTACGTTGACATTTGCTTGTTTGCTTAGCGGAACTCTGGTCTAATATATTTTTACAATAAGAAAACCACTATGCACTAGCGCCCGTTCTTTCTCGTCTTGCTTCAACACGCTCTGAAGTTGCAATCAACTTAGAGGGAAGGGATGAGAGAAACTCCAAGCTTTTCGTGAACCATAAGGGCGAGGATTCCCATTTGGGCGGCACGTCCTTGGTTCAATTCGATGGCACGCTTCTGAAGCTTGGTCTCCTCATCAAAAGTATCCCATCCGTAGTCAAGGGCACCGTTGCGGAAGTCACCGACGTGTTCGTTTCCAGTGTTGGCAATGTCTTTCATGACGAAAAGCTCCAAGAATCCAATGAATCCAATAGTTTGGATCTTTCCGCTATCAGGGATGGCAGAAAGGGCATCGAATCCAGCGGGGATATCAGCGAACTTGGTTCCATCAAGGGCAATGTCACCGGGCAGACGGATTCCGGCGGCAGTGACGAGGTAACCAACAACGGCAAGCATACAGATGCGTCCGTGCTTGATCTCAACATATCGGAGACGTTCAAAGTTGTTGACATCAGATCGTGCGGCAATTCCAATGGGATCGAAGAATCCAAGAGGGGGCTGGGCTCCGAGTTCACCTTCGAAGGCCATGTTCAAGGCAGTGCTGGTAGCAGCCTGCTTGGCAGGTGCGAAAGCGGCCGCAGAGGCGATAAGGGTGGCGATGATGGCGGTCTTCATGTTTGGATATCGTTTGCAAATCTCGAGAAATTGTGAGGAAGGATGGTAGAGGCGAGGGCAAGCAAGTTGAGGCTCGATCTGATGAGCAACCAGCGATGCAAACCACGGATGCAACCACCGATGCAAGTTGAGGATTGGCTTCGGTGGCCCAAATCTCTTCGTTTCGCAGGCCAGCATCTTGAAGTTTCCTTAGTGCGTATCTTGAGTCGTCAATCATCCGTGACCAATCTTACGTGACGCATGAAACGTGAATAACTGACTTTATGGACTCCCGTGATCTTTCGAGTTCTCTTCTTTTGGCTTCGTCTTCGCTTCCGCTGCACTTCAAACACAAACCACAAACCACATACATCAAGAAGGTAATAGAGACGAGAAGCAATCAACACGATGAGCACCCAACAAGTTTTGGACTTGACATCGGCGCCTCCGTCTGGCAAGAAGGCTGTCTTGCTGTTTTGGGCTCCGTGGCATGAAGCTTCCGTGGAAGACGGTACAATGGGGCAGGTCCTGAAGGCATTGGCGAGCAGTTCTGCCTCGGATTCCAGTATTATTTTTGGCCGCGTGGAAGCCGAGCAAGTCCAAGAATTGACTGATAAGTACGGTGTGACGGCAGTTCCAACGTTTGTCCTGCTGGATGCTGGTGGTGGCGTGATGGCGCGGCTAGAAGGAGATGAAGATGTCGCCGGTGTCACACAGGCGGTCCAGAATTTGATTCAAGCGGCTGCTCCTACGACGAGTGCCGTCGAGACGAGCAAACCAGGCCCTACGCCCGAGGAACGATTGACGCAGAGACTGGACAAACTGATTCGATCTTCCGGCGTCATGGTCTTTATGAAGGGAGAACCAAAAGCACCACGATGTGGATTTTCGCGGCAAATCGTAGGACTGCTGGAAGAAGAAAAGATACCCTTTGGTAGCTTTGATATTTTATCGGATGAAGACGTACGACAAGGACTCAAGAAACATTCCAATTGGCCTACATATCCTCAACTATACGTCAATGGAGATCTTGTCGGAGGCCTGGATATTGTCAAGGAAATGAAAGAAGACGGAGCTCTCCGAGAACAATTGGGCATTAGCGAACATGACATTGCAACAACATCTCTCGACGAACGACTTGGCCAATTGGTTCGACGTCACAAAATCATGCTCTTTATGAAGGGTCTCCCATCGGCTCCTCGCTGTGGATTTTCACGACAAATTGTGGAGCTACTGAACGACATGGGTGTCAGCTACGACACGTTCAACATTTTGGAAGACGAAGAGGTTCGACAAGGTCTCAAAAAGTATTCGGATTGGCCAACGTACCCACAGCTATACGTCAATGGAGATTTGGTGGGAGGTTTGGATATTGTCAAAGAGTTGGTCGAATCGGGTGAAATGGATTCCATGTTGGATGGGTAGTCTATCTGGCTAGCTAGTCTTGTAGAATGCGGTCAATAGTGGATATTTTATTCACTTGCAGTCTTCACCTACAGCTAGCTAGCTAGCTAGAGACGCGTACTTTTTCGGACACGTGTTGGCACACCATGCATGGTGAGACCTCATGCCCAGATGCCAACTCGAGGACTTGCTAGCTACATGTACGACACCATTATGTTTGCTGCGTACGGTGGATATAGACTACCGGTACCAATGAGATTCTTTAACTTATTAGCGGGTGTAACATTGAATAGAGAATTACTTACTTTTTGTACATCGAAAACATGGAAATATAATGGTACGGGAATACTGTACATTGACCAGGAAAGGATATATATATATAGTATCATGCGGTAACATGCACATTCGTGGATATGGTTTCTGCAACGCAACCTACACAAAAAAGAACGTCCAACCAATAAAACGTAGAAAACATACAAGCCACTACTTCCACTACTGCTCCACTCTTGTTTTGGTTTTGCTCTTTCATGGCAACACCATTTTCTTCTTGGGCACAACTTCTGCGGCATCCGTGGACTTTCGTTTGGTAGCAGTCTGTTCTTGGTGTTGCTGTTGTTGTTGCTGTTGTTTGGCGAGTAGTAGTTGTGGAGAAGGAGTTCCACTGCGCAAGGGAGTCGACTCCAGCGTCAATGCCACTGGATCGGGTGGTCTATTGGTGGTGGTAACTACTGTCATGAGAGGACTGGGCAACTGTCTTGCTGCTGCTGATGCGTGTATTGGTAGTGGAGACTGTCTTGGCGGTTGTCTTGGCAAGTTAAAGTTTTGTGAAATGGAGGAAGATTGGGAGAGTGCGGAAGCGGGTCGATTGTTGTTGTTGTTTCTACTGTCGAATAGCTGTAGTGGTTCTGAAGTTGTGGGGATATCTTCCTCTTCTTCTTCTTCTTCGTCATCATCCATGGTACTCGTGGTGGCACTTTCGGACAAGAAGGCTCGTATTTTGCTGGCATCAATTTCTTTTCGATTGACCGGTGTAGTGGGTGTGGCGGCGAGTCGTTCGAGGAGTAAATTCGAGTTGATGGCCTTGGAAGTGGGAGATTGTGGGATTTTGACTTGTATCCCCCCGCAGTAGGGACATTTGGACTTTTCCGGATGGCTGATAATGGCATGACAATTGGAACAGGGCCACGTCTTGTTGTTATTAGTGTTGCTGCTGCTGCTGCTGCTTTCCATACTAGTATCCGACTGGTTATTGACCGGAGTTCGAGGCCGTCGAAACCGATTCCTCCGTTCCTCGTCGCCATGCAACGGTTTGGAAGTCTGAGTTCCCATCCTTCTCGTATTCTTGATGGATCTTCTCTTTCCTAATTAAATCTGATAATGGAAATAATGAAATGGGATGGAAGGGTATCACTGAGTTCGTAGCTTGATCTTCTGTCTGGCTATGGCTAGCACTAGCTAGATAGCTACTACTAGAGACAAAGGTAGCTGTAATACTAAAGGTGTCGATCTATCAGGGCGCGTGGGAAAGTTGTCGAGGAGGCTTTTTTCTGTTGTTCTTGTGCGGTTGTTCTGGTGCTGTTTGGAGGGAGGAATGCTCACACTTGCATTGCAAGCACAGCCGACGAAACATCAATGGGCGAAGGTTTAGAAACAAAGGGTATCCAAAGGGTTAGTGTCATAACCAGTGAGACAGTACTTCTTTTACAAAGATTTCGAAAGAACATTTTGAGACAACCAACACGTCACAATCTCTTTCTTGGCCATGGCCGTCACCTCATCCGTTTCGTGCTGCAATGGAAGGCAGAAGGCGAAGCTCTGCTGCAAGCTTTGCCGCCGCTTTGCTGCTGCTCTTCGTTCTAGTTGTAACTAACTGAGATACGGACAAGATGAGAGGCCCACTGTCAATGTCCAAACTGCTAGTGTCGAGGCAATCCACAAAGAGTTCAATTGGAGTGAGAAGATGGGGGACAGAAAGGACAAGTCAGGCATCGGCATTTTCTCGGACCTTTACCGATAGCAGCACCCAACCATCATCGGTGGTTGTGAGTCACCATTCCTCCAGTATTGCGGATGGTACGGATGGTGAACATCCGACCAGAGTGCAACAAAGGATCAACAATAAGCGAACCACCTACAACCCTGAACGGGAGGATGCTACCAAGCTTGTAGATGAGTTACTACTTCGCACCCGCTCACTCATGAATGAACCGATCCAATCCACAAGCACAAGCCATCACAATCATGACAAAGCTGATGATGTTCACGTACTACGACACGTAGTGGCATTCTCGGGAGGGATCGATTCGTCTCTGGTACTGGCCTTGTTGATGAAAGCCAAGGAGGATCAACAACAACTAGTACAACAATCAACGTCATCATCATTATCCATTCAAGAGAGTGTCCATGCTGTCCTTGGAACATCTCCAGCAGTCCCTCAGGATCAGATTCGATTGGCACAACAGGTGGCAGATCACATTGGGATACCCCTCGTGCAAATCGCGACCACGGAAGGATCCGATGATACCTACATTCAAAATCAAGGACAGGCATGTCTCGCCTGCAAAACACACCTCTACACGGCACTCCAAGCCGTCGCACAACATGCGGTCCAACAAGATGAACTACTACTACTATCGCAGTCATCCAATAATAATTACCAACAACAACAACATCAACTCTACAATGGGACCAACGCCGACGACGTGCAAGACGCCACGCGGGTGGGATTGATTGCCGCCCGCAACTTTGACGTACAGTCACCACTCTTGCGGATACCCAAACACGATGTACGGCGTGCCGCCCAGCATTTGGGTCTCCCCAATTGGAATGTCGCCGCATCGCCCTGTTTGCGATCGCGATTGGCATTGGGTGTCGAAGCGACGCAAGATCACTTGCAACGCATTGAACGAGCCGAAGCGTTTGTACGAAACGAACTGCAAATTATTATTTCGGAAACCACCAATCTACGAGTCCGATTGCTCGCCAACAATCGCGCCATGTTGGAAATGGATGCCGAGCTCTTGCCACATGTACCATTACAATCAACAACAACAACAACTACCAAAAACAACAAAACCAAGCAATCGTGGGAATCCTATTTTGTACAAACTCTGGGATTTGCTTCCATTCAAGCAAGAGCCTTTCGAAGTGGGTCGGTGGCTGCTACTGCTTCCACGACAAACAACGCCACTGCCAATGCACAGAACAATATCACTAGGAGAGACGCTGCCAATGACGAGGAAGAGGCGGTGGCTTGAAGAAACGTCCCACCGTTTGACCAAAACTGACTTTGAATTGATTGGTCTGTGCCAATGTACAAACAAAAATGCAGAGCGTAAACACATGATGAATAGAGCTGAGCTGTCAGCGTAGTCAAGCAAGTGGAATCGGATTCTTCAATGCCAAGGCACAACTAACTAAGCAGCAAAGATTACAGTACTGAAAGAAGTTGGTTGAAGGCTAATTTCACGTGTTCTGGTTGATCCTAACGCAGAACAATGCATGAGGGTATCAACTACATGTATGACGAGTTCGGTCTGTAAAACTAAAATGATGCATGATGTCATCCCCGCAACCCCAAAAAAACCACTTTACCCGGTAGAGGTTTCTCGCATCTATCTTTGGTTTGCAGCCTTTCATTCGCTTCTACCGGTAGGCAGGATTGCTGCAGCACATCGGGCTGTTGGGCCATCAAGCAAGTGCAACCAAAAACTTCAAGCTTCCTCCACAAGGACCAGAGGAGAATGTTCATTCAGGTTTGCAGTTGCAGCAGACTTCCACAATCAGGGAGGGGCACTCGCATTGAGAGAAGCTTGCTTGTGTCCATGCATCATTCATTCCACTATCGGCTACTGGATCCTGCCCCAGCTCAGTTGCTGAACGAGCTTCAAGGAGATGCCCGTCAGGTGGATTGATGCTTTTACCTTCAAGGAAGCTCCAGTGGGCGGGTGTAATTTCGTTTGTACGGTCTCGGCCACCAGCCTGCTGGTGGTCAACCATACCGTATTTATTTGCCATAGATACTAGCTAGCTAGCTAGAAGCTCCTCGGCCCCAAGCCCCAGACTACAACGGAGCGTGCTTGTTTGCTTGTTTGGACAGTGGAAACCAAGCGAAACGCAAGGAAGGAAGCCGTTGTCTTGCCATCTTGCCATCACAAGATCTAGCAAGGACACCAAGAAGGTCCATAATTAAAGAAGTTCGTCCGATTGCGTTTTCTAATTACGCCTTTTCCCTGCCGGTACTCTCGAGATTACAATACCTGGCCCGACTTAAAGCTGTGTTGCTCCGACGTCTTTAAGAATCTTGAGTTCTGACTTAGGAACCAAGGATAGAGTCTTGCGGTGAAGAACATGCTGGGACAACTTGGACCAACACCTTTTTCTCCTCACAATTTGAACAAATCGATCAACAGAAACCGTCATAAAAAAGAACAAAGTTAGAGATCATTAGCAACAAAAATGAGTGCTGAAGACCAATTAGTGATGCTTCATAGGATAATGCATGCTTCGGAGCTCAATAATCTAGGTGTTTCGGACCTCAACTCTGGAAACGTTGAGATGGGCGCCAAGTACTTTGCCAGTTCGGTCGAGTTGCTCAAGGGAATGCCTGGGATACCCCTGTCTCCTACCGGTACAAGGGACCTCAGCCGTCGCCCTTGCGTGAATAGCAACAGCTCTAAAATCTCGAACTGTAGATCTACTTTCCAACGAGAAGACTATGATGAAGGAATGGATGTCTACTCCAGAGTAATGAGTACCGGCATCAGCAACAACAGCAAGAACGACCAAGACAGCTTGGAACCACACCACGTCTTGGCCGTTGCACTCTTCAATCAAGGCATTTGTCATGGGAAACAAAGAATGGAGAAGGAAGCCCACAATCTATTCTACGAATCATTATCACTCTGGCAGAGTGGTAGATACTACAACTCGGAATGTCAAAGACATGGAATCATCGCCGCTATGCATAACATTGGCCGCATTGAATATCGGAATGGACTCTACCACGATGCCATTAGCACCTATACAAGAGCCCTCGAATTCTGCGAAAAGCCTAAAATGGGGAGACAACAGTTCGTTCTGGCAAGAGCAGCGACACTCAACTGTCTCTCCGTCCTCTACTTTCACATACCAAAGGCGGATGCCGGGCGTGCACTGGCGTTTTGTAGAATGTCGCTCGACGCTTACAGATCCGTGCACGGACCGGCCGCAGTGACACTTGAAATTGCTTGCGTCCTAAACAATATCGGTCGAATCCTCTTTCTACGGGAAGAATTCAAAACGGCAATACCAGTGTATACCGAAGCGCTTTCCATGCGTTGTCGGCTGCTCGGAGAGGATCACATGGATGTAGGAGCTACAATCTTCAACATTGCACAAACTTCTCATGCCCTTCGAAACTTTGATCAGGCGCTGACATTCTACAACAAGTTCCTGGCGATCGCTCGAGGACACCTCGGAAACAATCATCGTGACATTGTTGCCACGATAAAGGTAAGAGCATGAATCCAAACAAGCATGTTGACAAGGATACCCACCCGTAAACTCATATACTGAAATCTTTTCTTGCCTCATATAGAATATTGCCGAGGTGCATCAAGACCTTGGCAACCCAAAGGAAGCAAAGTTCTTGTACGAGCAAGCCCTTGAAACTGGAAAGGATTGCTTGGAATCATGCCATCAGGAGGTTGCCGGAATCTTGAACAAACTTGGCAATCTCATGTATGAGCAAGGGAACTTCGACGGAGCGTTGGAAGCCTACGTGAACGAGCTGGATATTGAACGGGCGTGTCTGGGCGACTCCCATGCCAACGTTGCCATTACATACACCAACATTGGTCAGATTTACAAGCGACGTAAGGACTTCCCAAAAGCTTTGGTCATGTACACACAAGCAATCAACATTCAGCAAAAGTACATGAAAGAGCCCAACGCGGATGCAGCAGCCACCTTGTCTTCCATTGCATACATTTATTCGCAAACTCGTCGCCTGACGGACGCGTTCAATTTGTACCAAGAAGTGCTCTGGATTCAGCGAGAAAGTATTGGGGAAAAGAGCTTGGAGGTATCGTCTACGTTGACTTCCATTGGACTCGTGCTCTTCAAGATGGATCGACACGAACTCGCTGTTGAAAGCTTTAATGAAAGCCTCAAGATCAGACGGGAAATATTGGGACCTGACTCGAAGGATCTGGCCGTATGTCTCTTCAATCTTGCCACTGTTCATCTCGACCGGGGTGATGATGCCAAAGCTTTGGAATACTACACGCAAACCCTTGCTGTTGAGCAACGTGCTGCCAAATTGAACCACCGAGAAGTCGCAGTTGTGCTCAAGCACATGGGGCAGATCCATCAAAAGAACGCTAACCTGGAAGGTGGGCTGCGGCACTATCACGAGGCTGTGGATGTTCTGAAGCAAGCAGATGTGAAGGACAATGAAGAGATTGCCAACCTGCTAATCCTCATTGGGAGCGTTCATTTGCAGTACGGGCATGCTAAAGATGTCGTAACCACTTGTTCGGAGGCGCTACGATACTTTCGTTTGAGCGGAAAGGACGTGAGTGAGTTTCATCTCTTCGGATTCAACTTTTACTCTTTGTCCAAGATGCACCCCAAGTGCTCCGCGGCTGCATAGTAATCAATTGTAGTCGAGTCGCTATTCTTTATAACTTTAATAATTGCTTTTCAGCTGTGGCTGGGTTTACTTTCTATCAATCTTCGAATCAGTCTGAACCCACCCTACAGGTAGCTAGACCCCAAGTCGACAGGCCAGGTGGCAGGGATCGAACTATTCAGACTGGTGTTGCCCTCCTCTTCGTCTCCGCTCCGATTACTGTACCGCTCGGCCTTAATCTATGGTGGGTATCTCGCGAAAGCCCTTGGTCATGTCATCTTCCTTGGTGGCGGTTCCGTACAATACCGGTAAGCAACGAGTGGAGACATTGGCTCTGGCTTGGCTCCTGCTTGACTGGTTCCAGAGCTCCATCTTGCGGCCATTCTAAGAGGGAGCATGTGTGAGTCCTCTCCCATTTTCTTGATGGTGGGAGTCGAGTCGAATTTCGTCGAAATGTCGGAACGACAGATCTTTCCAGCTCCCAACCCAGCACGATCAACTTACTTGAAACCAAGCAAAAAATGAGAACAAGCAACGGGACGAAAGCTCTTTGCTGAGCCTGCTCACAAACAAGCCTTTCAAGCAAATCAAAGCAAACACAGCGCAACAACAAACAATAGAAATGGGCAACTCACATTCACATAGCAGCAACGACGAGGAGAACTGGAAGGAGGACGTGCGAGTGATCTATCATGGTTTGAAAAACAAGATGATGTGCATACCGAGGGAGGAGGATGTCGACAGTGGCAGGCAAATGGAAGATGATATCAACTACGGGCCTACAATACATTAGCAAATCCTTAAGATAGAAAAGCAGCACCCGACTCGACTCGCCCTTTCCTCCTACCGGTAGCTAGCTAGAGACTCTTGGATCACATGTGAGGATGTCCCAAGCCTCGTAATCGTCCAGTAGCTATATCTGCATAAAAACCTAGAGGGAAAAGCCTACTCTAAAGTATTTGTTGCTTGCTGTACCGGTTCTCGACATCGTATGGCATGCTACAAATACCCATTCACAAACCTCCAATTTCGTTTTCTCCTCACGGTACCGGTTCATGTACCTGGCTCAATGGCAATGCCAGCATGTTTTCCATTGTCCTTTTGTATCACACATGCTCGCCATGCTGAACATATCGCAAGCACTCACGGATACTCTTCTTTTCCATAATCTTTGCCTGCCGTGTGACTCGTGTGTTCACTGGAATTGCCCGTCGGCGGTCAGGTGGACAGGATCGATGAGAGACCGAAGGCCTGACCTTTCTGAGCAGCACCGCCGTCCTTACGGTAGGAAGCAGCCGATTTCCTGAGAGAGGTCTTGAAATTCTTCAGAGCAGAAACAGTGGTGGCCACGGTTGGAGCAGCACACATACGCCGGAACGGTACAAAGTGCTGCTCGGAAACGTGAGTGAGTGTCAAAAAAAATTACTTGGACGAACACGCTGTTCGAGCACCTCGAACTTGACAATTGACAGTAAACCGAAGCATACCGGCATGGGCTACATGTAGGCTCGGCGCACTGAAGATGCCGCACTCTCACGGGAACTCTCAAGTCAGTTCTGTCTGTGGGAGGTGCGCTTTCATGGTTCCATCCGTTGAAATCAATAAGGGGGTGAACAACTATCATGGGACAGTACCACTACCAGGAAGGATAGGACAATAAATTGTTGCCTAGTAAACATTTACCCACTGAGCCCATCTAGAAATAGTCGTAACAACTGAATCGTCAACCATGATATTGGATTTGGAGGATTCATCAGCCGGGGTGGACTTTACGGACAACGACAGCACTGAGCTCACTGAACTCGCATCGCAACATACCACCAAGTCGACAAAGGGACGAAAACTTCGCCAGGTATTGCAGAAAAAGCAGCTGGATGTACTGTTGCAAACGTACAGTTCGTTCCTCGACGAACCAGGAGAAACAGCAACCACACCCAGTAATTCTCAAACGGCCAACGACTTTTTCTCCATCGCGAGAAAGAACAGCATTGAAGGCAATCCAATTGTTCCACTTTCAACAAGCTTCGTCAATTCCGATGACACCACCATGACAGACGTTCCAAAGCCTCCTCGGAATGCAGACGTCAAAAGGGCTCGAGTGCGAAGAGCTAGAGATTTGATCATTGAGGAAGAAGAGGGGCAACTTCGAGGTTCTCCTTTCACCGACGATAGCATGCCAATGCAGCTATCAGATAGTGAAGAAGAAACTACTGGTGCTGTAGTTGATCCTAACAAGGGCAAAGGATCAAAAGAACCTGTTGGAAATCGCAAGCACAAGAAAAAGAACGGGACAAGACGCAAAAAGAAAGTAGACTTGAAGACACGTCTCTGGAAAGCCAATGAAGCTTTGAAAGGATTCTCCACTCGAGCCGCTCAAAAGCATTTTGAGATTGCTGCAGACTTCCACGCGGTTACAAAGGAACTGAGGCATCATCTGAAGAGCGGCGCAAATGTAATGTTTGAAGACCTTGCAGATCAGTTTGACGGTATGGTAGAGAATATGTTTGCAGGCGACGGTGTGGAGCAGCGCGACGATGTTGGGCCCCAGAACAACAGTGCTCGTCAACTGCATCACGAACAAACAGTTCCTGCCAATGGTACCAGTCAAACCGGTCAAATGCGGCAGGCAGCACCACAGATCGTCCAAGAAGATCCCAACTTTCGTCCCTTGAGTCACGAAGAAGCGATAGAAGTCATGAACAAGCAGGTTGCCGATATGCTTGTGCCCGTGGCGGCGCTATCGAATCGAGTCCAAGAGAACATAGGTTGCTCTGAACTTGGTCCTGGTCCCGATGAATACGGCTACTTCTATGAAGCAGAGGGACGAGAACTCCCCACCTCGGCCAGCTTCTAGATTCTCAGTGTGCCAAGCCTGGCTTCCATCTTCGGATTTGTGATATCGTTGAGCAGGAGAACTTCCACGTCGTCTCTTCTTTGAATTGTTAGATGATCTTTCATGATTAGTACATGCTCTTGTAAGTTGTCTCTGGAGAAGAGGACACACATTGGGCCTGTACGAGTGATGAAGGAAGAAACTATTCCGATCCTCCACCCCAGCTTCCACCTCCAGCTTCCACCTTCGATCAGTCCTACATGTATGTACAAACTCATTAGCTTTGTTAACACTATTAGATCACTCCTACATTCACAGACTCAGTTCTCTAGGTATGCCCGTAGAATCGAATCGTCGGGAGTTTTTCATGGTATCAAAGCGGTGGATGTTAGTGCCCCGAATGCTTCACACCCGGACCAAATGGCGCGGTCAGGACAGGAGCGCCTGTGCTCTCAGTAGGTTGAAGATGATGTCCTTGGAAAAATGGATGTCATCGTTGGCCCTCTCAAAAACATACGGCCAAAGCGATGTAGGGACTCGGGTCTTCGTGCAATCCCGGTTGTTCACCAAGAGGGACCTTCCAGCACGGTTCACTGCCAACAGGCACTTGATGGCAAGCAAGCACTTGCTCTCGCAGTCATGGAAATATTCTGGCGGGGAACAGCAATTGCCGTCAAATCTCCCCTTTTCAAATTCCAACACATGAAGGCCAAAGTTCCCATTCTCCAAACCGCGTTGGAGGGCATCACACACCTGTGGTCCGCACTTGTTCTGCCTTAAGTTCAGCTTTCGTAAATTGGGCATTCGAGGAAGCGCAGAGGCGAATTGAATGATTCCTTCTTCAGAGATGCGACAGCTTTCCATAACGAGTTGCTTCAGACTAGCGTTTTTGGACAAAACGCCAGTCAGTGTTGCCAAATCACTGTCAGGAACATTGGTATCAGACAAATCAAGTACTCTGACGGTCTGATTGGTATTCAAAGCAGCAGCAACCGCATCAACGATGCCAACAATCTTGCCGCCATGAATAGTCCCCGGTACCTCCGCAATCCCAGCATCTGAGCAATATTTGATGGAGGCATTCTCTACCATACCGGACCCCGCCGAAAGAAGCGTTCGAACAGCCAATGCATCGACGGCATGAAACTTGTGGCTGGCAAAGCACAAATTCTTTAGCAGCGGGTGATCCAGCAACCCTTTGTTCAGGAGCAAGGCAAGCGCAAGACTTCCCTGCAAGTTAGAAGAACCAAAACAAAAGGTGTGTAGTTTGCTCCTCTTTAGAGCGCTGGCGACCATCTGAACAGTCTTGGCACTGGAAAAGTCGCACGACCGAAGCTCCAAGTGTTCCAGCGATTTGCAGCTCGATAGAACGTGTACTAGCATCTCTGCCACCTCCTCTGTGAGTTCGGTGAACGCAACCTTGAGCACAACTAGCTGAGTTCGACACAGCGCCTTGGCCAGGAAAGGTGCAACATCAGATGGGACATGATGCAGATCAAAGGTTCCCATAACCATGGAGTCACTGATAACGTTTGGAAGTATTTCCATCCGCTCTGTTTCAGAAAGTCCGTGAAACAGAACCTGTTTTTCTCGTTTATTCACTCTCGTCCAAGCAATTTCGCCGGGTCTTCCCCACGCAATTCCTTCCGTTCTGGGTTTGGTGGTTGCTTCCTGTGGAATTGATTTGGAGGCCAACTGGATTGTACTTATCCGAGGGCATCCCCATCCATCCACACGGGGGTCGACATCAATGCGAATCCCATGTTCTCTTGGGACGAACTTGATGGATGCTTTCGAAAAGCCAACCCTCTTCTGGATCAGGTGCACGGCTCCCTGATGGTCGACAAAGGAAGGGCTCTTTCCATACTCCGGGTCTTCTGGAGAAACAAGGACCAGTCGGTCAGATACCCACCATGCAGCCATCTTTCAGAATTGTATATAAGTGCGGGGGTGTTGTTCTTATCAATGCTCCCGACTATGGCTGCTGTAGTGTAATCGAATGGTACCGGTACCAGTGACCTTCATCATTGCAATTGGCACCAGTCGTGTGTCAACTTCACGGGCAAAATATCCACGTTTCACTTCGAGAGCGGTGATCTTCCTCCTCTAATCGAATGATTGAATTCGAGTCAGTCATTCGATTGATCATTCGATCGAATGAATTCGATCATCGCTTGAAGTTCTGCAAGGTGACGACGTCAGCACGGAGTGATGCAGAGAGAGAGAAAAAATCTGGATAGCCTTCGCATTTATTTATTTCTCCGACGATGGTCGAAATTCAACCGGAAGAAGCTCCTGAAGAAGAAAGCTTTCGAAGAAGACCTCTCTCACCATGGCACCCCACCGCGAGTCTAACTTTTCCCTCAGCCAGAGCGGCAGCTATGGATCTATCACCAGTAGTTTGGCCAAGATTGAGAATGAGAAGAAGAAGTTGCCTCCTACTACCGGCAGTCCAGACCAGGATCAACTGCGACTGCTGGAAGCGTACCAAGACAAAGATCTCGACCCAAGCATGTCACAGCACCAACAAACTGGAGGCAACGAAAACAATTCTCGTTCGCAGTGGCGTCAAATGGCCATCTGTCTGTTGTGTGGATTGCTGGGCGGGTTGCTGCTCTCTAGTGCGTGCTTTTCTGGAGAACTTTCACGGAACACCGTGCGCAGCAACCAATCTTCTTCAGCTGCAAGCAGTCCACATCCGAGCAAAGATCAAGACCAGGTTTCGGACGACCTGGATCGTTTTGAGTACATTGTAGTGGGTGGAGGACCGGCTGGCATCCTGGCAGCTTCGAGGTTGGCGAGAGAAATCCCCACTGCTCGAGTGGCTCTGCTCGAGTCTGGCACAACCAGTCAAACTTCCGTTCTGGCGTCATTGTCGAAACAGCAAGCCAAGAAAAGACGCAAACAAAGGGCGGAATCAGAGGCAGAAACAACAGCAACAATCATTAATGTCGAAGGAACCACGGAGGGTTTGACAGTAGGAGAGGCGTCGTCAAGTGCAGGTCTTGTAGGAGGTGCTCTAGACAAATTTGACTGCCCGTTAATGTGGAGTGCTGTGGCAGGGACAGAGCGAAGAATTCAGCAGACGTTTCAGTTGCAACCGGATCCCAAAACATCCACATACTGGCCCGTTCCTGGAGTGTTGTTGGCACGGGGGCTGGGAGGATGCGGTTTGCACAATGCAATGTAAGAACTATTCTATGGTTTGCCCAGGCTGTTGGTCATCTTCCAACAAAAGGCTTTGTTTCTAACCAAGTCTTCCCTTCAAACCTTAGGATCTACGTGCGATCCCTCCCCTCTTGCTTTGAGAAATGGAACTTGACCAACTGGGACTTTTATGAGCACATGCTCCCAGTTTACAAGGCATTGGAAACGTTTGTGCCGTTCAGCCAGCTACCGTCCACACTCGTTTCTAACAATCAAACCGGAACCTCAACAACGAGAGGAGACTGGCTTGAGCATCGGGGGCGCAATGGTCCCATCCGGACTTCGACTGCAGGTCCGCAACTCGATAAAGTTGGAGAGTATTTCATTGAGAGTGCCCTGGCCAGCGGCTTGCCCTGGGCAGGTGCAAATCATACTGGTGGTGGTGCCGGGAGCTTCAATCATATCGGTGAGGACGACCGGATAGGTGTCGGGTACTACGAATTCAACATTCGCAATGGAGTGCGCCACTCGGTCGCCAATGCCATGTTGGGCATTCGAGGCAGCACGCCAACGTGGAAATTTCCTCCGCAAGAAGCATCTGCTGAATCGTCGAAACAACAATACACAACGATCAACGACGATGGGATTCCCTCCAACCTCCTAGTTTTGATAGGCTACACAGTGACTGAACTGATGTGGGACAAGTCAACCATGAATGGAATCGAAAAACCGAGGGCACGGGGCGTATCGTTTGTCAACCACGCCAACGGTAAGCAGGGCAACATATTACTTCGCCAATCAACCGGAACCAAGGGACCTTTACCTCAAGTTATATTGGCCGCTGGAAGCATCATGACCCCACAAGTTCTCTGGAACTCGGGTATAGGTGACGGAGGATCGGTTGCTAATCTCACTGGTGTAGGCAAAAACCTCATGGACCATCCAGTGCTAGGCATGGCCTACCAGCTCAATCCCGAAATAACTCAAGATGCAACTCCGCTGTATGCCGTAGCGGATGAAATGGAAGATTATGCCCTCGCAGTTCAAGTTTTGAACAGCCTGGACGACCAAACACAACCCGACAACAATCATCCTGGGGGATCAGGTTATCACCACAACCACGACAGGGAAGAATTGGAATCCAAACTTGGCACCTTTGGCACTCCCGGGTTTTCGGTTGGAGCCTTTTTGCGATCGCCGTGGGCAGAAAAAGAATCTCGACCAGGAGCTTCGGCACCACCAGATATCCAGTTGACAGTCTTCCCGCGGGTAATAGAACCTCATCAACCCAACGGTAAGGTGATTGTTGACACCAACTTGCTGCAATCCAAAGCGATGCTTGTCACAGTTGCACTGCTACAGCCGGATGCACGCTATGAAGTAAAACCCGGAAACATGAAGAGCTTACGCTCGGCTTCGCATCCGGTCGACCAAACGGCAAGCAATAACACGTCGCAAGCTACGGCTACAAGCAAGGACGCAATCGCCTCTGCCTTTGCCAATGCCCTGCAATATCCACTTCCATCAATCGTCCTTCCCAAAGGCAAAAAGGAGTATCTCACAAACAAGGATGTAGAGCGCTTGGCATGGGGGATGCGACAAGCCCACCGCATCATGACGTCTCACCCCATGTCCAACTTCACCAAAACCCAAATCTATCCAGGTCCCAGTGTCATGGACGTGGAGGGCGCAGAAGAAACCTTGCATCAATACATCAGGGCTAATCAACTTGCGAACAGCCACTGGGTAGGCACGGCAAAGATGGGCAACGATGACGATCCCCTTGCCGTCTTGGATGAGTCCTTGCGTGTACGGCTTGTAGATGGATTGCGAGTTTTTGATGCAGCAGCCATCCCCTACGTACCCAATGGAAACACTCATAGTACAGTTTGTGCAGTTGCCAGTCGAGGTGTTGATCTGATCCTGGCCGAAAGAAAAGCTGCTGAAAGATGATGCGCAGCTGCTTGGACGAAAGAGAATGTGCAGTGCCGTGCAGACGTTCTTCTCTTACAGTAAATCGCTACAGCTACAGAAACAAACTGGAGTCGTAAAAGCTAAGCTATAAATACTACTGAGTCATATAGCCCCACTCCTTCATCGGTCGTAGTCTTGCCTTTCCGTTTCCTCTGAGTGTGATGCTTTGTTTGTATCTGATGCTGCGACTGGACGGGACAAAGGTGATGGATTCCAAACCGGCATCCTCCTTGGGAGCAACCACGCGATTCACGACAGCACTGAGGGCCTTGTCCTTGAAGGATGTGTTCTTTTCTTTGTTGTATATTTCCTTCTCCATTGATGCCATGACGTCCCAAAGGTTGAAAACTTCTACATTCTGGGGCTTTTCAGACAATCCCCTACCTGCCTTGCCCCTTCTCTTGCGCAAGGTACTCCAAGCATCTTCCAAGTCTTCGTAGTTGAAGAATAGGGGTGTTTCTCGAGAGGCACCACTGATGAGCTGTTTGAGCTTGGGGATTTTTCGCTGCATCTCTGGAGCATAAAAGACTGGAATGCCGGTATAGCCGTCCATGTGTGCACTGGCCAGCTGCATGGCAGTCTTTCTTTTGGGGATACCGGTTTCGCGCTTTTCCCTTCTACGTAGAAGGTTCTTCTCATCCAATGCCGAGTTGCCAATAAGACAAGCCTCGGCGTCGGCTCCAGGGCTATCGGAGAACAGACCAACGCGTTCTCTTCCTTTGCAACGTGCAGCATAGAAGAGTTGGCGCTTCGGTGGAACAATCTTGTATCGAAGGGATCCTCCTTCCCGCGGCGGCTTGATGTTGCCAGTGACGGGATCAGGTGCAAAACCAGTCAGCAGTCCATTCCCGAGATGGGACGATTGGCGGACTGCTTTGGTTAAGCTGCAAGATGTGATACGAATATCAGCCTGCCCCATGTTATCCATCTGGGACATCTCGCCGTGCACAGCCAGGGCATCATCAGGGTCCATAAAGAAAAGAGCCACAGATCGAAATTCTTCTCGAGAGCCTGGCTTGCTGCCAGTGCCTGGGTCGATCGCTTCATCCATATCCGTCAACCGTTCCATGTTCATATAGGGCGAACCCCAAGGAGTGGTGACCTGGAATACTGGATGGCCACTAATCCTGTCATAAGGCGAAGCACGGGTTGCAGAACCAAAGAGAGAGCCAAAGTTGAGAAACCTTCGAGTTTCCTTGGAAACTGGAGACGAAAGAATGTCATCCAGGAAAGCATCCACTGAGGCTGCCGCTCCAGCTAGCAAGACAAGGGCAATCAAAGCACCCGAACAACGATGACTTGTCATGGTCAATCAATTTATTCCGATATCAAAACACTCATACATGTGGCTCAACACAGCGGTGATGGATGTTGGCACGTTGGCACGTTGATGGTTTTGGTTCCAGCTGGAGCTGGTTGGAGCCTGGTCGGATGCAATACGGTAGGGTTCAGGCTACCGTAATGCTGGTTGGTTTGGAAACTCCCCAACAGCTTTTTCTCAATTTGAAAATCTCAAATTCAAAAAAATCTTTTCGTCACGCAATGGAATAAGGTATCTTCCATTGCCTGACGAAAAGCTTTTCCTTGATTTTGACTTTCCCTGGTCTCATTTTGACTGCCCCATGGATCACATTGATTTGCCACCCCAATCATATCTAGCTAGATGCCCGTATCTCAGCCAAAACTCGACCTTTTTCGAAAATTTTGCTTGGAATGATATCATGATTATCATGATATCTACTCTTATTGGAGAACTCAGAACTGTCTATTAACACGTGTTAAAACTTGAAGAAGATAATAGGATTTCTGGAACACCCATAGGTGGGTACGACCCCACGGGTGAAATTTTTCAATGTTCCCAATTTCAAACTTTATTTTTTTTATAAAACTACTTTGAACAAATTTCCAATTGCAAAATTTTTACATGCCAAACCAACCAGACATACCGTACGGGCTGCGGCTAACGAAACAGTATGTTATCTGATGGCAGAGGCAAATCGGGGCACTGAACCATTCGGACGCAGCTCAGCTCACACAAGGACCTGCACCCAGCACCATGCGACACTTGCACACCTGGCGAGACGGACGGGTGTAATGTGCATGCCACTACCGTTAGGTACAACATGCATTTTTGAGTAAGCACTCAATAAAAGATCACCTTTTACTCTACTGGCTAGCTAGATTCCATGATCACTGTTCCTCCTCAATCTGTAGCTTCGTTCCGTGCAAGCATCGGGGTCCACGTCAATCATCGGAGCAACTTGTTTTGCAAGGATGCATTGAACAAGGTTACGGATCTCCTTGCTTTCTGCTCTTACAAGAGAGCAAACGATAGGGAAGAAGTCCTTTGAATGCTTGGTAAACTTCTCGTGATCCAGGGAATGGATCACGCTAAGGATACCAACAACGACGTCTGCGAATGAGGTGCAATAAAGGGCGACCTTACCACCGCTTTCGCTCGTGTTCCTCCAGACGTTGGGATCGACAAGGTGCCCATCTCGCTCTTCCGAGTCTTGAAATTTGCGAAGGGCATCCTTCATGGTCCCCAGGAGGTGCGCTTCGGCAAAATCTGCCCTGTCCCAGTTCACTCGTTCTTCGCCAACACGGCCGTGATAGAGCATTCCCAACATTTGGATCGTAGCTCTCGTTGCTCCCGCCTCCTGAGTCAAAAAGAACATGTCGCTACCATGAAGATGAGACATTCGCGCTACGTTCGACAGCGCCATTTGCACCTCTTCGATCCCATCACCCCATTCTGTAAAGATTGCTTCCTGGAACATTCGTTTGAGATTCTCGTCTCGCGCCGATTCCTCCGATATCTGACGGGAGAGTCTCAGTGCTTCCAGCACTTTTAACGCCACGTCTTTCTCCATCAGAGGCACAAGCCTATCAAGCAATCCGGAGAATCCATTCTGAAGACAGTGCGCCGCTACACACCGGATCTTTAACGCAGGAATGTAATCGAGCCAATACATGTCCTTGGAAGCATCCGACCTGAAAGAAGCATCCTGATCAAGTGAAGCTGCGCGGAGGGAAAAGAAGGACGTCAGTGCCATACTTGCCTGCAACGGGATGAAACAGCCAACGGACAGTACATACCACTTGGACTCATACCATTGGGCAGCGCGCTGTTCCCATTTGGCTTCGAGTGGGTTTCCGCGGGGGATTCGTTGTCGGTGTGTTTGAAAGCTACTAAGCTGGTGTCGGGTTGATACAGCGTCCCTCCAAAGTCGAGAGCGATCTGGTGCACTGTGACATGTTTCTGGCCGTCAATTTCGTCGTGAGTTTTGCGTCTCCTGCTTACCAGCGTTCCCTTTCCGAAAGGAGTATCGACAACTGATCCAATCTCAAGCCTTGAAGAAAGCGAGCCTTCGGTCTCACTTCCTCCTGGTGGCGACGACGGCGGGGAAGAGAAGGGGGACTCCGTGCCTCTCGTTTTCGTCCGGAACAAGTCCTTCTCCAGTGACCTCTCCAAAGCAACACTGTTCGTCAATGCGTCAGCAAACATTGTCAGGAACATTCCCGTCCAGCCCACCCTTTCGAACTGATACAATTGAGAGAATGAACCAGTGACTCGTTCAGAGAGTCGATGCATTTCATTGCACGCAACCCGAACTATGGCCTCGCAAGGCCACCACACGTCGTAGTCTGGCACTTCGCCATTCCGTCTGGGTGCTCCGATATCAAGTGGCCGTCCCACACACCAGACCAAGAATTGGTTGGCAACAAGAGGCCATAGTCTCTCTCTTCCCTCGGCACCAAGAGCAAGGAATACTTCGCTCGTTACATCCGTCAAGAGACCCAAGGCCAATGACGCGGTTGTAGCAATCCAGCTATCCGGAAATGGTTGGTCTCGAGCAGTGTGAGCACATGCATCCTAGCAACAAATTGTGAGAAATGACAAGGTCTTGATACGTGCAAAACGACGCGTGTGATTTACCTTTTGTGCCAAAACATAAGCAAGGCTAAGATCGCCATCACCGCCATGTCGCATGTCAGTGAAACTGGCTTCCAAAACGAGTTCTGCTTTCCCAAACGCTCGACTAGGAGCACTGTTCATCGACCGATTGTGAGCCACAACAGAAAGCACCGAGACACACGATTATCCAAACCAGCAGACAATCAATAGCTCACCTTTCGTTGTTCATTGCGATTTCTTCGAATTTCAGAAGGCCTGGGTCGTTGAGTGGGGGTGGAAGCGGGACCGAATCTGCCAGGAAGTCTATGCTCGAAAGGTGAGGAGACTCTGAAGTTATACCCACAACAGGAGACATTTCGCTCTCTGCTGCATCTTGTATTGCCGGCAAAAGAGTTTCGCGCAAAATAGCCTCCCACTGAGGGACCGAGAAGATGCTGCCGTGTCGAATGAAGATGGCGCGTAAAGCCATTATGCTTCCGCGCTGGACAAGACAGCCAAGACCAGCAGCACTGCTGCGAGCTTTCGACCTTATCCCATCAGCTAACCCTTCCAGCAATGACCGCCAGAGCACCATCTCCAAGGCTTCATTTTCATCAAGCCCCGCGTACGTATACCCGGGCTCTTGAGGATCTGTCCACTGTCGCATGTGCAGACGCAATGGTAAGCGTGGAGACTTCGGAGAGACAAATTACTAGCAGCGACGTAGGTTCTCACCTGTGCACCCGAAACCGGTGGCTGGACTCGTTTGTCCGCCAACAAGTCTGCGTATATTGCTGTGTGGCAAAGAGCTCTCATAGAGAGACCCATCGGACGAGGCGAAGCCGATTCTTTCTTCTGAACAAAGGCAGATGACGCCCGACATAACCCGACAAAGTCTTCAACGTCTGCGGACCGGTTTGTAGCCCCAAATGCAGGTAGAATATGATGCTGTGGATCGTCCTCCTCCTTCTCGTCCAAATTCTCATCTTCGAGCCTGCATAACTCGTCCAGGTGATCGTCCAGCAGACGCTGCAGAATGGCAAGACCCAGGAAGTTGATTTTTTCACTCGAATCTTCTGCCGAACGTGCCAGTATCGCAAAAATGATCTTCCAACCGCTGCGCAAGTTGTGCGACTTCGTTCGGACGATGTTATCTAAGCAACGCAAAACAAGCTCTCGAATGTCCTCGCGGGTGCCGTCTTGTTGCATTACATGAAGAAATGGGCGGAGATATATTCTTTGGAAGTTGAACTCTGAAAGTTCCGGTTTGTCCAGGAACTTGAAGCTAAGCTGCTTCAGAGAGTCGATCGCGTAGACGCTCACGTTCGTGTTTTCGTGGCTGCTGATTGTGGCAAAGAATTCTGCCATGCGTTCCCACATCTGAGCCCAGACCAATCGTGGTCGCACATCCATGTTGAAGTCGGCCACCTCCACGAGCTTCTGCAAAGAGAAAATACTGGGCCCATCGTCTCTGGTGGGCGCACTTCCGCCGTGCATCGAACCGTCAAACTTTGGACGTCCTGCAACGCCAGTGATACCACTCTTAGAGCTCCCGTTGATCTCTGCAGTCGAGACCGTAATAAGTTGTTCGATGAAGTGTGCAAGACTTTGGGCCGATAGATTCACTGTGTTAGAGAAAACCTTGTCGATCAGAACTTCATTGACGGCTTCCAGTACTGCCCTTCCATTGCTCTCCTCGGTCTTTCTTCCATCTCCTACGCTTTCCGAATTTCTCGCGCCTCTCTTGGTCGGTGTTTCGTTTTCGGCCAGGAATGACTCGTCAGAGTCCAAACCCGACGCAGATAACCTCAGCCTTGCTAGCTGGGAAGTACATTGCAGGACTGGTCCCCAGCTTTCCCCCAGATACTCGCCGTCGATAACTGCAATACTCAACAGAGTGCGAATGCTTTCGATGTTCTTTCGTTTCATCTCTTTGATAGAACCGAGGAAAGTGAACTTGGCGAGAGACGTGACAAAAGTGTCTCGCGCCAGTGACATGTGACTGTGGGAAGCCAATCGAATTGCGTAGACAAAACCGTTCAGACAAACGGAGATGCTTCGTTCGTCTTCTGAACATTCTAGCACCTGCGAAAGAATTCCAATTACTGGACCCCACGTAACGTCGAACATGGGCTTAACGACGTCTGAAGGCGAAACAGAATCTGTCAAGCTAGAGGACTGATCACTCATGGCTTTGGAATTCTTCCCGGGTTGGCGTCGTCGGATAAGTTGGGTTGTCGCTGCCATCATCTCCTCCCTCTCCTTCTTGAATCTTTCTCGCTTTCTTTCCTCGGCGCTAGTACCAAAGAAAGCAGGTGCCTCAAAGAAGAGAGAAGTGTCGAAGTACTGGGTTGATTGTGCAGTCACAACGCGCTCTCGGGCTTCGTCGTCCTCTTTCAGGCTGAAAGGGTTTTTCTTTATTCGCTCGAAAATGCCCTCGAGAAAATCGGTAGGGAGATCGCTGCCGTTCTCGCCGATGCCTCTGTTATTTCTGATGAAGGAATCCATAGTCATCTTTTTCTCGGGTTTGATGCTCGGGTTGTGAAGATCCGTATTCAGCATAATTACAGAGAAACCGAGGACGAACGCGGTGTCGGCCGAACCAAAGACCTCAGGATTCTGACGAGTGAATTGTTCCGCAAATTTCTCCATGATACGATCAATCTTTTGGGCTTCTCCTGGAAGGCGGAAACCAGAGAGAAACATTCGAATGGCGTCATCGAAAGGGGTTCCAGTGAAGTCCAGGGCTGATGCATAGTGATGGAGAATCCGTACAAAGAATCCCGGACCGCCTTTTTCTGGATCAATGTTGTCGCCTTTGATAAAAGCCGAGTCCGGCTCCCGTCCCAGAGCTTCACCCATTTGAGTCTTGTCGAGTTTGTCTTTCATGGCAAGAAAGAATAAAGCAACTGCATTCGCGTCGCATTCCACGAATCCATTGTCGATAAAGAAATTCAGCCCGGACTTGAGCGAGAGTGTGAATTTGATCGCGCCAGTTTCGAAAATTTGCTCCTCTTTGCGTTTCATTTCAAATGCATCAACGATCTTTCCCGCCACTTTGGAACTCGATTCACTATCGATCGGCTTGCTAGTGACCGGAGGTGGGGGTGGCTTCTTCGCTGCCTTGCCAACGGACGTCTCACTTTCAGAGTCTTCGCCGCCTGAAGCATTGCTTCCATTTGTCGACTTTGCTGTGTTTCCCTCGTCAGATTTTGGCACTACATCCACGTCTAACGACAACATTCCTCGAATACGTTCGCCTGCACTTTCGTCGCTCCCTACGTCGCCTCCCGGAAGACCCAATGCCTTTAGAAAAGCTTTCATGATTGTCACCAGAACTTCGACACTAGCCAGACTCAGCTCGTACGTCTCTTCCGCCTCTTTCTTTGTCAGCGTTGACGTCGGCATGGAGGTGGATTTTCCGCTCAACTTTGTCAGGTGGTGCACAATATCCTTGTAAAGATTTCTCGCGTCGAAATCACAGTCGTAATTCAGAAAGATTTGGGTTAGTACCACTGGGTCTCGGCACAGGGAACGCAATGATTCCAGCACTAGTGCTTTCTGCTTGAAAGAAGAGTTTGGAGATTCGAGCACTCGGAGAAATATGTTTGATAGGAAAACTTCAATTTCCTGTTTCAAGTTCGCCTTGAACTTGTACAGCTGTGAAGAAGGCAAGAGGGAGTTTTCTTGGTTAGAACATCAATTTCCTGGATTCCAACACAAGAATGACAGACAGTCACCACACACACGCACCAGCAACAAGAAGATCTTTTGAGACAGAAACGCGACATTTGTATGGTTCGACATGCAGTTTTTGAGCAATCCGACACATAGGTAGTTTTGCACGAGGTATATGAATTTTTCTCCCTGGCAGAATGCGTTGCCACTGAACTCCATGACCGCCAAAATGAGCTCCAGAGAGAGCACCTTATTGTTCAGTGCCATTGGATCAGGAGGTGAACTACTGAACAATCCTGCTCGATTCGACTCTGGTTCACCATCTCCGGGAAGCTCCTTGGAGCTGAGCTTACACAATGCCCGAAACAAGACGTATCCGTCGGTGTGATACTGTGAACTTGCCACTCCATTATTGCTGCTGTTGGGAGAGACAGGTTTTTGTCCATTGCCTTCATCTACACCGCCATTGCTACTTTGATGATGATGATTGTTGTGCCCTTGCTGTTGCTGTTCTTGTATTCTCATTTCCTGCTCTTCTAATCGACCAAACACAGATCGCAACATTTCAATCAGTGACGCCTTGGCAACATCTTTGGTGGATGCAGTTTTGGCCACAAGATATACATGAAAGGCTGATCTCAGTGCCAGCAACAAGGATCCCTCGTGGACTCCGCATTTCTTGGATGTGATAATGACCCGGAATGTTTTGCAGGATGCCGTTTGCGCGACATCCGAGTTGTAATTAGAGCAACTGGCCACGGCCTCCATGATTCTATGAAGGAGCGATGGGGGTGGTATATTTTTGGCCCCCTGTTCCTTTAGAGCAATCGCTTGTGATCCCGATCCGGATGGATCGTCTCGCCCTCCCGCTCTTCCGGAGATGTAGTGTTTGGTGACCAATATTTGGATGCATTCGAGGGCCATTTCGCATACTTTGGACGTCTTGGACGGGTGTTTCAAAATTGCAATATATACCTCTAGGATTTCCTCAATGGACTCGTGCATTGGTTCTCGTGTATTTTTGTCGTCATCCATGTCGGGTACGCGCAGCATTGCGTCTTCCTTAGGTGATAGCTTTTGTCCTTGATCTCCAATGGCAATGTCCCAGGTTGTCGTGGCGCGTTCCGCATCAGAGCTTTCTTCTGCCGTTGGTTCTACGGTAGTAATTGTGGTATTGTCGTCTTCAATATCGGTGGCCACCGACCCGTCATCTTGATCGAGAGCCTGGAGTTGCTTTTCGAATGCTGTGGCTTCTGCCGTTGGGGCTGCTGTCGACGCGGTCGCAGAGTCTTGTTCTGGTGGCCACGTTTCCTTTTCAAAGGTTTTAAGATTGGCAATGGCGGCTTTCAGGGCAGGTTGGACATCCTTACATACATATGAATACGTATATTGGTCGCGGGTAGAGACAAGGTGAGCGAATAGAGACACAGGTGAGTCGAGGGAGAACATGCATGCATGCATAAAGCCCGAATATAAGTTCCTCTCAAAGAAACAGCCCTCGTTCCGTTGCTAGCTACTGATACTCTACTCACCCGAAATCGTCTTCCACGAATCTCTCGCTGTAGCTTGGTCGTCAGCGGGATGAGCCGATTCTTCATGAATTGCTGATGACTGGAATTTTTATCCGTTCCAGCCGTCACGCCCGTAGCATCCGCCGACGACAGGAACCCCGCCAAGGCATCCGTAATAGCCGACATTTTACTCGTCTTCTTCTTCTTCTCCTTCTTCTTCTCAATGGAGACTGTACCGAAGGGAAGCACTCACGATACGGCACTACTAGGTCCTGGTATGGGATCTTGGGATACTAATTGGATCTTTTAGTAGGTCTGCAGTGTAAGATACAGTCACCGTCTCTGCCCTTTCATCGCTGGCTCTACTAGCAATCTAAACAAAGCCACACTGATTGCTTGACAAGTGCAACAGTGAGAAGGACGAGCACAGTATGACTCTGCTTGGTTATGGTGGGTTGTGGACGTTGCACGTTGGAAGACAAAGAGACTTTGGCAAGAGGTGAAAGTTAGCTAGCCAGCAAGACGATTTGATTTGCGAGGTGAGTCATGGTGCGTGGAGGTTGAGCTCATTACACGGGACTACCCGGTACGAATGAATCGAATCTATTCGAATATTTATTCGATTCGAATGGTAAATTCAATTCGAACGGTAACAATCAAATAAAACTTTTTCTTCGTTCAATTCTCCCAGAAAAATTCAAAATTGCCTTGCTTTCCACTTCCCGCCATTTTTTCTTCTCTCACTCTTCGCGCTCGTCTTCATCCACCGAACACACCGTTTGATCGATTGTCATTGTGGTTGTTTGAGTTGAGTTGAGTGGAAGAAGAAGAAGAAGAGTAAGACCAGGCAAAGAGAGATACAACACCAAAAAATTGGAGAAGAGAAGCAAAATGCCGAGAACCCGTCGCAGTTCCTCTTCCGATGTAAGTTTTTTGGCGGCACCTCTCAAGATCTTTTGTTTGCTTCCCTTGAAAATCCAAAGCGGCTTCCACGCCGAACAGGATATTTCTTGCTCTACGTGTTCGCTGCTGCTTGGCTGCGTAGACTTTTTGGTTCTGTGGTGTTGGTTTCCTTTACATACTTGATGATTAGATTTTCCTTATACCGGTGTATTCTCTCTTATCCCTTTGGTCCAACGATGTTCACAGGAGGAACAGGAGAAATCCAGAAAGATTCCAAGGCGCCTCAAGGGGAAAGTGTCGTACACAGAGGACAGCGACGGTGACGACGAATCAAAGAGAAACTCTGATGACGACCAGTCTGTGGTCTTGGAAATCTCTTCAGAGGAATCATCTGAGGAAGACATGATAGAAGATGATGATTATCAAGTGGGGCGCCGACGCAGTAAACGGGTGGCAAAGGACAAAAAGAGCAAGCAACCTGCTGCTGCTGAAACGGCGACAACAGCCCGAACTCGCCGTGTTTCAGCCCGCAACAACAAATCCACCACCAGCATGCGAGACGACTCGGATGATGATGACTTTGGTTCCGAAGATGACAACATGGTGGAAAGCACAAAACTCACAAAGCTGGATGATGATGATTCAGTCAATGAGCAGCAGGCCCTGAAGCATCGCGTGAGCACGGAATCTGGAGAGACAAAGGCATCGGATTACTCGGACAGTGGCGGTGAAGAGGCGAATGATGATGACGACAACTTTCTTGCGGATGATTATGTAGAAGATGAAAAACCCAAGGGGAAACGAAAGGCAACCAAACAGGCGGCAAAACCAAAGCCCGAGTTTGACCCCTACAAAATCCATAGAATCATTGCATCGCGAACCGAGACACGGTCTACATGGTTCGACATGTGCAAAGCAGCAGACACATCCGCCATCCATGCAGGAAGTCGCTGGATCCAAAAAGAACCTGCAAAGGAAGACCACAACACGCTGGAGGAACGCTTTCTGGTCAAGTGGAATGACTTGTCTTTCATGCACTGTTCCTGGGAAACTGAATTGGATCTCGTGGAATCCATTGATGGGGCCAAGCCGGCCATTGCTGTCTTTCGTCGAAAAGCATGCGACGATGGCAGAATTTACACCACAGACGAACGATGCGACGGGGAATACTTTGATCCAGCGTGGGTGCAAGTAGAGAGAATTCTGGAGGTTCATTTGCCACAGGGGTGTCCGCCAGCAACAGCAAAAGACAATCAAGCACGCCCCGAGGATTTTGGCGTCGTCTTGGAAAAGGATGCCGACGACTATGAGGACGGACTCGGGAGACAATTCTTTGTCAAGTGGATGCACCTTCCCTACTCTGAAGCAACCTATGAATACGAAAGGGATCTCATCCTGTGTGACATTTCGTATGTCGAGCAAATCCAAGAGCTTGAGAAGCGGTCTACTCAGGTAAGAAAGAAGTCTCGATCGATTCGATTTGTCTTTGGTTTGCACATCAACAGTTTTATTGTCTCCTCACACTCATTATGCACCTGCAGACACCACTTGAAACCGCCAAGCAACGAAAGAAGATTGGCGAAACTGAGGCACGTCGGCTCTACAAAGATGTGTTCGGTGAAAGGAGCGAGGCGAAACTGGAGAATGGGCCGGCTCAATACCAGGAGTCCTTGGAGCAAATTCAGTACCCAAACGGCGGCAAGCTGCGTGACTACCAGGCTGAAGGAGTTGCTTGGTTGATGGCAAACTACATCAATGATCGCGACTCTATTCTTGCGGACGAAATGGGTAAGCTTTGCGTTGAAACGCTCGCATCTGGCTCGCAGTGATTTATCCAAGGCTGACTCTCGTTTCATGTTTGTCCTCTTTCCATTCTCCAGGTTTGGGGAAGACAATTCAGGTTGCCGCTTTCCTTGGCCGTCTGGCATCCACACTGCATCGACGTGGGCCGTTCCTCATCGTCGTTCCATTGTCAACTCTTGGCAACTGGAAGAAAGAGCTTGGAGCCTGGTTGGGTCTCAATACAGTTGTCTACCACGGCAAAGCGGCTGATCGGAAGATGATACGACATCTGGACATGATCTTTGAAGGCGATCGTCCTAGCTCCGTTCGTTCCAATGAACTGTACCTGCGAAAGTGCTCTCGGTCACGGCGAGCCACGATTGGCAATCCGTGGATGGCAGAAGTAGTGCTCACCACACCAGAGATGATTTGCACTGATGATTACATGGAACTGACAGCAATCAACTGGGAATGCATGGTGGTAGATGAGGCTCAAAAACTGAAGAGCCGTAGATCCAAGATCGCAACCAATCTAAGAGACCCCTCCTTTCACTTTACCCACAAGATCCTTCTGACAGGAACTCCAATCCAAAACAACATGGAGGAACTGTTTGCTCTCCTGAGCTTTGTTGACCCGAAGCAGTTCCCAGATTGTGATGATTTCATGGATCGGTATGGATCTATAGAAAGCAAGGAGAGTCTGGACATGCTCCATGAAGAAATCAGGCCCTACATCCTAAGGCGTCTCAAGGAAGATGTGGAGAAGAGTGTGCCACCGAAGGAAGAAACAGTCATTGAAGTGGAACTGACCCTTGCCCAAAAGCAATACTACAGGGCCTTGTATGAGAAGAATGCCAAGTTTTTGCTGAAGAACAAGAAAAAAGCTGTGGACGGCCCTAGTCTGACCAACCTTGCCATGCAACTCAGGAAATGCTGCAACCATTTGTTCCTTCTTAAAGGAATTGAAGAAGAGTTTCGTGTCAAGCATTGCAAGGGAGGCCAGGCCCTATCGGATGGTGATCTCCTAGTCAAGGGATCGGGAAAGCTTGTGCTGCTTGACAAGTTGTTGCCTCGCTTGAAGGACAATGGTCATAGGATCCTCCTCTTTTCCCAGTTCAAGATCATGTTGGATGTTTTAGAGGACTACATGGATGACCGAAGCATCAAATTCGAAAGGATTGATGGCTCCATCACTGGCCAACAGCGCCAACAAGCCATTGACAGGTTCCAAGCACCTATATCCCAAGGCAAAGAACCACCTTTCATCATGCTTCTGTCCACTCGAGCTGGTGGTGTTGGGATCAACCTTACTGCAGCTGACACCTGCATCATCTTTGACTCTGATTTCAACCCCCAAAATGATCTCCAGGTACGTTTTGGTTGGTTGACTTCTTTTCCGTGTGATGCATCAATTCGAAAACAGGGACTCACTAGAATTAGTTTTCTTCCTCTTTCAGGCCCAAGCTCGCTGCCACAGGATTGGGCAAACGAAAAGTGTAAAAGTGTACAGGTTGCTCAGCCGGCAGACCTATGAAATGCAGATGTTCCACATGAGCTCCCTCAAGTTGGGGCTTGATCAAGCTGTCCTTTCTGGGTTTGAAGGTGGTGCAGAAAGCGCTTTGAGCAAGGACGAAGTGGAAAGCTTGCTTCGGAAAGGGGCGTACTCAATCCTGGGAGAAGACAAAGAAGGGGCCGCGGCAGCCTCAAATGCGTTTGCTGCAGACGACATTGACACAATCTTGCAGCGCCATAGTCGGTTGATTGTGCACGAGAACACTGGCACTGGAAGTGCTTCCGCAGGTGGGAAGTTTTCAAAGGCCCGATTTTCTTCCTCCTCGCCTTCAAAGCAAAAGACCGAACAAGAAGATGTTGCTGTTGACGATCCTCGGTTTTGGCAGGTATGTCATGCTACTTTTACTTGCTTGGGCGTGATTATCAGTTTGCTGCTTTCTTTTGTTAACACAAGTCTCTTTGCCTTTCTTTGGAAAGAAAATGCTTGGCCATGTTGCTGTACCGGTAGGGGATGAAAATGGGGAAGACGTGATAGTTCAAGGGAAACGAGTTCGCAGCGTGCGCAACTATGCAGAGTCCGTCTATGACCAGGAGCTCCAAGCCACGCTGCGCGATAGCGACAACGAAGCCGACGATGGGGACGACAACAATGGAGCCAGTGACAGTGAGAATGAAGACGATTCTTTTGAACAAGGCGAAGAATCCGAGAGCGACGACGAAAACGAAATCGAGGTGCTTCTCTCGCCAGGAGGAACCCAGGCTCACAAAGCTCCGGAAAATAACACTCCCCAGGCCGACGCAAGCTCAAGCCAACCTGAAATTCAACCTGACGAAGCTCCGACAAATAAGAGATCTCAGGCCGACGCAAGCTCAAGCTTACCTGTCTGATTGGATTGAGTTTTGGTTACAGTACAGAGCCGGGGCCATGGCCATCACGAAAGCTGCTGTCGGATCATGACAGAATTGCCAAGAGATATATACAATAAGATAGCTAGCTGTCAAATCTATGATGCCAGGTCCCCTGGATAGAAAGACTATTCCCCGAATATCTATTTCTTGTTATATGAAGCTATATTGCGGTGCTGCAAAGAATAGGGGTTGAATGGCGCACACAAAACGGTAGTACATGGTAGTTTTTTAGCAGGCTATGCCCAGTGTGAGAAGGTACTGTCGCAAGCCGTCGAAGCGGGAGTCGCCCTCATGACAATGAATGACGACTACGACTTGAGTCATCAACTCTGCAACAGCCAAATCCCACATGTCCTTTTCGCGAGCTTCACGGAGGACCGCTGAACATTCCTTGGTGAGCTGCGGAACTTTTTGTGAGAGGCTGAAGAGATTGTCGCTCAGACGCTTTCTCTGGGCGTATGGCAGGGGGAGGGCGGGATACGTGTATGCATCATGCGACGTTGCTGCTTTCGATGGTGTAATCATGCGAAACTGCTCCTGCTTCAACTCCATGGCTTCCACAAAGAGCAGGTCGCCTTGATCACTGTCAGACGGAGATCCGTGCATCTGTCCGTGACGTCGCTTCCTCGACCGCCGGCTGCTACTGCCAGCGCTGCCAGGAGTTCGCGCAGCCGGAGGACTGGAAACAGGTCGGTTTCGTCCTGCTGAACCAGGGGTCCGGGGTCGCTGCGGTGTCGAGCTTCCCGTGGACAGCGTAGAAGTGGGGGAGGTTATCTGCCGTGCCTTGGATCGTCTTGACTCTGGAGTCACTTGCGTGGAACCATTCTGGCCGGGACCAGTCAAGTGTCGCCTGTCAGGGGTTGGAATGGAAGCCTTGCTTACAGTATCGGCGACCGAGCCGTCGTCGGGGCCTACAAAATTATTCATTTCAGACAAAGGCGGCGCAACAATCCCTGGTTCGGCTGCAGCGAATGCATTGACCGCTGGATACACCATAATACCAATGCTTCGTGCCAGTGATTGCATAAACGGGCAAGTGTGATTCTGCTTTGGTTGCCCGCAGAGCTTACAACGATATCGCATTTTCGGTTGCTCGCCAGGACTTGTAGTCGAATCGGCCGCCTTTGACGAATCGTCATTGTCTCCTCCGCCATTCTTGGAAGGTGTCGACGGCGTGGGAGGCATTGAATCATCCGCCTTGAGTTTCTTGTCGTCCTTCTCGGAACCATCAGCTTTGGATGCTTCGTTGGAAGAATGCTCTTGCTTGACACTGGAATCAGATTTTCGATTGTCGTCACTGTCGTCGCCATGAGCTTCTACTGGAGGGTTTTCTTCGAACTCCCAGGACAAGCGATTCTCGTTTTCATAGTACCGCGTTGGAAGAACTTCACCGTACTTCACCTTCGCTCTCGATTGGAAGCGGCTTCCAGGCGGTGTGCCAGTTGACGAGGATGGTGTCACAGTTGGTGTTTCTTCCTTTTCTCTGAAGATTGACTGACCCGATCCGGAGCTATTCTCATATGTTTGACTGCCGCCAAAGGCACAAACAGCCGACGCAACTCGTCGCCTCGCCACTCCCGTATCCTGAGGCGACGGTTCTGGATACATGCCGCTCATCGAAGGTTTCATCTGTCAAGTCGATGACGAGAGAAGCGGTGAGTACCATACAGGAGCTGCGAGAAAACAACACCAGATTAGACTCACCATGGGATCCATTTCACCCAAGTCGCCTGATTTGCCAGACAAAGGGGTCTCCAGCAGCGCTGCCTTTAGGCCTGGCAACAAAAACGTGCACTCCTTGAACGCCGCTCGGTGCTTCCGTAGAAAAATGTAGAAAAGCTGGCCGCCCTCTTCATGCGAGTGCGCCATTCTTCCGTTGTAAGACATTATCGAAGAGTTTTCCGCCCCAAAGGATCTTGTGTAGTTGTGCGACAGCGAGGGTGCCGCCCCAAAGCTGCTGGCACTCAGGCGGAGGTGGCTATCTTCTAGAGGATTCATGCTATTGTTGGGTCGGAGCATGCCATGACTGCCACCTCCAGAATACGAGTGATACATACCGAGTACTTGCGTAGGACTTGCAGATCTGTGATCTTGCCCGCCAAGAACCATCATGTTGCTACCACGCCGAGACGCAGTTGTGGAAGGTCCATTGCCAAATGAGTTGACCGGACTCATTCCAAACGTCAAGGCTCCACCAGAGCCAGAGCCACCCAAAAGCTGCTGTGTATAGTTGCCCCCCGACAAATTTCGTTGCAATGGTTGTCCACTACCAAACTCACCACTTGGAGTTGGTCCTGCACCAAATGAAGTCGACTGGAGCGATGCCTCCAAGCCGCCTACCACATTGAACGTATCCCCAAAGCTGTCGAAGGACTGGTTAAATAAATTGAAGGAAGGGGCCATCTCGATCGACCCCGGTTTTGGGCTGCGTGAAGGCTGGGACAAAACGAGAGAGTGTGAAGCGTTAGAAAAGCATGGTTTGAAAACTCAACACTCGTTGACTCTATGACTCTATGTCTCTTACCTCAAAAAAGTCAGATGGATGCTGATGGTGCGAGTGTTGAATTTGCGGAGGTTCATCAGGACTTGGAGGCAAGTCGGGATTTTCCTTCCGAGTCTTGGAAGAGGGTTGCTTTTCTTCAAACGATGTAGATGGTGTTCGAAGAGAAAGCAAGATCTTTTGCGGACTGTCCTCTTCGGTTGGAGCACGATCTTCCCGTCTGGAAGGCGGACCATCGCTACCCGGACGTCCTCGAAACACAGATGCAGGAGTACCTGATCGACTATGCCGTGAAGGCGGTGCTTCGGCTGCCCTTGGAACATGAATTGGTGTTGCAGTGCCAATCACACGGCTCATACCGCCGCCGCCACTCCTGGGTGGAGGCCCTCCCTTGGGACTTGTACGCCCATCTGGAGGCCCCCCTCCACGATAATAAGGTTGACCATATCGGTCTGAGGAAGGTGACATCGAGCGACCATCCTTCCGCATATCTGGTTCATAAGGTCCTCTGCTGCTACCACTATTTCGGTCTCGATATCTTCGGTCATCACTGGCATGTTCGTCGTAGGACGGATGCATGCTCCCAGACCGGCCTCCATCGCGATATCGATGGTCATTGCTACCATAGCTTCCAGCTGGTCCATGCCGCCCATACAAATCTCCACTGCCAGCACCGCTCCCCCCAGGCAAACGATGAATGGATTGGGAATGTCCGTAGCTGCCGCTCCTCCGGGGACGTTCATGGTCCTCTGCTGGCCAGCTGCGAGAACTTTGGAAGTGATTGTCGTAGCTAGGGAATTTGGCTGGTTCGTCACCGGGACTTCCAGCACCGCGATGTCGATCATCACGAAAGGACCCCCGTTCGGACCATGGTGGCCCTCCCGGGTTGCTAGACAGTGCTTTCGCTGCAGCAGCCGCTGCGGCTGCTGCAGAGGATGGATTGGAATCAGATTCCGCATGGTTCATGGGAGGAAACCCTCGACCATCATGAGATGCAATGGAATTTCGATTGGTCATTGCTGGGGGAGATCTTGACCTTGTCCGACCACCTCTTCGACTAGTGGCCGTTGTCCGCGTGGCTCCCCCCGAATTGTTCGAGTGGACTGACGTTGTGGAGGGAGGGCGATTGTTGCCGCTCATGTTTGCATTCTTTGCTATTGCCGGCATTTCGGAGGGGTGTCGGAAGGCCGCTGGAGGCGACGGAGAGTTGCGGTGAGTAGACGAAGGAGAAGATCGATCTGGATGTCCATGAGCATTCTCTCCGTTTCTGCTTTTCGGTCGTTCACTGCTAGAACCACTGGGTTTCACCCTCTCGTCGCGAGACTTTCCTACTTCTCCGTTACTTGGTTCCGAAGGTGGTCTATCAGTCATGATCCAAACAGCAACCCGCCCTTTCCATGCAGACGCCACAGCCTATCCACCTCTATTAATAGTAATGATCAAAGTTGTGAATGAAAATGGAAACGAGAAAAGCATTCCGTTAGAAAGGACAAGAGAATTGGTTTTGGGTGGTATCAAACCTCCCCCCTGCTGCTCTTTGCACTCTTCCAGACCGTCAGGCCAGCCTAGCTTTCTGGCAAGTCCGTGCAGGGAGATGGCTGCCATTTCCAGTGCAGTTACGAATTCGTACCTCCACAGTCGTGCGTCGCAGCAGTGGAAACCTATCAACTAACTGGCAACAACCACACTACTAGCTAGAACTACTCCTGACACTTCTACTTGACAACCCCCAACCAATGAATGGTTGATCCGATCTAACTCAAACCACAGGCTCCCACACCACGGTCCTTATTATTCACAGAAGAGTGGTGGGTGGTGGTGTCGATTGTTATTGTTGCCGTTGTTTATTCGACGAAGTGTTGAATCAAATGAGGCCAGCCCATCACGCAAGCTTAGCCCAACAAAAAACACATAGTAACTTTTTTTATTGGAGTCCGCATGGGTAATACAATCCTCAGGAATGGAGATAGTGATTAGTATTCTCAACGCCCCATTGCAAAACCTATGCATATGGGTCAGTTTACCGTGGTTTGTAAACCAATTTATGCAAATGTTGGTTATAAAGACTATAGTACAGCCACCTTTACTTGACCAAATATCATGTTCTTTCCATGTCCACTGGGATCGGTTGAAACGTCAGCAATAGGATCTTCAGGATTGATTGTTCCAATATACATTGGCATGGATCAACGCTTGTGCCGATTTGGCTACCATCATCGGATTTTCAGTACTTAGAGAATTGGCACTTGGGGCATCGCACAGACTGGCAGTGACAAAATACTCACAACAGGGCGCACTGGAGCGTTGGTGGATTGGATAGCATAGCATGGGAAGCCAACAACAGTCATGTCATGTCATGGAGCCTGAACCTTACTACCGGCTTTTGGTGGTTTAGGGTGGCAGCCCATGAGCTGTAGTATGTGGTACGGCACGGCACCTGTACCAGTATTCCCTTGCAGACCTTGCTGGCACCCGGCAGCTGTCCTCACGGCCAAACTGAAAAGAATGGAAGACTTGGTTTTAGCTGGGGTGGTTGTCAGGATTCTGCTTCCTTGACTGGGGCGTTGCCACTACCTATAATGATCTACTAATTAGCTAAGGATGCCATCACTTGTTGTCGTTGCTCATTTTGATTGCTTGGACATGGCAAATGGCAAGTGCAGCTAAGCACGATGCATGCATGCTCCCAAATCTTGGTGCCCCGCTTACTACGGGTAGTACAGTAGCTGATTATGGGCCTCTAGAGTCCGAGTGACTGTCCTCATCCAGATGTTTACTGTAGCTCCACTTCTTCAGTTCAATTATACCTTTAAAAAAGTTGCTCTCTTCATGGCGGAGACAGCCTGACCTTGCTTTTTCTTTGAGCGGTTCACCCTAATATTCGATTATTCCAGTAAATGCATTTCGAGAAGTTCGAATTGCCTTCGAAAAATCAAATTTAATATCCTTATCCTTACCGTATGAACTCCTGACCACACATCCACGCATCGACCACCCACGATGATGTGTTGAGCGTGTTGCTTGACATCAACAACTTTGTCTGCCGGAAAGATACTGATCCATTCAACATACCAAAGTAACTATTACTAAGTAATAGTACAGGTACCAAGATGGGTAAGAAAAGCAAATCATCCACAGCAGGATCGTCGTCTGCCGCCGATGACGCCAAGCATGAAGCCCAACTACAAGCCGTGATACTGGCAGATCCCTTTTCGGACACGTTTCGTCCCACGAGTTTTGACCGATGCGCGCCCATGTTGTGTCCCTTGAACAATGTCATCTTGTTGGACTACACGATGGATTTTTGCGCCGGTGCTGGCGTGGAAGAATTGTTTGTGGTGTGCGTGGATGAACTGGTCGAGAAGCACGTGAATGCATGGCAGCAAACCAATTCGGCCATGATGTCGGTCACCGTGGTCCGAGACCCCAGTTTGACCAATGCCGGTGACGCCTTGCGAGAACTAGATCGAAGAGATCTGGTACAAAGTGATCCCTTTTTGCTGCTGCGAGGAGATGTCGTGGCTAATGTGGATTTACAGCGTGTCTTGCAGGAACACAAGGAGCGACACAAGCAAGACAGTAGTGCCATTATGACACTCTTGTTCAAACCAGTCAGTCCCTGGAATGTCACTACACCACCACAACAAGACGACAACAAGGGTGTAACCACCAAACCAAAAGCAACCTACTCCACGCTTCGATCGAGTACAGAAGATTTGGTGGTGGGACTGGATACATCCACAACCGTGGCAGGGCATGCACCCCGCATCTTTGTCTACGATGATCAACCCTCCCAGAGTGCCATCAAGGTACCGTGCTCCTTCCTCACGGCGTGTCCCAATCTAGACTTTCGCTGTGACCTGCTAGATTGTGGCATTGACATTTGTAGTCCCGATGTTCTCGCTCGGTTCAGTGATGCCTTTGATTACCGAGATATCCGACGAGAGTTTGTGGCCGACTCGGTGGCAGAGGAAGAAGAAGGACTACAACAAAAACTGTATGCGCACATTCTACAACCGCATGAATATGCTGCTAGAGTTCAAGATTGGAGAACCTATTCCGCCGTCTCGTATGATCTTTTGAGACGATGGTGTTACCCCATTGTCCCCGACAATTTGCCGTCGGGATACGAGAAACAGTTCCGATATGTACAACAAAGATCCCATGTCTATCGGGAACAAAAACTGGGACGGACGCGGGTAGGACGATCGTCCGTCATTAAAGGAGGTGGAATGATTGGAAGTCATTGCTTTATTGGCGAAAACTGTGTCATTCAGGGAACCGTCATTGGGAATCATTGCCATATTGCCGACAATGTCACATTGACCAACTGTCATGTTTGGGATGGAGTGAGCATTGAACAAGGCGCCACGGCTGTGAATTCCATTCTGGCATACGAGTGCGTGGTCAAGGCAGGTGCAAAAGTGTCCAAAGGATGTGTCGTTGGAGAAGGATGCATCATTGGTGCCAACATGAAACTTCCTACCTTTAGTCGCATCACGACAGTCAGTAAGGATGCAGAAGGGTCGGATGATGACAGTGATGAATTTGACGATTCTGATGAGGACGACGAGGAAGAAGAGGGCACCGCGACAAAAGCCAAGACAGGATCCAGCGGTGGCGGCGGCGATGGTGGAAAGGACGAGGTGGCAGTGGAAACAGACCACCACATTGTAGGCAAGGACGGTCGTGGCAGACTCTGGCTGCCATCGGTTGACGACGATGACGACTCGGATGATGACGATGATGAGGGAGACCAATCAGCGCTGCTTGCCAAAATCAACGAGATGAAGAGTCGTTCCATTGGGTTTGACCCAACCAACTTGTATAGTGAACGCAAGAAAGAACAAGAAAGTGCACAACAAGACGATGGATACAGTGACAACGAAGCCGATAACGATGCAACGATGCGTATGGATGAAGTGGTTGATGATGGCGTTGCATTTGGAACCGCCGACACCCAAACTGATGGAGCTTCCGAAACCCCGACGTATGGCCGTCAAGCAGGCGTGGATGTCGTCCAGGAACTCAAAAATATCTGTCTGGAGTTTGAGCCCGGCAGCCCCATGGAGAATCTGGCTATTGAACTGAACTCTTACAAGTTTTCGCAGAACGCTACCTACTCGGATTGCGCCATGGGCGCCACTCTCGCTGTGTTGGACCTGATGCAGATCACTCCTGGAATGACTCCTGGTAGACTAGTGGGCGCGCTCAAGTCTCAATTGGAGGTGTGGGCACCTCTGCTAAAAAGGTTGTGTATTGGGACAGAGGAGGAAAAGGCCATTATTGTGGCGCTGGAAAACACAGCCATTGGTGGTGGTGATATTGGGACCGTGTTGGGTGTTGGACCGTCCTTCCGGTTTGTCCTGCAAACGCTGCACGACGAAGAGGTCATTGGTGAAGATCCTGTCTTGACTTGGGCGTCTGAGCGCAGAACAGAGATTGCCAGAGGCGATGATAATGCACGGATACAGCTGTTCCAACAGCAGCCAGTCCAAGATTTCTTGGAATGGCTAGAAGGAGAATCAGAGGAAGACGACGACGACGAGGATGATGAAGAAGATGAAAGCGAATAGACTAATTTGACGCTTCGCTCAATCGTAGCTATAGAAATGGTTTCTCTAGAATAGCAGACAACCCAACAACGCCCGGCAGGCCTCGAGTCTAAGTTCATGCACACGGTAGATGTAGTAGTCTAGTTTAGAGGTTAGTGTATTGAGCCTTCAGTTGGGACAAAGGCTGATGTAGCAAGCAAGAAGATACCGTCAATGAAACGTCAAGTCAAGTAAAAGCACACTTCCAAAGGGATGCATTCATAAATAATGATGTGGATGGTGAAACCATGGATATGAAACCGCGGAAATCTTCTGTGTGGATTGTTTATGAAAAGTATCAATAATCTAGCATTCAGAGGGAATGCCGAGCTGAAGGCGGCGTTTCTCATGAGGTGTGGGTGTGTTATCTTCTTCAATGTCCTCATCATCGTCCATCATGAATAGCTCTACATCCTCGGACGACATGAGATCCATGCCAGATTGGAGACAATCCACCAGCACGTCCACATCCAATTCCTCGTCTCCACTGGTTCTCATCCCTTCCAGAACATCACCAAAGGAATCAGTAATCATATCCATGTAGGCGGCTCGAAAATCGTTGTCGTCAGGGCGGTCGATTTCTTCCACGTTGGCCGGTTGCTTTGCTTCTTGCTGAGCAGTCAGAATGTTTTCTCGAGCTCGATCCAGCTTCTCTAACATTTCTTGAGGATCCTTCCAAGGATTGGTTGGGGAATGATCATGGGGATCGCGTTCACTGAAAGAACGAACAAGCTCCATGGCTTTGGAGATAGCCCGATCGACCCTGTCAACCATTGTCAATTTGCTCTAAAACTAGATGATAGTAATAGTAGTAGCACTCTAGATTTGGAGATGAAGCTTCTTTTTGTGGTCAATAAAGGCAAACGAGCTGATGTTGATGTTCTCTGCCAATAGCACAAGGACCTCTTCTTCTTTCCCACAGCGAAGCACAGGAACCTTTTGTGACAGTGTGGTACTAATAGAATTCTATTTGTTGTGTCGTGTCATTGCCCTTACTCTACTAGCTAGTAGCTAGTAGCTAGTACATCGTACTTTCAGACTTTCTCCGTCGGGCTTTCTCCCTCGGATCTTTCTGGAATTCTCAAAAATTCAATGGTTGCAAAAGCACCACGAAATTACTGAGGTTCGGGCCAAAGAGCCAGTGAGTGGTGGTGGGAAACCTTTTTTTATAACAAACCGTCCCCCCAAAGGTTCACGGGTGCGTTGGTGCTTGGCGCTTTTTTTTGGAAAGCAAGTGTAGTCTACAAGCTGCTTTGTTACAATTCTCAAGAGTAGACTAGGTGGTACTGTAGAGTCTACTTCAGTTTTTTTGATTTTGGTGGCACAGTGCAGTTGTACAAAAGCAAGCCTGGTAGCAGCCAAGCAAACCAAGCAAACCAAGCAAACTATTATACCGGTAGAGCAGCTACGCCAGGATGAGACCTTACCATTGGCTCCCTTGCCATAGTAATCGCGCAGCCCAGGTCTTGCTGTACCATGGAGCGATGTTCTGAAATCCTTCAAGCAACCTGGGGTTCAGGTGTACCTAGCTAGCTAGAGGAAGAGCAAAAAGCACCAAGGTTTGGTTTCAACGATGGATGGGCTTGGATGCAATATCTCTGGTAGTAGCCAGCATCTTCCGAATATTTGGAGTGGGCCAGCATGTTTCGAAACAGAGGGACTGTGGAACCATTGCAGTGCATTGCGTGTTCAACGAGTGGGATGAGGTGCTTCTTGCTCTGCATCTTCCAAAAGCAGGGGAAGGAGATTCACAAACAGGCTTGTCCCATTCTGTGGATACTATGCTACCAGCTGGCCAGCACAGCGCCAGAGATCTAACTGGCAGACTAGTAGCTAGACAGTTTAGGTGGTTGCGAATGCCAATATCTAACGTTGCGAATCCCAATCTGGCACCCATGGACTGAGAAGCTGCCTGAGATACCCGCGATGAAAAATGATGAATCTTCAAGTCTTAAGTATACCGTTCGGTAGCTACACTAACTAGCTAGGAAAGTAAAACTTTGGTGATTGGAGGGAATTTCTCATCTATAGGATTGTTTCTATAGTAGTAGACTGTTCGGCCCAGAAGGCCAAGCATATAAGCACAGCCCGAATCGGACCAATGCAGATTGCGTTCAGGGCGACAGGTTCACTTGGATATCCTGATTACTGTAGCCATTGTGATGTGTCAAGCATGACATGACAGGCAGATAGATAAAAAGCTGGCTCTAGCTGGCTACACCAAGCTGGAATCAACACGTGGAAGGGGATGATTGTAGAAGCACGTACAAGGGTGTGTAGGTAGGTAGGCAGGTCATCAAGTCGAGAGGAGAAGGTAAGCAAGTTGAAGTAGTAGGTAGAGGTAGAGAGAGATAGACGTCGAAAGTGTGCTGAGTTCAGGCTGCAGCAGGGCTCGCAGACCACAGCTCCAACTCAGATGCCCCACTGAGGATCTTGATATCTTCCAAGACAGCAAGTCTTCTGGAAGATATTATCTTACACTCTTTCGGCTTGTTGGGTGCACAGCTATCGTCCTCATCATCATCATCATCTTCCAAGACAGGGCAAGATGGGTTGGAAGATTGGGAAGGTGTTTCTACAGTGCGCTCTCGCACATCGTGATGATCTTGGATCCCCTGAAGCAACGCCATACCCAAACATCTGGAGGAAACAAGACGGTACGCAGCTGCGATTTGTTCAGGATCTTCTCGTCCTTCTCTCCACAGCCTTTGCTGTGTCTGTAGGACAGCAGCGTATGCCTTGAGCCTCTGCTGACTGCGCTTCAAGGATCCCTCGGAGGTTCGGCACTCCAATCCACGCTTGGTGAATGTATCGGATTCCACCGACAGATCGTTGCGTTGTTGCTCCATGAGAAAAATGTCCCGTTGGATTTGGAATCTCATCTCACGAAACTCCTCTGGACGGTACCATGCGGCCTTGATGTCATCTTCCGAAAAGTCCTTTACATGAAGAACTTCAAATACTTCATCTTCTTGTGCAAAGCGGACCCTGGTGCTTCGGGTGTTGGTGGGTGTCAAAGAGGTAGTGGAGGTAACGGATGATTCACTGCTACTAATAGAAGATACGCTGGATTCGCACTGATCAAAAGGGCTAGAGTCATCGTCACTCCAATCGACACAGGAAAAATCAAACGACATGGTTGCTCTGGGATAGTATAGGTTGATAAAGAGTATGCTTTTGTGTCCAAGAGTCTTGAAAGTTTATGGATATCTGATGAAAGGGATGGTTGGCTCCAAAAAGATAACAAAACAAAAAGTAACTGATCTTGTAGAGCTTCTTGTAGTAATAGTGGTGGCGGTATTAGGCTTCTCGGCTTCCCACAGCATCGTACCAACCAAGCAAAAGCTGCGATCTTGGCTCTTTTGTGACCCAATGTTCTCTCCGACGAAGCCTGTGCCGCTGAGATATCTTCCTTCTAAGTGATCTTTCGTGCTAAGATGTCAAGGATTTAGGATCCACGAGGCAGGATCCTGTGCTGTGTTGCTAAGAAAGGTCCTACAGTATTTCTACGAGAAAATTAGTATACCAGAGTCATATGACCTGGATGACTCAGTCTCCGTGACATCGCAACAACCCAACAAACCAAGCAAGGAAGAGGAAGTCAAAGGAAGCAAGCTGTCCCGGAGTATCTTTTATCTTTTTTCGGGACAAGACGAGCCAGCAGCCACTCGTTGGCATGGCCAAAAACCAAGAGCGGAAGCATGTACCGTTTTTTGAACCAAGACGTCGCCAGTAGCGAAAGATGGATGACTACGACCAGCGGCGCGGTGCAAGCTAGCAAGGGCAGGGTCTTTGTTGGAACAGTACCGGTGGCGCGATGCGATAGCCCGCAAATCTTGCCTTGATAGTCTAGTTCCCACCACGAGTAGCAAACAGCAAAATACTTGTCGAGTTAGCAGCAAGGTCATCAAGAGGCATTTCTAGCCACTGTTGCGCCAGAAGCTAAACAGTTAGGTCATCCACTGTTTAGACTTGCTTCACAACGCACTTGTATGGATACCGGTAGCTTCCCCGCCGTCCTCTTGTTGCCCACATGGTACCGTACGCAGGCAACACAATTAATTTACTACATCATGATGGGCTGAACTAGACCACTAGCTAGCTAGTGGCGAGATTGGCTTTGTTGGCTGAGCGGACATGCGGCTCCACGTCCGCTCCCCATCTAGCACCTGCCAGATTAGTACCATAGTAGACCGACCAAGTGAGCCCTTGCTGGGTTCTGAAAAGTAGGACTAACAAGTAGATAGTACAGTACCATGTACCATACTCCTGTTCGAAGTGGCTGTTGCTGCTATGTGTTGCCCAGCTCTCGTCCAACAACACTGGTACGAATGTTAAAATTAATAACGCCTGCAGCTACAAAGCATTCTACAAGCAAACAAGGCAATGAACCTCTTTGCTGTGCAGTACTGGGCAAGTATTTCTGGGTTGCCTAGCTATCTAGACTAGCCAATTGGTACGGTGTAGACTGTTGGCATGCAGAAACGGTGAATGTTATTAGGTTCATTGGGTTGCTGTGGCCAAGGTTGCTTGCTAAGATTCTGGTCGGTGCCTGGTTTGGCCTGGGACTTGGTCGGTTGTAGAGTGCCGCAGTTGGCCTGATAGGCAGCTGCGAATTGAACCGGACCGCTTCTCCCTGCCCACTTGCTGGCTGAAACAGCTCTCACTCAGATTGAGACCATTCGCTCTGGGAACGAGATGAACGTTGAACATATGTACTAGTTAGTCTAGCTATTAATAGAGTACGGAGGAGTCAGTCAGAGCCTGGGGTGGGCCAGTTCTCTGAACGAAGCTGATCTCGCAGTCACAGTCCGTGGTCGCTACAGCCAACCATCTAGTAGAGCGATCTACCGCCCTCTTGCATCACATCCTACAGGTACTAGATAGCTAGGCGAGAAGCTCTGACTCTGACTACTAGTTGGGTGGTGGCACTGAGCTACTAGCTAGCTAGTTAGGAAGAACTGCACTTTTGCAAGTCCCAAACAAACCAGCCAGTTTCCTACTAAGGAGAAGAAGGTATTGCATTTGGTGGCAATAGCCTGAGTATGTGTGGTCTAAGTAGTAGGTGAAGCTTTGGTTGCCTAGTTAACATTGGTCTTAGTACTCTAGAGACTGGGGTTCAACAGAGTACTAGTAGTTACGGTACCTTGGATCCAAGTTTCTCTTTTGGCATACTGTAGTCTGTAGTCTAGTCTTTGTCATGCGCAACCAACCAAGCATCGCTCCCGGAACAAATAGGTCACAATTTTTTGTGTTGCTTGCAGTGGGCAAGCATTAATTTTGTGCTGCTTTGCAAGTTGGTACTTTTAGAGGGTACCGGTACACTGTTGGCAAGGGTGATTGATGGCGGGTGATGGGCAATGTGGCTTGGGGCAATTCGAGTGGAATCAGGACATGTAAATTGATGGCCCTATTGATGGCATGTAGATTGATGGCAAGTGGGACCTAGCTATGGCATCTGAAGCCTGCACCAGTATTTCTGGCTGGGATTCCCATTCTCTGTTCTTTCTGTAGGATTTTGTTTTGGTAATGCCATTGCTCATTGCTCTACAACTATTGTTTGTTCTAAAAATATCATTGAGCATTGCTTTGGCCCAACAGCAAATGGGTATCCCATTTATCATTCGGAAATCCGAAGCTCTAGTGGTAGAATCGCAATCCCCATTCGTTCCAAACAACAATGAAACTCTCGCTGCCATCGCTGACACTGGCTTGTAGGAAAGAGGGCGAATTGCCCTTCTGGAATATTGCAGGAAGCCAAAGATGAACTTGAAATTCGGGGTACCAGCTAGTAATGCGGAGCCCAACCATATCTCCGATACCCCTCTACGTTCCCTCAAATCTAAAAGTTCACTACGTTTTGAGACGCCTTGACCGGTACGTACGTACCAGGTACCACTTCTGCTGTCAAAAGATCCCCAAGTTCTTGCTCGCTTGATACTGACAATGGCTGATGGTGATCTACCGTAACGTCTTTTGTGGCAAGCAAAAGGCGCGAGATTTGCTTGTCTGTATTTCTCGATCTCCTAGCTAGCTAGCTTTTAGATTGTGTTGTTCATGAGAATGTTATATTTGAAATTAATAAAATTACAGAGAATTTCCGGTTTGGTTTTAGTTAGGCATCTGGGAAGAGGAGACGGATTGAACGCCATCGTTGTGCCCCACAGCACCGGCACAGTTTCGTGACGGATAACGCAATGAACGAATACTATGAATATCGTACCGTACCGCGGCCCCAGCTGGGCGTCCTCCTTGAAGGGTTATCTCTTTCGGTTGTCGAAAGATGGACAATTAGCGCGTATGTGTCAAGTCATGTCTTGTCATTGGGGTGCTTGTTCATGCCACAGCGGTAGTTGGTTGATTCCTACGCAGCAATTTGGATCCGCTGAATACCCGCTTGAGTCCTTTAAAACTGCTTCGGAGGCTGCGCTCATGGAAGCTACCGGAGCTCTTGAGCTTTTGGAATCGCTTGGGAGCAGCCGGCACCGATGCGCTGGAGGAAGTGGAAGCTACCGTACTGTCATCTGCGGAGCGTTCGGAAGATTCTCCCTTGCCGGTCAAATAATCCTTGACATCTTGTTCGTCTCTTCGTCCCAACGCCAATGCTTCAAAGGAGCACTTGCAGTTGACATCGATGTATACCTTGGCCAACTGTTCGTCGTCTCGGGTGTCTTCAAATAGCTGACGGTCTTGTTCGTGAAGTACTGCGGCCATGCCGTCATACTTGTTCTTCATGCGACGACGGGCGCCATCTTTGGTGCGGTATTCCAGTCCGCGGGTGCAGTGCTCTTCGCTGTTGGCGGATTCCTCGGGTGTCAGGGCACCCGCCGCCATGAGCTGCACAGTGGGAGCAAAGGACTTTTTCATGCGTTGAAAGTCGTCGTTGTTGAACCACACATCCTTGGCTTGCTCCCTCGTGATTTTGACAATTTGGCGGACTTTAGCGGTGGGCGCAAAGGAAACGCGAATGGTGCGGGAGGGGGTATCTTCGTTGTTATTATTAAGCTGACTGGCGGAGATGGCACCGTTCATCTTGTTGGCTTCAGTTTCGTAGGAGGTCCAAGAGGCGTCTCTGAGGCTGGGCTCGTCGCAGTCGGCGGAGGCTCGGGGTGGCATGGTGGATAATGAATGGGAAGTGGTGCTGGGGCTGGAGTTGACCTGGTGCGGGATAGCTAGCTGTTGTAAAGCTGTTGAATTGTGAATGAAGGAAAGATAAAATTATGAGCTGATAGATAATGAGGTGTGATGGGTGCTCGGGAAAGACCGCTTGAAGCAGAAGTGAAGAACATACACGATGACCTTAAACATACTTTAATGGCACAGTCTTTGCCCTGATCATGAATTCGAACACAGACATCAAAGACTACCGGGTATCCTACAAAACGCTACGCAAAAATGTGTACGATAGACACAGCAAGCGAACTGGTGATCACAAGTGCCAAATGAGGAAACTGATATTTAAGTATAGTCATCAGAGAAAAGGAAAAAGAAAGTCATGGCTGGATTAGAATGACTGTCGCTTTCCTTGAAATACAGCTGATGTACTCAACAGTTGACCCTTATCATTTAGATGGTCTACCGTACCAAGACAAAATAAATAGTTTCGCCCATGGGACTGACTCGGCTCCACTCAGTGCCTTTAAAGACCTACCGGTAGAGGTACCGGTCGTCCCTACAATGTACTATTAATGCAGTAGCTAGCTAACACACGGGTACTTGCTCGGTATTCATTCTAAAGGACGTTTTTTGAGCTAGCTAGCACTGACGAAAGTTTGAAACATGTATGCATACCGTGCCGTATAAGGCACTTGATAGTACTGCAACTTGATGCTATGATTACTTTAGGTCTGTAGTTTTTGAAGGCGATGCTGCCCGAGAGTGCGCCTTTTACCGCACAGGTTGCACAGTACCCAATTTCACTGGTAAGCGCAACGTCAACAGTTTTGCAAAGATCTCCTCGTGCTTTTATTAGGTACCAGTTCCATTTTTTGTCCTATTTGCCTCATTATCTTATAATCAAAGTATAAGAGAAGCATTGTCGATGTCTTTCAGTCAGGGGAAACACAGTCCGACAATTGCCCGTCACTTTTGTCAAATTCGGTCTTCTTCGTCGGTGCTTTAAGGCATCCTTAACCTTACAGACACATACAGTACTTCGTCCCGCCCGCTTGGTGGGTGTTTCTCTTTCTACCGTGGGCTTGTATCGTAAAGTTTGCCTGGAAATGAGAAAACTTATAGTACTTATCAGAGATTTATTAAACATATTGGGTACACACTGCTGAGTTACTCGGTCTCACAAAAGATCATGTAATCATTGCAAATTGGTGATGGTCAGGGCAGATGGCTACTGGCTATAGAAGTTGTTACATGTACGGTACTTGATGATGGTCAGGGTAGGTGGCTACTAGCTATCAAGGAACAGACAGTGAGTGTCCGCAAGCCAGAATATTTGGGCTCTGCCAATGCACCGATTCTCGTCATCCATGGCTGACTCCTCGTCCCTCTGGGGATGGGCACTGCACAGTCGACAACTTTGTTGGTCACTTGCACTCTCTGTGTATCTCACCAAAGAAGCGGTATGCATCAAGACGGCTGCACGCCAACCTCTCCATTCTTCATCTTCTGGTCTGATCCTCTGACCATTTCCTGTCAGGCAGCGTCGGGAAAAGTTCTCACCTGTTTGTCTGAAGTCCGTCGTCGTTACCACATGTTTGTCCTTGCGTCCGTTGTTCTGCGACGAGGGCATGGTTCGGCTTTGGGGCCATGGCGGTTGCCTCGTCCACACAACCACAGCAGGCAGATATTCTGTGTTGCTCCGCCCTTCCAAAAGTCTAACTGGCTGGATGATGAGATGAATTAGGAGATTGTGTAGGCATGGTACGCGTGTCAAAGGTTTTGTCGTTCCTAGTGACTGCTCAAAGATATCTGGTCACTCAGTGATGTTTCCCAGTAGATGCAAGACCAACCCAGCCACAAGCCAAACATAATTGTTTGTCAACAGTCTTCTGAGCTTGGTGAAAGAGAATGAACTGAGGCGAGAAAACGCTGGACGTGCAGGTATGATTGTGGAGCAAACTCTTTTGAGGGATGGTTGCACTCCCTCTCTTCCTATTGTAGCCTCTTCTGTCCCAGTGATATTTTGCTTGCTTCCGTGTCGCCCAAGAGCGCAGTACAGTAACCTGAATTGGGATACGGTTGGAGGCATCGGAAGCGTGGGAGTGGTTGTACTATTAAATCCAACCGCTCAACTGTGACTGAGAAGAAAGTGGGACCGAACCAAAAGTCTCGGCCAAACAGAGGTCGCTAACCCACTCAAGGAAGATACACGTACACGAAAGTCAAAGACAATCTCAAAGTCATGAAGGGATCATAGCAGCAATGACGATGAAGTTTGAACGAACTCAGCGATTCTCCTTGTTGCTGTTTGCTCTTGTTGTGTGGCTTTGCTACTCCAGAGCACCGGTATCGGATGCAAGTCGAGGAATTACACCAGTCTCCAGCAAGCAGCCACAAGAGCGACTTCTTTCTTCGTCATCATCGGCATCGTGGAGAATAAATGATCAAACACTTGACTTGTTACCCAAGCTTGATCATGACAAGAACTCCAAACGCTCGCTAATCTTAACAGACATTGGCTGGAACAATCCCGACCAATCCTATGCCTTGCGCTGGTTTACCAGGTCGATCCGTACCAGAGAACTCTTGCAAGCCTTTGTACGTCACCCAGATTTTGACGCTACTTTTGTCTGGAGCGACATGATGACCAACGCTAGTCAGGTCGAGATCGATCCGCAGAAGGAGTATGTTGTGTTCATGGATATTGAGAGTGAGTCGAGTTTTCCCATCAGGATTCAGGATCAGGGCTAGAATTGCTGCTTGTACCTTCGTGTAGGATTAACTTTTCCACTTTTTAATCTGAAAATGCAATGACAGCCTGTTTTGAATCCCATTATCCACATTACACAGGAACCTTTGAATCCAATGCAGACAAGAAATTTGGACGCGTGGTGAAAAGCAAAGACAACCCCTGCCAAAGACTTCCCTTGGGGACATGTCGGGATCTCGTAAGTGGGATTTTAGATTCGCCTCTATTTCAACTTGCAAAGAAATCAACGCTATTTTTGATGGATTGCTCTGGTGGGGGTCTTCATCCACAATATCGGCACGATTTTGAAACGTCCACACAAGTTTCGGTTCTATCTGTTGGGTCGGTCGCCGGTCAACTACAAGACAAATCCGATATGGGGCTGCCTCACGCTGCTGTGTATCCTATATATCTTAGCGATGGTGAAGAACAAGACATTCGCTCTTGCGAGAGCGACAAGACAACAACCAACAGTAGGCCCCACTTTTTCACCTGGATCGGCGACGGTAGAATAGGGAGTCCCAGGGGAGGCCTCTTTACACTCCGCAAAGATGCTAGAGATGGCGAGGATGTTGTCATTATGCACGACAATGAATACAAAAAAGATTTACTTTCAACTTACAAAGGCCACGTACGAAAGTCGCTGTTTGTGGCCACTCCTCGAGGGATGGATCACTCTCCATACCGCTTTACCGAAGCTCTGAGTGCAGGTGCCATTCCAGTAGTTCATTCCGATGGGTGGGTATTGCCATTCCGAAAAAAAGTAGTTGATTGGAGCAAGTGTGCTGTGATAATACCAGAAGCCAAAGTTGACAAGACGTTGCAGATCCTCCGAAGCATCAGCCAACAGCAACGGTGTCGAATGCGGCAACACTGTTACTTTGAGATTTACCAAAAGTATATGGCCAACGCCACGGCCAACCTGGAAGGAATTCTGGAGAGTCTTCGAGCCATTTGAATATAGCTGAGTAAAGCGGATTCGTATAATGTGTTTTGTACTACCGTATAGTAAGCGAGCGAGGAGGACAGGATTGCAATCCTTCAATTCACTATTGCAGAGGCAAATTGAACATGCTACAGTTACTGTCCATCTCCGGTCTCTGGGCCATGCAACTAACCTCTCCGTTTCAACAACATGACTTTGTTTTTCATCCATATCTTGCTTCATGAACCCACCGTCGCATGAGATCGAATCAGATCAATCCAGTACTGCTTGGTAAGTTTCTCGTAGCGGAACGTCTTTGCCAATGGCACAATACGTCGGTACTCTTGTTCCAACCACTCGGGTGTAAGGTTGTCATAGGAATCGATCCAAGCCACTGGCAAATCGCGAAAGGTTCGAAACCATCCATCCGTGCGATTCAAATGCTCCAACACTGGAATCGTCCCCGTGTACAGAGCTTCCCAGTGCCGATAGCAATCCAAACCAAGTCCACCGGGTGAAAGAATGAATTTGGATTGTTGCAGCTCTCGAAAGTAGTGATCGGCGCCCCTGGTTGTTCGAGAGTACGTATTCCTCACTCCCGGAAAGTTGCGCAGCACCGTGTCCAAGACTTGTTTTCTCATTTTCCGAGGCCGACTGTTGACCATTAAGAGTTTGGATCGTTGGTTGTTGCTACGGTTGTCACGTATGGCCTGCAGCAGAGGTGGCACTTGTCGGTCCAAGACGCCCAAGGGGATGGACATGACTTTTGGGTGATCCAAGTCCTGGAATTGCACCGTGACGACCGCCCGGAGAGATTTGTCGCGGTTCAAAAAGTTGCGCAAAATCATGGTCCGACTGCAGCCGTGGAGGCGCCAGTGTTCTGTCAAATTCCAGTGTTCGGCGGTTCTGTTGGCAATGTTGGTCGACAGCATCCCCCAGTTCTCCTGAAAGGGTGTCAAGAACAGAACATAATGCGAACGTAACGATTTGCGTTTGCTCAAGACAAAACTCTTGGCGTAGGAGCAAATGTCGCCCGCAACGTAAATGCCTGGTTGTTGGATAATACTCGTGTTGTCGGTAGTAGAGAGTCCAAATTCCCAAAGGAGTGGGTCAAAGGCTCGTGACTTTTCTCGCGATTTCCAATCGAGAATAGTGGACTCGTTCACGAGCGTATTCATTCTTTCTCGGTGAATTGTGTAGAACAAATTCTGCTGCTCTTGCCAGCCATGGGATGGAGCGACAATGCTCTTACTGCTGAAAGTTGGCAGAGGTTTTGTAGCAGGACTTTCTTGATCAACGACGACCACTTGGTGGATTGATTTTCTCTCCTTCAGGTTATTCTGGTGGACGGAAACAAATATCGGACTACTAGCAAAAGATTCCCACTGGTAGTTGTGGAGGGACGTCAACAGATAGTATGCTACTCCATTGCCGAGAACAGCAATCCCCAGAAGGGGTAAGAGAAAAGTCAACAGTACACGAGAAGTCTTCTTGGTGGCAGGAGAGGAGCCCATTCCAACCACTCAGTTGATGAACAACTCTTATTAGACATGATCGATCGATACCAATACTGGACCCCTATTCTCTTCAGCAATCATCATCGCACTACTAGAATGCAGTGGCTACCGATAGTGCTCAGCATCCAGCATCGATGCCACAGTCGTCGCTTCGGCAAAGTACGGAAGAAACTTGATAATAAAATAATATTTTAGGAAGCAGGCCGGCCGAGGAGAAATCAAACCGTGGTGGGAGTAATGTTTCAATTGCCGACCACTCCAACCACAAGCACAATTTTCGCAAGCTCAAAGAAGTGAGTGCCAATGAAGAAGACACTCCTATTCCACTGTGAACTGTACCATAGTAGCCAAATACTACTTGTAGGAGTACCAATCAATTCTGCCTATCGGTCTCACAGCGTGCTTGTCACACCACCAGAATGGAAGCTTTAGCCGTCTCGTCGGAATTAAACCGCATGAGACTCCTAGCTAGCTAGTAGCCACCCTCGTTCCAGAATTGCGTACCATCATGAGAGAATTCATCTCATTATTCGACAGAAAGTCACCTTCCTGCCATCCGCTCCCTTGCCTTGCCAAGAGATCGAGTGAACTGAACTTGCCGACCCTCTGATTGATTCGATCTACGATGAACGTAAAACGAAAGGATCCATTCCAGCCATCGTCGGAGCTTGGACTGAACTCCAACAACAACATGAATGCTAGTACAGTAGACACAACCAAAGGTGACGAAGACAAATCTAGTATGTCAAATAATCACAACGACAAAAAGAGATCCTTTGCAACCCTATCCGACGAACGCGACGAAAAACAAGGCACTGAATCCACATCATCTTTGGCGGCGCTTTCCATTGATCGGAAACAGACAAGAGCTCCTCCCCCAAGTCCCATCCAGCGAGACTCGAACGAAACTCGATTGGCGGCTTTAGCAGAAGCACCCAACAAGGCATGGTGGGGCGAAGGACGATTTCACTTGACGGAACCGGTCAAGACGGAAGCCGCAATTAATGGATCAACACCAAAGAAAGGCTCTCGTGAGATCAAGTATCGTAGTTCACCCGCTACTAGTCAGGTAAGGACTCAATCCCTTTGTAACAGTTTATCAGTGGGCGTAGAAACTTGCTCCAACCAACTGATCTTCTCAACACTTTCATCGGTTTTTCCTTTGTTCTGGATCTTTTAGAGGAGTCAGCAAGGCACTCATGGCGAGTCCTCTTCCTTCCTTTTGTTTGGAAATTCTTTCGATACTCTCAGCGAGTCCGGTGAATATCATGTTCATTCAGATAACTTTGGGGGGCATGCGTCTCCTCGTTTTGGCCGTCTTGCCGGTCACAGCAATCCAGGGACTCCGCGGGTGGAGATTGCCTTGCCCGAGTTACGCCACTCCCACAGCGAGTCGGATGCCTCGCTGGGCGATGTTTCTCCAATCAAAGTTGCCAGGGGCCAAGCACCAAGCAGTGGGACTCCTCCAGGAGCCACCGATTCCTTTCATCTTAACCTTGCCAACTCGGGCCAATACCCTACTCGACACTACCCTCCTCGGGGTCACGGTTGGTATGGAGGTACGAAGGCCAGTTTCCACCCAGCAGGAATTCAACCAGCACCTCCACAGTTTGCGAGTGGGTACGCTTGGAGTCATGGCCATCCGCAACACCCTGGTTTTCCGCCAGAAGGTGAAAGCCATGTGTCCAACCCTTTGTATGTGATTCGTTCGTGCCAGAAGGCGTTTGTCGGGTTCACCTACCTTCTCCCTTGCCTGAGGGAAACGATGATATCTGTCAATCTCAACCGATATGGCCACATTCGACGCTACGAAGGAAATCCCGAGGTAAGACCGTTCTTGGAGCAATGTGCTCTGTTGGCGCTTTTCGGTCGCTATATCGATGTCTAACGTACTTTGACGGCCAAGAAACTGGATGCTGGTTCCATGGAGCTTGTGATTGCAACGCGTCGGGTTGAAACGGCCATTTGTGTTTTCGGAGGGAGTCTAAATCCTCGGAAGTCGTCGCAGACTAGTTCCATCTTTCGCTTGAGAGAGACTGGGTCTGCGACCCGCCAGTACGAACAAGAACTGCCTCAGAGGTACCAAGTGACGGAAAGCCGAATTTCTTGGGACGTGGAGGCAAATCCCCCCGTTGAACCGGCTCGAACTCCAACGAAAGATGAAGGACTCTACACCGCCAAGGGAAGCAACGGTGCGACCAAGGGTTCCCCTCACGTTATTGTCGTCGACGATACTCCCGGTGGAAAGCGTGAGGGATCTCGTCAGTCCTCTAGTCCCACTCCTTCCGCCGATGAAAGTGACAAGAAGCAAAAGTACAGGTAAGCTACACTTGTCGACTGCTGATGCATCCAGCCTATCGAGCGCGAGTCTCACCGCTCGAATCACTCACTTCTTTATACATGTAGGTGCAAGCTTTGCGGCCAACCAAAGCAAAACCACAACTGCTCTTTTCGCCAATCGCTACAACGAAGTATTGGCGTCCAGGTTTACTCAGCCGTGAATGCATACACAGCTAGTGAGCCCGGCGCGGTGGCCCCCAACCTATCAAAGATGAATAACTTTGTGTCATACGATTCGTCGGGTGGGATCCCGAGTCACATTGCCTCGTCTCCACCAGACGCCAGGTATTCGGGCATGGATTCTGACAACAACGCAGAGCGTCACCCCAGCACTGTCACTCCACAAACTATCCGGGATGGTAGTGGTGGTGTTGAGGTTCATTCTCCCCAGTCATCCTTGTCCACTCATAGCCAGGAAATGTCACCCCAGGTTGCTTCAGCTTCGAGATCTGGTCCTGGCTCTGACACCCTGGCTCCTCCAGGCAACGGGCACTATCATGTTCACTTTTCTCATCCTGGATCAGGACCTGGGGATAAGAAACGTTCTCGGATTGCAGATCGACCGTATCACCACACCTGCTTTGCTCCGTCGGTTGCCCTGAAGCCCGAACATTACAGGGCAGTGACACCCTATCGTAGCGAAGACAATTCAAGAATGGCTCCGGGGTCTTATCAGTACGCCCGCGTACCGGTGACATTTGCCGAACGCAAGCGCTTGAGTGATACTTTGTTTTTCTTTTCCAAGGAGATTCCCAGTATGACTCGAGACTGCGGTGCCATTCTCCGCGAGGCTCGTGAAAAAGGCGAGTGGGACCAAGCAGTTGCTGAGCTGCTAACGCAGGTCGTTGTGGGGCTCTATTGCGGAGAAGGCGATTCCCACTTGGATGGTCTTCAGCAGTATCTCTTGACCCTAGGAGTGTCATGTTGAGGTGCTACGGTAGGGATTGCAGGCCCCATGAAAGCGAAACCTTGAGTAAGCAGAAGTATAGCATGTGTTAAGCTATTGCATTCCATCACACTTCCAAAGCTAGCTTCAAAATACATGTAACTTTCGTGTTCTTTGAATCTTTTTCTGGTTCCCAAATTGGAAATGTGGCTGCCTCCGAGTTCTGCTTACTTCTAATAATAGCCTCAAATGTAATCATCACGTGCGAGGACAAGGATGAAGTGCTGGTAAATGAGTGTCTGAGCAGCCCATGCAGCACGACAACGACGAGAGGTAGAAGGAATATTAGGTTAGGTTTGGTAGATAGGTAGGTTAGTAGTCGCAACAACGATGAGGATGATATTACTTGTGTGAGTACAGCAGAACGATGATGGTAGCGTGGCTTGGCCGGTTGGGATTAGACATGGTCCAGGGGTAGCAGATGACCTTTTGCGCAGGCACGGGGAACCTCCAATAAAAGTGTGCCAAAAAGATAAAGGATCATCTCCTCCGTCCTGAAACCGTGCCCTTTCCTTTCCTCCAAGAGCAACCCATTGCACTCCATGCCATGTTCCTGCATGGCATGGCATGACATTCCGTTCCCCTCATCAGTGTATTCCTTGGGACGACCCTCCCTCATCCGCCAAATTTGTTCAGGATATTAGTCTTAAGCTTTCCACTAGGGGTCCGTCTTGATGGTTCGGTCATGGGTACAACGTCATCGGCGGCACCAGAAGCATTTGCGAAGGCGGCGCCATTCTTCAAATTCTCCCGCAATCCCTTGTTGAGTTTTTCGGAGGCATCTTGATCCGCCAGCCCTCGTTCCAGTGCCCCTTTCGCTGCTGACTCTGTAACTTCTAAGCATTGGGCAGCTATTTGTTCTGGGTCGTCTTCTCCGTCATTCCATTGACGATCCTGTTCATCTAGGACAGCATTATATGCGTCCCTTTTGTGCTCGAAGCGAGCCCATGCTCCTTCTTCGGTCCTCATTTCGAGTCCACGTGTTGTGTGTTCATCGTTTTCGACCGTCTTGGCCTCCCCCGCATCCATCATGAAAACCGTGTACTCGAAGGATGCCTTTATGTCGTCATAATCGTAGTGTGAGTACCAGATCTGTTCGATATCCTCCTCGGTCATCGTGTTGAGATGAGGGATCTTCTTAATGTGCTTTTTCCCACTAAATGTGATGGACATTCCTTTCTTTGTGGAACTACTGTTCTTCAGGATACCCTTGGCAGGCCTGGCAGTGGGTGGAGGCGGAGTGGCCGGCATTGTGATTGTGGTGTATGGTGCGTGAAGATAAGGTCGCTAGCTAGCAGCGTCTCGTCTCGTCGTGTGTGGTTGGTTTGGCTCGGTCGGTAGGTCGGTCAGTCAGGCAACAACAAAGCAGATGGTTCAACACGGGCATCTACTGCTGCTGTTTGGCTCTTGAGAGTTAATAATAATTGATTAACCGATGCTTGTGGGTAGCATAGAGTGCACTACTGATCGACCTGATCTCTCTCTCTCTCTATTAGTAATCTCTTGAGCGAGTCTTTTCGACCAAATACCAAGATAGATGAATGATACGGTAGATCGGTTACCAATAAGCAGCAGCAGCAACAAGTTACTAAAGCTGTCACAATGTCCGTCCCTGGAGCTGGTCGTACTCTTCGACCTTGATGGTTTTGTTGGCAGGTAGCAAGTGGTCACTGGCACGCACGTCGCGTCAAAGAGAAATGTCCTTTCGCATTAGCACACTAAGGATAAGGTTTTCGTGCTGTCGTCACTCCAAGAGTCCTGCCACAAAATGAAACGGCCATGACACCATTCGTACCGTTGTGGTTGCCAAGGAGACCAAGCGTTCACTGTTCATGAGCTCACCGCAAAAAGATAGCTAGCTGAATGGGAAACTGGGAGGATATTTGTATTGTTGGTCCATTATCGATACGCTTAGTCGATTACCGGTGTCGCTAGCCTTTTGAGAGCCGGACACATTTTGACTTTTTTTTGGATGGGGGTATATCATTATCATTATCAACAACATGGCAGAATCTTCCACCACCTTGCCTCCATCGACTCCATCACTGAAGGAACAAAAGGAACTCTTTGTTACTGGCCATGACGGGACTTCTCCATGGGAAATATTGCTCGTCTGTTCGGCAGCTCCCATTGGGATTTGGCTCTTTCAAAGTATTCGGGCTCTGGAACGGTATGTGCAAGATGACAACAACAAAAGACGTCAGCAGCAACCAGCCAATCCAACGGCTTCCATTGCCATGGAAGCAGCTCTTCTTTGGTTTCCCGTTCTAGTATGCCAGACCAATCTGCTGTATCCCTGGGGCGCCATTCTACTGTACCTGCAAGTTCAACTTTGTGTCTTGATCTACTTGTACTTTTGGACGACAAAGAGATGGATGCGCATTAAAGGAATGCAGCAACAACCCATCAACAACCTAGATACGGTACAAGAAGAAGAGGGTGACCCAGACGAGATGGAACAAAAAGTAGTTTCAGAAGAGCAACAAATCATGAAGGACAGCATGACGGTATACCGGTCTTCCTTGCAGTACCTGACATTTGTGGCCATTCTAGCCGTGGACTTTCACATTTTCCCCAGACGCTTTGCCAAAACAGAAGTGGCGGGTTATGGCTTGATGGACCTCGGTGCTGGATCCTTTGTGGTGGCGGCAGGATTGGTCTCTTCGAGGGCACGTCATAGCAGACAACAAGCAAAGAAGAGCAGCATATCCTTTGGACAAAGAGACGTGATCCGCATTGCACCATTGTGGATCATTGGTTTCATACGGTTAGCCACCAACAAGGGGTTGGAGTACCAAGAGCATGTCTCCGAGTATGGTGTCCACTGGAACTTCTTCTTCACGTTGGCAATGGTCACTCCGTTGGGTTCCATGCTCCCTGGGAACCCCAATTGGATAGTCCCGATATGTCTTCTGGCTGCCTATCAAGTAGCGTTGACTCAGTATGGGGGGCAAGAGTTCATTGAGAATGCCCCGAGAACACATTGCAGTAGCACGGCACTGGCCGCTTTGGCCGGTGAGAATGAAATCTTGCTCAATCTCTGCACACTCTTTGCGGCCAATCGAGAAGGCGTGCTTGGCTGCATTGGGTACTTGTTCCTGTACTTGGCCAGCGAGTATATTGCCTTTGCTTTCCTGTGGACAAAAGGGGCACAGACTGCATCATCATCCTTATGGGTGATTGCTGTGGGCTTGTGGCTGTTGTTGTACGGGCTTTCGGAATGTCTGGAGATTGCAGTGTCGCGCCGATCGACCAATGCAAGCTTTTGCGTATGGACACTTGCCCATAGCATGTTGATTCTGGCAGTAATTCATGCTGCCATGGGATTTTACGAAGATCCCAAGCAATCGGCTCAAGCTGCCAACAATGGAAGACCCAGGGTTCCCATTGTCTTTCAGGCAGTGAATCGACACGGATTTCTATCTTTCCTGATCGCCAACTTGCTTACAGGGTTGACCAACCTGACAATCAACACACTCGAAGTGTCGGATCCAGTGGCATTCATCATCCTGTTTGTCTATTTGTCCGCAGTTGGCTTCTCCGCATTGGCACTTCACTACGCAATGGCTAAGGTAGCCAAGAGCAACGAAAAGGTGGAAAAGGAGAAGAAGGAGTAACCAGATTGGTTAGGTTATTCGTAAGAGTTTGAAAATTGGGTTGCGCTACCTGCCTTGGCCGAAGAAGTCGTCAGCAATGCTTGGTTGGGTGGTCACAACCAAGACGAATGATTTGATCCACACAATGATTCCACTTTTCTCAGCTACGAGAATTCCTGGTCTGGGTCTTCTAAACGCGCCAAATGAACGTACGCATCAGTGCCCCACCCTTCCATGCTCATGATTGTGAGCTCCCCGTTGAAGTAACGGGCATACGATCTGCTGATTGGGAGCCCAAATCCCAATCCAGCCAAGGGTGAATTTTGGGCATCGTGGTCGCGATCGCCAATAAAATCTTCTTGGATCTTTGGATCTGCCGTAGTAAATAAATAAGACCAGACTTTCTTCAAGTTGCTGCGTGGGATTCCACCACCAACGTCGGCGACCTTAATTACGACATCTTCATTGTCATGCTCATCGGCGACGATGACCTGCACAGGAGGCAAAGCTCTACCAGTAGCATCGCTGTGCCGTTCCACAGTGGCTCGCATGGCATTCTTGAGCAGTTCCAAAAGGATGTAATGCAGGTAGGTGGGAATGTAGGGAAATGTCAAATCTGTGCGTCCGTTGATTTGCACCTCGGGTGCTTCCCCGTATTTTCGTTGGCACATCTTGGTGGCATCTCTTGCTGCCTGTCGCACAAGTTCGTAGGGAGACGTCCGTAGACATATCATCCCAATGTAATCCGGTAGTGGAGTTTGTCGTAGAGCCAGGTATTGCCCGGCCAGGACTCGAATACCAATTCGCGACATGTAGAATCGATCCAAGAACTCGTGGCAGTCCTGCAACTGCGAAAACTCCACCTGGTCGTTTTGTTGTTGGCGCAACTCGTAGGCTCCCCGTGCCATTTGAATCAGTACATTGGCATGTTTTTCGTACTTTTTGTTTAAAAAGTGGGCAAAGGCTGCCTCATCCTCGTTGGTGGCAATGCTGCCGTATCGGACCAAGTCTACAAAGGAATTAATGTAGATACCCTTAACCAACTGAACACTGGGCATGTCTCTCATGAATGGTACTTTGTCCAGATCATTGATGCGATGTGCAAGCCGTACGGGTAGTTCATCGCATAAAAAGTTGGCAGCCTGGGAACCAAATAAAAGTGCAGTAAGCAATGGGAATTAAAGTAGGATCAGCTTGCAAGCTTGATGGTACCATAATATTCATGCAAATGTAGCTTTCTTCTCAATTTGCGGCCGAGTTTAGTTTATTTTCTCACCTGGATCAGAACTTTTCCAGAAGCAGAGCTGTATTGATTCAGACTTCCGTTTCTCATGAGATTATCATTATCGGCACTGTGTCTCCCTGCTTTGACGAGTGCATGCATGGACACTGGTGTTTGTTTCTTTTGACAGTACTCTTCCACCAGCTCCATGACATCCTCTGGAATGGTGTCGTAGCTTCGAACTTCATCGTCCAAGGCCGCAACCGAGGAGTACTTATTCGCAGAACGGTACTGATACCCCGTCACGTAACTTCTTTCGGCTCCCACACTCTGGGGTTGTTGTCGAACCGGTAGCTTGGCCAGAATAGGAGAACTTTTTCTCCCGCCACATATCCTCAACCTGTTGGCAGCTATCGATCGGATCATGCTCTATCTCTCTTATTGTTCCCTCTTGGTCCTCGGGTGTTTTGGTGCTTTCTGCTGAAGAGAAAAAGATGTGTCTTCGTGGGGATCCAAGGGGTGTCTTTGGTCTTGGTGTCTCACTGCAATTGGTGTCTTCGTGGGGAGAGGTTTGGCATTTATTTGGGGCTGTGACAGCTGCTGTGACTTTTTGGTCTCGATTCGAATCGATTCGAAAATTTGAATAAAATCGAATCAATCAGATTTAAGGTTAGCACTTACGTCTGTCATCGTACGGTTTCTTCCTGAACCGCACACCTCGGTCATCTTGCCACCAAGCCAAAAGCCAGGCCAATAGCCAAACCAAGACAACAAGAAAGGTCGCTCGATCCCACGCTTCGTTATATTTGTCCAAGAAGAGAGATCAAGATGGTGAGCCACTGCACAGATTGGGTTGAAATGATGCCTTTATCGTCGCGGGTTGGCAGTGGCAGTGGCAGTGGATTGAACTACTCTTGTTGATGCGACTCGACTTCATCGCCAGTTGGCATTTTCGCCATTGGCTGTCATTGCGGGATGAGCAAGGAGTCCACGGCAAGGCTTTATCTGGTTTCTGCCTCTGTCGACCGTTGCACAGATGGATGTCGTTTCCTTTGCGATGGTTGAAAGGGGGACTCGGTTGGCAGTAAGGTGTTCCTTGTTTTGAAGAAAATTTCTCATACCCTTGCTTGCTTTCTCCCATACCGTACAGGCAACTCAAAGACGTGCAGCGGCTCGATCAGCCGGTGCTGGTGCAGGGGCAGGAGGTAGACCCGCCGGAGCCGGTAACAATATCCTTCAATTCTACACAGACGACAGTCCTGGGTTGCAAGTTGGGCCGACCACAGTTCTGGTGGCATCTCTGAGCTTTGTGGGAGTCGTCGTGCTTCTACACATTTGGGGAAAATTCCGCCTATAAGTAACAACCTACAGTACCTGCCGATGATGATGAATGAATGAACTAAGGAGTATTATTTTATTAACATGATAATCAGCACAACAAAAGCAAAACTCCATTGCAGTCAATCTATAGTTGCGACGGGAGATATCATCAAAGTCTTACATTGGTGTGCCATAAAAAAAGAAGAGGATTCAGGGGCCACAGCCAATCCGCTTTTTCTAATTCATGGAGCTATGGCGTCTGCTTCCACAGATGATAGCAAACGTGCAGTGTCCATGGCTCTTCTGATCCTTGTAGGTCCTCCTCGTAGCTAGCTAGCTAGCACTAGGTGTAGTTCTTTGATTTCGGTGCTGGCCTAAAACCGCACCTCACAGTAGTTATGTTGGACGAAGAACGAAATTCTGGACGTCGTTTGCTCTTGGTCTCGCACACCAAATCCTTGTGGAAATGTCACCTTCCATCTGGGATAAAATCCTATTTGAGTGCCAGTAATCGTAAAATCAAGTGCTAGATTGTCCAAGGTGGTTTCCGCTGATCCTTGAAACCTAACTAAAGTCACAGCAGCAAGGCAAGCGGGATGGACCAGCTGCATCAAGCATAAAGTACTTGAGGTGCAATTACAACCCCACCCTGGCGGGGACAGTAGATGGACTTCCACTTTTCAATTCTACTGACTGTACTTCAGAGAGGATTACAAACTGTTCCTGACCGAATCCCAATTATCTACGGATCCGTCATCAGCCCCCGCTCATCCAGCGCGAGCTTTCTTCCTACCGGTATGGGAGCTACGACAACCTGAGATATTGGGAACCACAGACTTGGTTTGCATTCGCTATGGTGCTGAACGATCCCTACAAGTCGATGACAACACACTATCGGAACTACCGTATGTGCGGAAGCTCGCATGCACTAGTAGCGTTCTCAGTGCTCTAATCCATAACTCTCTAATAATCAGAGACAAGGCCTATACAGCAGTCAACATCTCTTTCGAATCTTTCACACGGCTGGTCTGACATTGCAAAGAGTCAGTCAATGGATCTGATGATTCTACTGTCTCGTGGGTTCTTTTTTCTGTCTCATCTGTATTTGCAATAGAAGAGACTCGCATACTTCGAGATGAGCTAGGGACAAGGAAGAGCGGCCCATGGCCAAAGCGGGTTTGCTTATCCACTTCTTCTCTATTTGATATTGCTGCGAGACTCTGAAACCGTTCTTTCAAGCGATTGTCGCCGTCGATTCTCTAAACGGTACCCGTACATACGGAAAGAGAATGATTGCATGTTGTGATCAGGCCAGCCCAGACCTTCTTCCTCTTCCTCCCTGCACATCTTGGCAAACTTTTTTCATTTTTGGTGCTTGCGACGCAAATCTCGCAAACCACTCTTGCTTCGTGCCAAGTCTACAACTTGCTGTAATGGCGTACGTGCCGTTTCATCATTGCCTGGCTCTACTAGAACCGTGCACTGGTTGGTGAAATAGTGCTGGATCAAGCGCTCGTTTTGTTGCTTGTTTCCTCCCCAAATGTACCACATGGAATGAAAGGGTGACGATTTTTTGTGCACGTCGCTCTTTTTGGCTTCTCGAAAGCTTTTGGGTGGTAGATAGACGTACCGTTTCTTGGGTACCAGGTAAAAGGGTAGCATGTTGTGCTGTTTCATTTGGGATAGAAAGTAGTCCTTTTTGTGGACAAAGTCGGGCATCAACAAGAACCATGGCTTGCCCTTCATTTTTTGGCTCGTGAGGTGTTGAATCAGTTTCTCCATGTGATCTGCGCTGTACGGTGGATTGGTACAGAGCACATCAAACTCTGGATAGGAAGAATGATCGTCTGATGACCAGACTTGGTAGCAATCTTCCTTTCTATTGTGAACAGAGGGAAATCCGAGGGATGCAAGGTTTTCAATGACAGCTCCGTTGCAATAGTAAGGGTCATAGATTTTGATATGTTTGTTGTTGTTGTTGTTGTTGTTGTTGTTGTTGGATTTCGATTTCGATGTCAGCATGGAGGATTGCAATTGCAGAAGCAATGGTTGGATGTGGGCATAGGCAATCAGGGGTGATTCACAATGGTCATCGGGTTCCGTCGGATAGGGGAACGATGCAGTCGTTGCATCTGGATCGCTGCCATGCTTTGGTTCCTGGACGGCCTCATCATCACGGGGCAGATCTGCCTCTGATTTGGCCGTTTCTGTTCCATCCGGTCCATTGACTTTGGGCTTGTGTTTGACTCGCCGGTCTTTCTTCTTTTTTCTTTTCTTCTTGTGTGTACCAGAAGAAGGTACCTCCTTACCATTGCTTCTTAAACCAGGTACTGGGGAGGATAATCCCAGTTTTGAGGCCTTCTTGGCTGTGCCACCAGGCTGGGCATTCCGATGTTCCGTCTTTTGCCGTTTCGATGGGGGTATACTATTATCATTCGTTGCTTCTTCTTCCTTTATATTTTCTTTCTTGCGCTTCTTGTGTTTCTTCTTCCTCTTCTTCTTCTTGTTATCTTGGGAGGAAAGCCCATCTTCCCCATGGTTGCTGGACACCTCCTTCTTTGGCATGTCCATCATCTGAAAGTGCGAGATGCGAGATGGGTTTTGAGAAAAGTGGAAGGTGGAAAGGTATGTGTCCAAAAAAGATATCAAACCCCAATCTTAAATCTTGTGGTCTCTTTGGTCTGTAGTGCGTACGTAATACTCCCCGCCACCAGCACCGTTCCTTCAACTGGCAGCATCGCAGGAACCGAGGAAGCTTCCCCTGCGGTCTTTCGAGTTCCCGATTACATTTACGATCGATTCCAGCGATCCTACAGAGTCCATTTCTCTTATTGTTGTTGACAAAAGGAGTAAGTAAACCAAGCCACGAAGAGTTCTAGGAAGCAGTGCCCCCATCAAGGAACTTGACGAGGAACGGAGTGAAAGAAAGTCAAGTTTAACCGAACCATCGCGAGAGGTTTCATCGATCTCAACAACAGGCCCTCCATCCATCCATCAAGTACCAGCACGGCACGCCCGCCTCACCGTAGGTACTGTAGCAAGAAAAGTAATCAGAAGCCATGGACGATATGGAAGGATTCGGCGGCGGCGGTGGCATGAAGCGGCCTCATGACGACGACGGCGCGTTTGGTGGTGGTGGTATGGGTGGTGGCCTTGGCGAGGAGGATTATCTGAGCGAGAATGAACATCAGACATCCAAGAGTCGAGGAACCGTCACGGTCCAGATTTTCATCAAGAGTGAGTTGCGTCGCGTCGCGTTGATTGATGTATGTATGTGTTGTCTCATCATTGGATGTTGCTGCTATTTTTGATGATGGATGGACAGAGACGTTCAAGATGATCAATGACTGTGATTCCAAAATTGCTTGCTGGTAAGTGCCAAGTGCTGAAAGACCTTTGGTGTTCGGGAATGTCATCCTCGGTATCCTTCTCACCCCGTTCTATCCTAACCTTTGCTTTTATTTGACTATAGGACCCCGGAAGGAGATAAGTTTGTGATCAAAGATCCGGAAATGTTTGCTCAGCAGGTCATTCCTCAGTACTTTGATCACAACAAGTTCTCGAGCTTTACCAGGCAAGTAAACATTCATTGAACCAGAGTAATATATTGCATGGCCAACTAGCTAGCTAACCCTCCTTCGCGCAACAATCAATATCCATATTACAACAGGCAGCTCAACTTTTACAAGTTTACTCGAGAGCAATCCAAGGCCATTAAGAAAAGCGACAGCAGTGCCGAAATTGCAAGGCATCAGACGTTCTATCACAAGTTCTTTCAACGAGGACGCCCAGATCTCCTCAAACACTTGCAACGAAGTCGCAAAACAAGCTCCTCGCACGATAATAATGATGATGTGCATCCTCACAGCCAAGGAGCCAAAAAACCTAAATTGGTGTCTAGTGGTGGTGGTGGTGACGACAAGGGATTTCTCGGGGAACTTGCCAGGAGAATGGACAGTGCCGAAGTGACCATCAAGAACCTACAACAAGAGAATGCTACCTTGAGCTTTGCCGTACAGAAGCTCCAAAAAGAAGGGGAAATGAAACAGAGGGCATTGGTGGCATTACAGGAACAGATTCGCATGTCGGAAATCAACATGACACAGTCCCTACAGCAACAGCAGTCACAATTGCTGCAGTTTACGCAGCCATTGCCATTTGACAGAGAGTCATCCTTGTCGGGTGTCAATGCTTCCACGCTCATGAGATTCCTCAGCATCGATCCAAAGTTGCAAAATTTAATGAGTGTGGAAAACAAGCTACAGAGGCTCACGACACCACCCTTTCGGAATCTTACCGCATCGGCTCAGTTTGGTGCTGCTGCAGCAGCCGAGAACCTGGTCCAGCAAGCGACGGAAAATGCGGCTGCAGCGGCGGCTGCAAGGAGCAATACTCCCACCATTCCCCGTCATCCTCGCATGAAGGGAGCATCCGAGGGTCTAACCGGTGCTCCGGGAGCTTCCATTTCCAGGCATCAACAACTCATGAAGGGAGGTGCCGCATCGGCAGCCGAGGCTCTGGCGGGAGCTGGGTCTGCTGGTGGTGGTGGTGGCGGAGCCACGTTGCCTCGACATTCCAAATTCAAGTCGTCGTCTGCAGGAGAAGCGTCTGGTGCGGATGGTGGTGGTGCGTCGTTGCCACGACATAACAATTTCAAGTCGTCTTCCGAATCATCTCCACCCGCAGCTGCGGCTCCGGGTCCTGGTGGCGCCGCACTTCCTCGTCATCCCAAGATGAGAAGACAAGGCGGGCCTCCTGGAGCCTCGGGGATAACTACGTCCACCGCAGGAACCATGGCGATGCTAGCCCAAAATGGCTTTTTGGATAACAATGGCAAGACGTCCGGTCTCGAAGAGTCCATACGACAAAGTCTGGAAGACAACAAGCAGGCTGCTGCTAATGCCGACGCCAACAACAAAAACGAAGCCCTTTTCAATCTGCAACAGCAGATGCTGGCTGCGAGATCGGGGGGTGTAAGCCCCTCTCCCGCTGGCGCATCTGCACTGGGCTTCAGTAGCGCCGCTCTTGCGGCTTCCATACAGAACAATATGAATGCAACTGCCCAACTTCGAGGTTTGTCGGGTGGCTTGGGGCAAGGAGGTGATCTTGGCAGTCTCAGCAAGGAATCTTCGATAGCCGCGTTGCGTCTTGGGGCATCTGGCTTTAACCTGGAACGAGAGCTCTCCAACATTGGCGGAGATCCAGTCTCGAGAGAGGAATCGTTCACGTTGGCGTCTCTGCTAGACTTGTCGCGAGGAAACACTCAGCAGATCTAAGCTACAATACCCCGCGTGCTGTAGAGCTCGTATTTTCATTAATCAATCCATGCTATATGTATTAGATAATAATTAGCTATCTTTCGACGTTGTCCAGTACCGGTACGTACATGTATGAATGATGTAACACTGAGGTTCGGTGGGTCTATCCTACAGTATGATACACCGTACTGGTAGTTAGCTAGCTACGATGGCAAAGTCCAAAATGAGTTCAACCACCTCCTGAGGGACACCACAGAGCACTTGTAAAGGCTCTAGTGCATCCCCAAGAACTTCTTTCATTTTTCTTTCTAACAAAGATTGCGCCGCAGTTAGCATTTCCTTCACGGAATCATCAGCAACGCCAGGGTACGATAGGCTATTGCCAGCTGCCATTTCCCGGAGATACTCTAGTAGAGGGGTCCAGCCAGAGTTCTTCTTACTCTTTCTATGCCGCTTCTTATTAGGTTGATTTCGCTTGCACTTTACAAATAGAGCATTCGGATAGATATCCATGACTCGCTGCAATGCATCCTTCCATTGCATGGACGGGCTCTCTGTTGCAATGTTTCTGCAAATGGCATGCAATAGTAGCTCTCCTGTTGGTCTTCCTTTTGGGCCCAAATCATTCTTGGCAAACGGGAAATAGCGAGCCAACACACAGATAATGTCGGTATTGAGACTCTCCTCACACGGTTTTAGCAAACGGCGATAGGTTTTGTTGCTCCTATTGGCAAGCTGACAACGGAGAAGACGATACGGCTTTACACAGGAGCGTGGTGTCTTTTGGATCAGCCATTCTACCGTCTTGGCACTGTAACCGCTCTTGCAGGCAACATAAATTGGTAAGCCCCCTTCCCCATTTTCAATTTTCAAGCTCTTTTTATATAGGTTGGTCATGAGCTGGATTGTTTCGCAAGAGGCATGTCTCTTCAAAGCCACATGGATTGGTAGATTGCCCTCCTTTGGCTCTTTCTCAGTCAAAGTTGTTGGGTCAGCATTTACCAGGAACTCAATGACGGGATCATTGCGCCACACGATTCGAGTGAACATGTGGATTGGGAAACCACCCTCTTTGCTCCGTACTCGTATGACATCTGGATATTCCTCGTATAGGAACTTGATAGTCTCTAGCTAGTTTGCCTCTGATCACCGCGGCGTGAAACGGCAAATAGTCATCCTCTGAAGGAATACGGATGCTTTGGGGATTCAGCCTCAGTAGTTTCTGAATGCGCTGGAGGCTACAATTCTCTGCACAGGCAACGTGGATGGGAAGATATTCATCCTTGTTTCTGTAGTGGATACTCTCTGGCCATCAATTCAAGAAGAAATCTACTATTTCGTCTCTGTGAAAGCGTAGTGCCAGGTGAAGAGGTAAACCACCTCGTCCATTCTCCATGCAAACACTCTCTGGCCATTGATCCGCCAGATAAGCAACGACGTCAAGGGGGACCACTCGTTCGAATTGATCAGAGGGATCTTCTCCCTCGAGGAGTGTCATGAGCGGAGAACCATACATTTCAAACAAATATTCATCAAAGCTTTTCCAAACCTCAGGATCACTTTTACCAATGGCCTGAACCTCATCCAGTGATGGTGGCTCCCACCGCTCCAGTATCTCCCACGCTGAAAGCATGGTTCCTAGTTATCAGTGCCAGTGTTCTTTGGTAAAAGTAGCTACTAGTAGCTATAGCAATGATTTATTTTGGGAACCAACAATCCAACAGAGCGAAAGCCAAACGACGAAAAATGATCGAATTGTGAGCTTGGGTTTGGTTGACCCCAGCCAGTGCAAAATGTGACGGTTAACCAAGCAGAGGGCAGCGCCGGTGCCGCCAACATCTCCAACGTTCCGCGTGACGAGGAAACCAAAAATGCCAACACAAAATCGTCCAGTCTTGTGCAGCCCTCTTCAAACCAAAAGAGAGACTACTGTCACTTCGAGAAAGCCCGAGGAGGGTAGGAGAAAGTTGTGTTATCTCGGGGTCTCTGTAGTCTAGTCTAGCTACGAGTAGCTACTCTACTACTGTTTTCTGGAAGAGGGAGCAAGAAAAGACAGCATGAGCAACGCTACTACTACAGGGATTGGGCTCCAACCAGGAGTTGCCATCAGCAATGAAGAGCACCAACAAGTTGTCACAGAAGGACAGTTAAAATGGGCCCAATTCCATTACAAGCGTCGAGCCAAACAAGTGCGCCAACAAGTGGAAGAGCTGTTGCAGACCCCAGCTTCTGTGGAGGATGTAGAAGGAGCCTTGTCAGACGATGGGAATACCACGGAAGAAAGTGTCTGGAGCGAAGAAGAAGAAGCACAAAAACAACAAACCGCAAACAGAAAACCATCGAAACGACAAAAAAAGGTGTCGAAACAATCGATTTCACGCGGACGGCGAGCTTTGCTCCGAGTCTCGAAACGAGCCTTTGCCAAACGACAAGAAGAAATCCAAACGTATGGGTACCAGAATTGTTGCGAGGATGATATAGACGATGATGAGGACTTATTGGACGAGGATCGTGACGATCTAGCCGCAAAGTTTGCAGATGAAACAGCCTGGAAGAAAGCCAAAAGGAACAGACGACAATCACGCCGGCGTCGGAGGGCAAAAAATTCCACACAGCAACGCTTGTTGCAATTTGAGGAGGCTTTCCGAGCCATGATGATGAGTTTGGCTGCTTTGCAACCACAACAAACAGAAATCGCAACACCGACAAAAGTTTGGAGTCGACCAGAGGATGCCCCTGCATTTGTCAGCATTGACGGACGTCAATATCAAGATCTAAAATGGGGCGTGTCTGCAGAGACTGGCAAACTCTTGACGACAACGACACATTTCTCCTCGGTACCCGTGGATACTCAGGCTTCCTGGCTGGTGCACATTCCTGCGAGACAACAAGAACGTGGTACTGGACATCATCAATTGTCAATCAATTCAAATGGAGAAGTATTGGTGCCTGAAAACGTGAATGGTACATTTTCAGAACGAATGATACCCGTGTCCATGGGATCCGACAAATTCCAAGAAATTAAGGATACGCTTCAAAACCAAGCGTCACTGTCTCAGCAACAAATGGAAGAGCAAATGGAAATCTACAACAAACATCGCAACAATCCATTCAAATGGCAAGTCACAAATCCGTCGGGATATGAAGGCCATGCCGAAGACGACGACGATGAATATGACGACTCTTTGGATCCAGAAAACCTCAAAACAATTGCTGCCCAGTACCTTACTGAGTTCATGGCCAGTGCCGATGAAGAACATTTGATTGCTGCTCTGGGTGAAAAATACAAAGACGATGTTGAAACTTTGGTTGCTTCGTCTGATGGGGGTGGGAACGGATCAACTTCCGACGATGATTCCAAAGATATTGTTCGACGATACATTCAAGGACTCCAGGCATCATCCAACGATGAAGAGCCTTCCAACGATGACAACCGTGCCAACGCTACCAACAAACAGAGGGATCAAATGATGTCTTCTTTTGCTGGGATTGCTGCACGATATCTAGCGGAGGTCTCGCGTCCCCGCAAGATCGAACCAACAGTGAACATTTATCGTCATGAACAAGGTATACTAGTCCAAGAGCTGGCGTCTCTGATGGAACACCTGATTGGAATGAAAGCAGCAGATGACGACACAGCGGATGCCCTGGCATCGTCCTCTGAGCCAAACGAGCGCATTTTCCAGTCAATCCTTGCAAAGTATCTTGCTGCTACAGACTTTGCTGCAGCACCTGACTGTCCCGTGAAAGAAGCGGATGTACTGCAAGAGTTGAATGGCAAAGAAGGGCACGAATTCTCGCGGTTAATGACTCGATATCTGGCAAAGGTCCACTCTGCCATGCTCAAGAAGCGAACTAACACAGGAAAGTCAAGGAGAAGCAGCATTGCCAATCGATACATGGAGATGTTGGGAAAGAAATCACCTCTAGGAAACGACTCCGCAGGCACGGACACACAGGAAAACATTCCTACTACTAGCAACGACCAACATGTGTTTGAAAGGATTTGCTGCAAGTACTTTGAGGAGCTCAATGACGTTGCAGACAACCAGGGAGAGAATAACTTTGAGGAAGCTGACGTTTTGGAGGAATTGAGACAAGAAAAACACAAGGCTATCCCTGCCATTGTAGCCAGCTATCTGCGGGCGCTGAGTCAATCAATAGCATCTGGCGAGGGGGGAATCCCACACCATACAAATGACATCATGCCTAAACCCATTGCCGACAGAATTCAAGCTATCGAAGAAGTTTTCTCTCAGACACTGCCAATATTTGATCAGCTGGGTCCAAGTCATGAAAACCAAAGATCGAAACAGCGGCTGTTGGAGGCTTTTGCGTCGAGATTTATCGCGAACATTGCGCAATGCAACGAGGATACCCTCTTTGTAGAGCTGGGCGAGATGGAGCGTCAAGGCTTTTCAAGGCTGGCAACATGTTATCTTGACGAGATTCTGGAGGCTTCGATCGGTTGGAGAGCGGACCAACGTGAAAAGGCTATCGTCACTAGGTACTTTGCAGACTTGGAGCTGTCGCAACGTTTCCAAACAAAAGCTACGCCCATTCAAAGTAGACTCGTAGAAGACTTCCTGTGTCGATACATGGAGGAGGTGTATTCATTGTCAAAGGACCAAGCCCAGGCGGCTCTACGAAAGTCGGAAACGACGAACTTTTCCACTGCTGTAGCAAAATACCTTGCAAATGCTGGTGACAGCGTACGAGAACAAGCAGCTCGTTCCAATACCATTGTTGAACAGGGTCTGGTTGCCGACATACTGGACGACCTTGAACATACGGACGAAGGTGGTGGCAACCCAGTCGTCGCGATGCCTCCACAAAATCTTGTCACGGGCATGCCGAGATCCAGAAGGAGCGTAGGAAGGGCGGAAGGTGTAGCTGCTCGATACATATCGGCAGTTGTCGACGACTGTGACGATGATGACATATTTGCCGAGCTGCGGAAGCAAGACAGCCCCAAACTCGATACTGTGGGTGAGGATGTGTTTTCGGAGCTGCGAGGAGACAGTCCAAGATCTGGAATGGAAACCCCAGGTATCAATCAACAACTGAGCGGGACACGAACGCCTCAGAGAGATTCGGACAATGCTTCTGCTTCCAATCGAGACGGTGCCCACTGTGCATCCCTAACCAACGCCTCTTCGCTCCAATCGACTGCACTGCATTACATTTCCAAACTGAGGATAGACTGCAGCAAGCAAGACATAAGTGCGGCAATGGGCAATCTTGAAAATCGTGAAGAAGATCGTGCAATCTTTGCCAATGGGGTTACGTCCTTGCTCCTCGGCGTGTCAGAGAGTACTGTCCGAGGCGGGCGTTCCCGCGCTTCAGCAAGCCGTTACTTGGCTGCAATGAGAGGCCTCGTGGATGAGCACGAGGAACCAGACAAAGCACTCGGTAGTCTTGATGTAGACGAAGCAGCCGAGATGCTATCCGAATCGGTAAATATGGGAGATCAAAAGACAATTACGTGGGCTATACAAAAGCTTGGCAAAACAGAAAGCAAGAATTTTGCTAACCTGATCTCGGCGTATCTTTCCGGAGATCTCAGCAGGATCGACTTCGATCTGATTCAGAAAGACGTTGTCGAAAGTAGCACTAAGCCAGAAGCCAAAAAGCTGGAGTCTACCGAAGTGAAGTCGGACGTCGGATCTGACTTTTTCGCGTACATGAGGCGACACAAGATTTTTCCGCAGGAAGTCCCCAAACGAGAGCAAGACCCACCTGCTCCTGCCAACAGTAGGGTTCTCGAGGGAGAGAGAAATCGGCAGAATCCAGGCTCTGACGAAGTTGTAGCTGCGGAAGGCAATGTTTTGCAGAACACTGTGGATAGATTTTCCAACAGACGTGACTCGTATCAGCAAGAGCTGGCTGAGGAAAAGAAGGCCGCGGACCATCTCTCCAGGTCTTCGAGCTCGGAGAAGTCAGGCACGATGCTCAGCGATAGAGAGGATGAAAATACTCCCTTTGTTGTGGAAGATGGGTCTAGTCAGTTTGAAACGCCCAACCGCTTCCAATCGCCGGACAGATCGCAAGCACCAGGCTCTGAGTTCTCTCCTGAGCGACTTCGAGATTTTCACCAAAGTGTCATTCAAAAGTCTGCTCTTATCGGGGATGGTGAAGCAGTGCATCCGATTATTGATACTGACGGGACAACGAGCGAAGCCAGTGATTCTGGTGCTGCTCTGTCTCCAAAAGCCATGGCCGGTTTGATGCTCTCGCCGACTATCCTCAACAAGAGGCTTACTCAGGCCATTCTAGCCATTAAAAGCAAAAGATGGGAACAGGTTTCATATCTTTTGAATGCCAACCCCTGGCTGGCTGAAATGCCCGAAATAGGAACAAACCAGTACCTCCTGCATAAGATTGCTTCTTTCGGAGGCGGGAACTCAGCAGATCCTCCAGCCCCAGAGCAGCTTTGCGGTGACATGGTGAAAATGTACTCTGCGGTCCAGAAGTTTGACAACGCAGGGAATCTTCCACTTCACATGGCGAGTTCATCCGGGAACGTTCGAATGATTGCTGTTCTTGGAGAGCGGTTTCCGAGCGGTGCTTCAGTGAGAAACGAGGACGGAATGTTGCCCATTCATCTTGCTATAGCATCTCGTTCCAAAGCACGAAATTCCATGGTTTCACTAGTGGACGTCATAAAGCCCCTCTTGGCATTCTTTCCTGGCGCCCTGGCGATTGCCGACAACGCTGGAAATCTTCCTCTCCATGTTGCAGCGCAGTGCTTGAATGGCGATGAGGGGGTCGACGTCATCAATCTGCTTCTAGACGAAGCCGAGAAACAAATCCGCAGTCCTGGAGGGGTTCGGTTCCGCAACAAAGTCACAATCGACGAAGAGGACAACGAATCTGTGTCAACCGGAGCCACCACTTCAAAGCACATGCTTGAAGAAGGCGACAATGAGGAGGATCTCCCGCCCAGCATGGTTGTCAACGACGACGGTGATATTCCACTATGGTTGGCGATATCGAGGTCTGCACCGGAGGTGGTCAAGGCGTTAGTGATAGGGCCTGGGGGCAGGCAATCAGCTTTCAGAAAAGACCTGAAAGGAAACACATCGCTGCACCGTTTGCTCAACCAAAATTCAGTCAGCATGGTAACATTGAAGGCGATTTTGGATGCTGTGCCCGAAGTTGCACTTGAGACAAATAACGACAGGTTGCTTCCCATCGAGGTGAGAACGACTCTCCCTGACGCCCGTGTTGAGAGTGTTTGTCTTGACTTTTAATTAACCATTCATTCCTATTCCCCAACTGCAGATGGCAGCCATGAACAGCCTGCCTTCGCCAGTTGTTCTCGAGTTGCTGCTAGCCGACCTCCCGATTTTGCTTCATGACAAGGCTTGTCTGACTCCAAAAGGAGGGGGGAGAAGTTGGTGGTTCTTGACGTGCGACAACGACGATCGCTATCTGGACGTAGTCGAAAAGCTCGTATCCATGTGCACCTACCAACAAGTGAACGAACTCGCATTTGTGACAGACAATGCATCCAACGAAACATTGATCTCGCGCACATCACCTGAATGCGGCGAGTTTCTTACGGTGTCTCTTCTCTTTGTCGGTCGTTTCGAGTTTTTGGCTTTCAAGCCGGATCAAGTATGGAAAGACTGTAAAGTGTATGATGCGCTCGACTATGGCAGTGCAGAATCCCCCAACGAGGAAGGTCGACGAGTAATGCTGAAGTGCTTTACCAGTGAAGAGACTTACAAAAAAGAGGTGAGAATACTAGTATTGAGGTACGAAAGTTCTAATCACATGCAGCGGGCTAGTATTCCTTACAGTGTCGTTCCTCTTGCAAAGATTTCAATTCTGCGTAACTTGGGTCTGGACTTCAACTATGTCGAGCAGATTTCGTGTTTCATGGTTGGGGCACGCGATAGCTACGATAGCGGCGGCTGTGACCAGTTCTGTATTGCCGTGGAACAACCAAGCTTGACGCTTGACCGTGTGGTTGCTGGTATGCTCAGGAATGATGCCTGCAGGGAGAACTCTGAATTACGGCGAAAGTACATTGCGAAGATTCTTTCAGTCCTGAGGGTTGTGGCCAAGGGCCTTTATAATCTGCATTCGGCGGGCATCGTCCATGGCAACCTGGTGCCAGAAGCTTGCGGAAAGTTTGGGGACAGATGGAAGCTGGTTGGAGCATTCGGATTTCAGAGAGTGGGAAAGGCTTTTGACGCGAAAAGGTTTGGAGAGTCGGTCCCACCTGAAGCTTTGGAACCACACAATATTGCAGTGGGTGGACAGGTAGCATTCCGCACGGGTCTTGCGGTTGACCGGTCCATTGACATTTGGGGCTTTGGAAAGCTCTCTTACGACGTCTTGGTGGGACAAGCTCTCATCGACTTTGACCAAGGTAAAGAGCTGCACAATGACCACACAAGTCTTTTGAGGATACAACATTGGAGTACTCTGGACCTGGTAGAAGTCAGGCAAGACCTTCGACGGGTTGGAGTTCCGGACCCAGTTGTGTTGCTCATCACAAGGTGCCTCTCCCAGGACCCTGGTAATCGGCCGAGCACTATGAACGAAATCCTTCGTAGCGATGTTTGGGACAACCTGCATCGTCCTGCTCCAGCACCTGTGGATCCATCACACTTGCACGAGTGTTGATGAGCTTGTCAAATACACCTTTTCAACTTTACCAACTAATAATATTTGTAGTAATTGCTAACTAATAATGATGAAAGGATGTCGCTGTTCAAATTCCAAGTGTGCGGATATGATGTGCGGGAGTGCTCAAATTGTACATGTAGTCAGTCGCTCTGCCAGTACTGTACCGGCACGGTACCAGTACCACGGCACAATAACAATGTATCTACGAATGCAAGGTCAGGAAACCCCAATGATGTTTTGAAATTTTTCAAACAGTTTTAGTTTCTCATTTTTAGTTTCTCAATTTGAGAAACTAACAGTTTTAGTTTCTCATTTGATAAAATAGTTTCTCATTTCTGGAAGAAATCACAACACATGTACTGTCAGTTTCATAAATAGTTTCTCATTTCAAAAGATAGTTTCTCATTTCAACCAAATGAGAAACTAACTTTCTCATTTCAGAACTTAGTTTCTCAAATGAGAAACTACTTTCTCATTTGAGAAACTGTCAAAAAAGGATTGCAGTCTGGTTCCTGACCTTTTAATGGTTTCCTTGATCCTACCGGTAGCCAACGCCAGCATCATACCGTACGGAATTTTGGAAGCTAATAACGTTTAAACCTGGGAACGTCACATAGACATTTCTTACTAGTACCAGGTACCTGGTACCGCATGGATGCATTTGGCAACACACCCGAGGTCTTGTTGACCAAGCCCGGATAGTTCCTTTCAGGAGTGCTAGTGGGGCAAGCTAGACAGCAAGAGACAGTCCATCACTTTCATGTTAGTGGTACCGTATGCCTGCGGGTGATGTTTGCTCCTTGTGTTGCTTGACCGGATGGATCAAACCACCCTTCCAAGAGTTTGTCTGGGGGTGGAGGAGAACTACACCATGTATGAATAGACAAACAAAAATCAGGCCCCAAACACAAGACTTGCTGCTGCCGGTACAGGTAGAACCAAATTGAATTGACTGCACCAGATGCTGATGTGCCCATTGTAACTTGCCTTAGCTAGCTGGATGTACCTTCAGGTTCTTCTCAGCCACAGCTCACCTAGCATAGATCTAGAGGTGCTGATGTTTTCCAATGCCGGTAGCTATTTTTAAAATAGTATCAACTTCTGATCAGACTCCGCTGCAACACTAAACTTGTTCTAACCGAAAGCAGGTACCACATGGTACAGGTCCTGGTACTGTACAGTCGTACCACTCCTGTTAAGCGTTTGTGTCACACAAAGCTGCTGGTGGCAGCAAGAGGATGTTCATGGGATGGCGTTCTACAGCGTACATAGCTAAAAAGGGCTACCGGTACAGTCGTACACTGTACGTACTGTAAGTGCTGTAGCCGAGCCGTAGTCTTCTGTAAATCATGCGGAACCCAATATGTGACTCTTACTCACTTTTTAAGGACCACCACCCCGCTTTTGACAAAATTTTAACGCAAAGTGCCGATCACTTAGGGTTGTCGTTTGATCTTAGAGTTAACGACAGCCGACCAGCCCAGGCCGAAGAAGCCGACACACGGTAAACGGAAGAAACACTCAGAGTAGCAGGCGGCCAGTAGTAGCGCATTTCATTTCCTTGGCCACGATAACAAACAACCAAGTGGACCTCTCTTCATCTCAGCAAAAATTTGAACAAAAGCTTTCCGCTCTTCTACTACATCGTACTGGCTAGCTAGCTCCAGTCGAGGACTGTTGTGCCGGTACATCTTCAGCAACAATGGAGGTCGGAGCTCATGTGTGGCTGCGACGCGAGGACTCCCATTGGGGATGGGTTCCAGCGATTGTAACCAACAAAGAACCTGTGACGGCTCGTGGAGTAGAATTGATGCAGTTGACTCTCAATGACGATCCAAACATTGAGGTGACAATGCCTCCTCCGGCCAATTCAAAGCGTGGAAGGTCAAGCTTCAATGATCACCAGTCCTTCCAGGAAGTCATTGTTGTTGACCCAGAACAATTGAAAACTGCCGACCACGATGACATCAAGCTACGGAACCTGCCAACATCATACCAACTATCAGGGGAAGATGCTGAAGCCGGTGTCATTGCAAGTCCGTCCACGCATAGCGACAGCAGCATTGTTGGAGGCGTTGACGATCTCATTGAACTGACGCATCTTCACGAACCAGCCATTCTCCACGCTCTGCGGCTGCGATATGACGCGGACATCATCTACACGTCCACGGGTCCAATTCTCATTGCCGTCAATCCCTTCAAGCCAATGCCATTGTATTCAGATCAGATGATGGAGCAGTATAGAATGCAAGGAGAGCTGGGAATTGTTCCATCATCTCCCACAACAACAACATCTGCATTCGTCACACCCTTTCGAAAGCGCAAAGAAGCACCCTCTGTAAACAAGCGACTTCCGCCACATGTCTACCAAACAGCCGATGATTCATACCGTGCAATGATGAGAGGGCTAGAGAACAAAGCCCTCATGAACAACAACCGAAACAGTGTCGAGAGCCGTATGTTGGCTCTCAAGGGCTCTAACCACACCAACCAAAGCATCCTTGTGTCGGGAGAAAGTGGAGCAGGAAAGACTGTCACAACCAAAATTGTTCTCAACTACTTTGCAATGCTATCCAAGATTCAGAGTGATCAACTCCAAAGATCAACTCCCAGAAAGAATGGCTCTCCTTCATATCATCAACCAATGTACGATGATGTCACAACCGAACAGCAAGTCCTACAAAGCAATCCTATCCTTGAATCCTTTGGAAATGCTCGCACCAGCCGAAACGATAACTCCTCTCGATTCGGGAAGTACATTGACATTAGCTTTAGTCGGTCTGGAAAGCTTTCGGGGGCTTCCATTGAGACTTACCTACTGGAAAAGGTTCGCCTCATTCATCCGTCCAGTGGCGAGCGCAACTATCATGTCTTTTATCAGTTCTTGAGCAGTGCAACGGGAAAAGAACGCAGAGACTTCTATCTTGGCAACAAGAGAGTGGGAGACTTTCGCCTTCTTTCTTCCAGTGGCACCTACGACCGTCGTGATGGGGTTAGTGACGAGGCCAACCATCAAGAGATGCTTGATGCCATGGTAAGTAGTCCTTTCGCACCCTTCTATACATACGCAGTTTTTTCTGACGGATCTCCTAACACAACTGCCACCTCCTCTGTGCTAACAGGTGACAATGGGTTTTGAAGCCGCCACAATTCAGTCTCTTATGAGACTCGTGGTTGCTGTGTTGTTTGCTGGCAACATGACCTTTACACCCACGAAAGACGGTGAGGCCTGCACTCTTGACAAATCTGATTCAGCTTTGGCATGTGCTTCCCTACTAGGCATCACATACGAAGGACTCGCAAGCGCTTTGACAGCCAGAACGATCCTCGCTGGGGAAGAGGTCGTCCACAAGACTCTTACATTTGAAGAAGCGACGAAAGCACTTGAAGCTCTCATCAAGGCTGTATACGGGGCAGCGTTCGACTATGTCGTCGAGAATGTAAATGAAAGCATTTACGATGCAGACGTTGCTCATGAAGCCGCTGCATCCATTGGTGTCCTTGATATATTTGGGTTCGAAAGCTTTCAGACGAACAGCTTTGAACAATTGTGCATTAACTACACTAACGAAGCCCTCCAACAGCAATTCAACAAGTACGTGTTCAAGCTGGAACAGCAAGAGTACGAGAGAGAGGGTATCATGTGGAAGTTCATTGCCTTCCCCGACAACCAGGACGTCTTGGACTTGATCGATAAGAAGCATACTGGGATCCTTGCTCTGCTTGATGAACAGTGCATCCTTCCTCGCAGTACGGATCAAAAGTTCACAAGATATTTGTACGCACGGTGTGACAAACACACACGCTTCAGCGCATCGTCGGCACAGCGGGTTGATTACCTGTTCAGCATTGAGCACTATGCTGGCTACGTGGCATACACTACCGACTCGTGGCTCGAGAAGAACAAGGACCAACTTCCAGCAGCCTCATCTGACCTTCTTAATTCATCGACGTTCGGTCTTATCGGCGACATCAAGAAGTTCATCCGAAGCGAAGATCGAGCAGGACGCGGTACAGTTGCGACCAAGTCAGTGAGCTCTCAGTTCTCCACACAACTTCGCATTCTTCGTAATCGAATTGACGTCACGACGCCGCACTACATTCGGTGTTTGAAACCCAACGACGAACTTTCTCCAAACTTCTTCGAGCCAAAGAATGTTGTAGAGCAACTGCGTTGCGGTGGAGTACTCGAAGCCGTCCGCGTAAGTCGTGCAGGTTACCCAACGCGTTATCCTCATGACATCTTCATGGCGCGTTACTACATCCTGGGTGACAAGAAAGACATTACGCCAATGTCTCCCATCTTCTCTCCGACCAGCTCCAACACACCGAAGGAGGAGGACCTGAAGCGATTGATCTCCAAGATTGCGTTCGACCTTTGGGAAGCTGACCACATTGCGATGGAGAATCTTATCCAAGCCGAGAAGATGGCTTCGGAGTCCGAGTCGCCATCCAAGAAGTTTGGGAAACAACTGTTCCCCGATAACAATGGGAATAAAAAGATCAACACCGGGCCAGCCTCCGTCAATGCTCCGCCATTTTCTCTCGTCGTCGAAAGCTCGGTCATGACACCGGAAGCGCAGAGGAAAAAGAAGCTTGGTCAACGCAGCAAGCGCCGTGAATCGCATCACGTGACGCGCCCAGAGACCGAGGCTGACTTTTTGAAGCTGGATTTCGCCTCCCGTTGTGCTGTTGCCGGCCTGCAGCTGGGTCGAACCAAAGTTTTCCTCCGGCGAGAAGCCTTTGACCGGATCGAAGCTATGCGCTCTGACAAGTTTTGCGAAGCCGCGCGCACCATTCAGAAAGTTGTCCGCGGCAAATTATGCAAGATGTACTACGGACAAATGCGTCGAGCCGCCATCAAGATTCAAAGCTTGATTCGTATGCGCCTTTCAACCTTTGAGTTATACGAACGACGAGTGATATATGCTGCTGTCAAGATCCAAGCTGCCTGGCGATCATTCTATGCCCGCTTAACGTACTACGAGATTGGCTTTGCTCGAAGGGATGCCGCAAGGGCGATCCAACGAGCATACCGCAGCTACGTTGTGCGCACGAGGGAACCTCAATTTCATCTTTCTGAGGATGATATCCTTCGTGCAATCGTTGCAGTGCAAGCCATGTATCGAGGAGCGGCGGCCAGGGCCTACGTTACTGAAATATTGAATTCCTATCAGGAAGCACCAACACCTTCTCCTGTCAAGAGTTTGCCTGCCGCTGCGCCTGAACCCAGTGCTCGACAGATTGCTCTGCATGAAAGTCCTCAGAAAGAGATTGTGCCGCTGGCCGCCAACCCCGCAATGACCACCGAATTGTTTCGAGAGATTCAGATGGAAAACTGGGCAATGGTCGAGAGTATTTTGGACAAGCACCCTGAACTCGCACAGTTGCCAGACTTGAAGACCGGAGAGCTTGCACTGCACAAGATTTCACGGCACACCAGCGCGTGGACCTTGCTGATCGACATGGCCTTGGTTCTTTATCCGAAAGCTTTGGTGCATCGCGACAACATGGGGGCTCTGCCAATTCACCATGCCGCAGCTCATGACAATCTCGCAGCATTGGAGATCATTTATAGTGCTTACAAAGAAGGGATTAAGGATGCGGACAACATTGGTCGGCTTCCTATCCACGTTGCGGCTCACTACGATGCAATCGACGCCATCAAATTCCTGCTCGCAAAATCACCTGAGGGTGCTTACACAATGGTCGTTCGTCCTCAAGACAATTCTGGAGGCGGCCTTCCTCTCCACGTGGCATGCAGCAATCATGCCTCTGTCGGAGTCATCACTGCTTTGCTGGCGGAGAACTTTGCCTCTGCCAAACGCACCGATGAGAATGGTGATTTACCTCTACACTTGCTACTTCGTCGAGGTGACGGAGTGGATCCTGTGGTTGTGAAGACTCTTTTGACCTGTTTTGCCAATGCCGTGTCACGAACAGACATGCATGGTGATCTTCCACTGGCAATTGCGATCAAGAGCCGATGTCGCTCCGCTGTCATCAACGCTATTCTCATGCAGTATCCCGAGGCCGCGGGCGCCCTCAATGGAGCAGGGCACAGTGCTCTTTTCCTTGCATTCCAGCACAATGCAGATGATAGAACAATCATGGGGTTACTGAATCATGCTCCCGAGGTACGTTTTTGTTTCTTTTTCTCCCATTGCGACTTGGCTTTCCTTGTTCGACAGTCGAGCTCACCACCTTTCTTTTGTCTGTCAGCTTGCTACTGCCGTTGACAAGAAGACAGGAATGCTTCCAATTCAAGTTGCAACAGAGAATGAGCACTCCCATTTCATTGTTCACAATTTGTTGAAGCGAGACATGCCTATTGATGTGAAGGAGAAGGTCCGAGCACAGCTTGTTCCTCATCGATATTCATGGAACCACGTTGTCTCGAATACGGATGACCTGTATCATCAAGTTGTCACAAAGATATTACAGTCCTGTACACAGCCCCAAGTTTTGGCCCTCGCGCATGTGGAAGGCCCTGACGGAACCATCGCACTCGCCGCTGCTACTCCAGTCTGCAAACACGAAATGCGAGTTATGTTGCGACTCTTCAACACTCTCGAAGTTGTCAACCAAAAGCCAGCATACACGAACCCCCACAGCGACACTCAAATCTTTTACGCTTTGAGATACGACCCCCCGGCTCAAAAGAATGGAACTTACACTGTCCTTCACGACGAGCGCGACCAAAATGGCGACAACGACTACCTTGAAGATTGGGATGACTCTTCTCAGGTGTCGGCCATTTCACGCAATAGCATTCGGTCCACCCTCACAAGTCGTTCTCAGCAGACAATCGAGGACAAGCTTCGTCAGATCAGAAAAGAAAAGGGACAGCAAGTCATTGCGAAGCTCACGTCGCGCTCTGATGTTGTTGAAAGGGAGCTGAAGGTTCGCAAGGACTATCATCTTTCCCGTCACTATGTACCTGCGATCATCAGTGTCCATCATACCGTCCAGCATGCTGCTTACTCGGAGGCCATGGCGGAACCTGGCTATTGTATTACGATGGAAGGTGCTGACACAACTGCTGAAAACCTCATGCTTGACATGCGCAAAAACAAGAAGAGGTTTCCTACCAAGGCACTGAAACGCGTCGGCATTTCACTCATGCACTTGCACGAACATGGAATTATCCACGGAGACTTTGGCACGCACAACATTGGAAAGTTTGGCAGTCGGTGGAAACTCCTCGGTGTTGGCGGCAGTGTTACCCTCGGTGAGCCGACAGATCCTACACGAGGTTTCTATCATCCGCCCGAATCGATTGTAGTAGAGAACAAGAGAGGCGCCATAGGAGCGATTGGGAAGAAGAATCTGCAGGCAACCACCATGTCCATTCCTGCCGATCCAACCTACGACATTTGGGCCTTTGGTGTGGTAGTGTACGAAGCCATTGCCGGCCTTCCGCTTTCGCCCTATGCTTGCCGTGGCAAACGAGAAATGAACGCATCTGAGGTTTGCAAAATTGGTCTGTGGGATGAAAACAGCGTCAGGAAGGCTCTCAAGCATGTCCAGGACGATGATGTTGCAAGGGACTTTGTGAAGCACTTGCTACACCATGATCCTGTCAAGCGATTCAATTCTATGCGACAAGTTCTTGAGCATCCCTTTTTTTTAGGAGGGAAGGTGGAGGGTAAAAGCTCGTCCTCCGCCGACCCCACAAGCCCCACTACACTGACCACGAACAACAGCAGTGGCGCCAACGCTTCTCGCCCAACATCCAACCGCCAAACATACCCCGGCCCGTCGAACAACAGCAAGAAGACAAGTCAAACAAGAGCAGTTGACCATCCCGCTGTCACGAAGGCCGATTCAGCCGAGAGCTCAATTGAGAACTATCGCAATGGCGTCAAGAGTTCGTCGCGACGGTCTTCCGGTACAAGTTCGACTAATCGCTCGAGCCCAACTTCTTCCATGGATTCTCGACGTAGCTTTCGTGGTCTGAGGAAGATTCGAATGAGATCTGGCAGCAGACAGCAGGCAAGCTGAGTTTACTTGGATAGATAGACCGTCAGTCAGAAGTATTCGCGTGGACTGTGAAGGGCGATTGTATTACCCTTCTCGATTTCACATCTCATCTACCTTACGGTCAACGGTAGGCAGCAATGATGAACTTATTCACTATTGTAAAGTTATCATTTGGGGTTTCGTGTTGTGTCAGTTAGTTAGAAAAGGAAGGTACTGGTAGTAAAGCATAGTTTTGGACAACATGGTTCCTCTTGCCACAGCTTCATAATTTAAAAAAAACTCGGACCTGTTTTAGAAGGAAAGTTGAGACCTGCTGAAGTCAGCAGACTTCTAGCTAGCTACTGTAGAGTAGCCGGTAAATCCAACATGATGCAACATTGAAGCCAGTCTCTAGCTAGTAGGTACCGTACTAGTAAGAAGTTGGCTATCTTCAACAGGTGGGTGGCTACAACTGGTGCTTCCTCCAGTTTGATCCGTAAAGTGTGAGCCGACTTGTGCGCAGGTTCCGCAACAAGGACCTCGTTGTGTGGCTTCTAAGTCTTTGTTTACCGTATTGAGCTTTGCAATGTGGCTCCACCTCATTCTTTTGTGTCACTGTTGCGTTCGTTCCCCATGTCACCCTTTTCCTTTTGGCTTCTGCGGAAGGAAAAATACGGTCTCGTCCTTTCATTTTTCCACGGTTGTTGACAATGCTCTTAGCATCACCGCTATTGTCAGCATCGAGGCCTCCACTTCGTGCACTAACACATATGGGAGAACACAGTCAAGCTCAGTCAGCACTACTTATACCGGTCTCAGCAGATGTTTGCTTGTCAAATCCTGATGAGGGGAATGAAACACTCTCACAAGACCCACCTTTGCGACCTCGCAATAGCGGGACGATGATAGCTTCAACGACAACAGTTGCCGCTGAGGCTTTGCCAAAGCTTCCTGCCATGTCGACATTCCATAGAGTCGACGATGGCGAAACCTGCTCTAGCGAAGCCCCACCTAAGGCTGCCTCCGTCTTAACCACGTCTCAGGCTCAGACACCATCCAGGGAAATAGACGCTGTTGTTGGCCATGGTGACGAGGCTGCTGAGGTTGCCGTTCGCGAAGACGCTGAAGGGAACGAGAAAGAGCAAGACAGTGTTAGTCAGGGCGAGCGTGAGAGTCCGAGCCCAAGTCCAAGCCTAACCCTGACCAGTAGTAGATCGGCGATGCGAACTCAAAAGTTGGCATCGGCGCTCAAGACCACCAGTTTGATTAGTGGGGCAGATGGTACTGGTAGTAACAAGAAGAAGGGTAGACATCAACGCACAAAACGACGGATTAGAGGGATATGGGGAGGCGATGATTCCACGCTGTTTTCCCAGCTTCACGACGAGACGATTCTCCTAATAATGAAGAATTTTTCGATGAAGGATTTGTGTGTGGCATCCATGGTTTGTCAACGATGGAAACACCTAGCGCTCCATCAGGATTCCTGGAAACGCATTGATGCTACGGAATTTGTACAAGCAGCGCATGACTACTATGCCAAGATGGACTGTAATACCGACAACAGTGACGGCAAAATAGACCCTCCCAAATCAACTTCCAAGGCCCTTGCTGCTCATGTTGAGAAATTCACTCCCCTCTCATTATCCATTCACTCAATCCACAATCGATTATCACCAGACAATTTTTTGTCGTCTCTGCCGAGTCTACAGGAGCTTACCCTTACGGCTTTTGCCGAGTTGACCGACACTCACGTTCACGTGTTGCTACTTTCGTGCGTGTCAAAGAGATCCTGCAACTTGCGCAAATTAGCTCTGGAGCAATGCCCACGCTTGACAAATGCCACGGTTCAGTCCATCGGGAAGCTCTGTTCAGAGCTTGAGGAGCTGAGCCTCGCGGGAAACTCCAATATCACAGACCTGGCACCACTGAGCGATTTGTGGGTACTCACAACGAAACCGTCTCCACCGGTCGCCGCGGCTCCAAAGCGTGTCGCTGCCAGCCCAGCAGCTGCATCCATGTTCTCCTTATTCAGCCCTCCGCCGCCGCCACCGCCAAAGCCATCACTAGCTGACATGTTTCAACCTCCAAGGCCCTCCACTCCAACCAGTACGAGTTCATTGCAGTCCCTATTTGCTCCGCCAGGGGAATCACCACCGCGATCGGCAAACGTAATTAGAATTCTTCCACAACCGCTTTCCAAGAAAAACAGCAAGATCAAGCAACCCGCAAAGCTAGCACTCATTAACGTATCCAACACGGGCGTGACTGCAAAATCCCTGATCGCCGCCTGGAAAGCAGCGGTTCCATCTGGGAAGATTGTACGGCTGGCGCATTTGCTAATGAATGGAACGGGCGAGACATGGAAGGACACGCATCTGCGGGACATTGCCGATTTGCTGGATTTGGTCAAGCTGGAGTCACTCGATATTGGATGTAGGAATTCGTCATCGCGAACAGTCACCGACAGTGGACTCGCGTGGCTTGTCCAGGGTGCAGAGAGCGTCACCTCGAATAAGGCTCCTCTCTCTTCCTTGGTACGATTAAATCTGTCAGGACATCAATCGCTCTCCGGAACCTGTATTGCAAACACTATTGCACCGGCACAAGGGCGATTGGAAGAGCTCACTTTGAAGGACTGCAAGGGATTGTCTGTTCAGAGTGCCAATGTTGCCAAGGATCTTGCCAGCATTGATACTCTGGCCAAGGCCATTTCGTCCCTCACAGTACGGGAAACAAATGAGAAGGATGCTGCAGGCGGCAAGGGACTACGCCGCCTCTCGCTTGCCGGATGCTTCTCCAATCAATGCCTCTTGCAGAGGAACAACAACAAGAAAATGCACGAAGAAACTATTGGGTCAATTTTGTTAGAATCTTTGGGGCCACAAACTACCAAGAAGGGGGGGAAAGCAACGAAACAACACGACAATCTGCTTTCCTGTAGCACTGCTAGCACGACGCTTGTTGAATTGGACTTGACTGGTTGCTGGTTTGTAACACCATCCCATGTTGCCTCGTTAAGAGAGAGATGTCCCAGGCTCCATAAAATTCATCTGGATGGAACCAGGGCCATGCAAGCAATGTAACACACCGAGCTTTTCAGGCGCGCTCTCCTATCATACCCATGAATCACTAGAGCCCATGCATTGATACATTAATAAATTTTTTTCCATAGCAATATTCATATTGAAGTAAGCATTTCAAGAGGGAACAAACCTCCCGCTTCGTGCCTAGCCTAGCTAGAGCAGTGGAAGCAAATCTGGCTGCACTGGAAGCGTAGTGCAAAGTGTGAAGGAACATAACATTGGCACTGTGGATAAAAAAGGTAAGGCCAAGCGGATGAGCACAAACCACATCTTTTGCAAGGTTCAGGACCTTGCGCACAAACCACAGCAGCGCTACCGGTACAGCACTACTAGTACTAGCTAGTACTACTAGGTTTTGTACCAGTACTGGAGTATCCTCCTTGGCCAGCTCCTCTGTCCATCATCCATCCATCATCCATCTGCAGCTGTAGCGCTGCAGCTACCGTACATGTAGCCCCCCAGAGACCGCTATCAAAAGCTCTAGCTAGAGGCGCACGTCATTACCAGTGAGATCAATAACTAATCCAACAAATGGCCATAAATCATTGAAAGGAGAAATAGAGGGAGTTGTTCCGGAAGACAGCTCAGTATTCCTCACAATCGAAACATTGCTTTTAATAAAAATTGAGTTCGTAAGTTGCTCGGACGGTTTCTTCGATCGAAAAGGAGAAGATCTACCGGTATCAAGTATCAAGCGGCAAAGCCCCAGCAAGGTCATGAAAATGGGACTAGTTTCACGCTTTTGGGTTAGTTTCACGCTTTTTGTTAGTTTCACCGAAAATGGACCACCGTTTCCTTGAAACTAACTCAAAAGCGTGAAACTAACCCAAAAGCGTAAAACTAACCCAAAAAGCGTGAAACTAACCCAAAAAGCGTGAAACTAACCAAAAAGCGTGAAACTAATACAGTATCTGTCATAGTAAATCAACGTAAACACGACTAAAAGCGTGAAACTAACTCAAAAGCGTGAAACTAACCCAAAAGCGTGAAACTAACCCAAAAAGCTTGAAACTAACCAAAAAAGCGTGAAACTAACCAAAAAGGGTGAAACTAACAAAAAGCGTGAAACTAAGCCAAAAGCGTGAAACTAACAAAAAGCGTGAAACTATCGTTTGAGTCCCGTTTCAGGACCTTGCAGAGCACGCACCACGCACCCGGAAGCTGTAAAATCCTCGGAAGTTGGAAGGCATTTTAGTTCAACGCTGCTAACGCTGCACAAAAGCGGGGTGTTGAGTGTTGAGAAGGCTATCTGTGCTCGTTCCATCTCTCTGCATTCTCGAATCGTATTTGGTGTGGGTTGTTGATCCTTTTATGATCCTGTCTCAATCTCGCTAGCTAGTTGCTGTTGGCTTCGTCCCTTGCTGATCCCTCGAAGCTTTGCTTTGCAACGACATCAAGATTGTGCGCCTTTAGAATCGTCTTGGCGGGAGAATGCCTTGCTCTCCCGCGCAGCAGACGGCGTTGGCGGTTATACCCAAGATATCCTCGTTGCTGTCGCTGTGCGGGTCTACTTGGATTTTTATTGAAGTTCTATGGGGATGTTTACCCAACAATCAGCAAAGGCCCAGTCGTCGGAATATTAGAGCTTGTGATGAGGGCAAGCTCAAGCGAGAGCATCCTTATCACCGGTTGCTGTTTGCCATGAGCGTTTATGATATCCTGGAGAGTATCTGGAACTTTGGCTCCACATGGCCGCTCCCAACGGATACCCCCAGTGCAGCTGGATCCTTTTGGCAGCCCGTGGGGAGCACGCAAAGCTGTACCGCCCAAGGATTCTTTTTACAGCTAGCTGTGGCTATTCCAATCTACAACTGTTGCCTGTCCCTCTACTACCTCTTGGTTATCAACTATCGATTCACCGACACTCATATCGGAAAGTGGATAGAACCATCCATGCATGCGGTGGCATTTGTATGGGGGTTCGGGACCGCTCTCGCGGCCTCTGTCATGGGGTACATGAACAATGCAAATCTCTGGTGCTGGATTGCCCCATATCCCTCCGGTTGTCTCGCGGAAGATAATGGTATCGAATGCACCCGAGGTCAACACACATTTTTGATCCGATGGGTATTCTACTTCACCCCTCTTTGGACATCCATATTTGCTGCCAGTAAGTATCGATTGATTCAGCCTGATCAGCTCAGGGAAGACTGAAGTACAATCTTTCCAACTCACATCATTGTTTCTTGCCTGGCTCGACCCATCACTTTAGCTGTGTTCACTTTGATGGTGTATGTGTATGTGAAAAAGATTGACAAAAAGTCTTCTCGATACCGTGCTTTCAGTAAGTTGTGGGAGCAGCAGTAGCCAGGCCTTATTAAAAGATTGTCTCTACTAACCGAGTGTCGTACAATTGTGCCTGTTGTAGGTGACGAAACCAATAGCGGTGGCTATGCATCCGGTGTATCACAGCAGTCTAGTCGATATTTGGATGTAAATGGGAACGATGCACCTGCCAGTGACAGAAACTTGATGGTCGTCAGTGACGACGACAATAACAATTCGCAGCCTAATAATATACAACCACCAACCTCCGAGATTGACCACAACAACACAGGCCAGAATGATGATAGGAAACAAGTTGACGCGAGCGAAAGTAGTCCTGATAGGAGGAGTTTCTTGACGAAAGAAAGAGTATCATTCATGGGAACTTCAGTGAGGTTTGGGAGCTCGTCATCTTGGGGCTTGCGAAGTGCAACCAATCGGGGAAGCATGAGCGATGGAAGTGGGAACAACGGGGAAACTGCCGGGAATAGATCGAGCATCGAAAACAATCAACTGGATCCATCCGATGCATCCATGGCCACACGAAAGCAACAACGATTCTTGGAACGATGGAGGAAGCGACAGGAGGATCAACGGAGAATGAACCGAAGGACAATCGAAGTCTTTCATCAAGCAGTGTTCTATATGGGAGCGTTCTACTTGACCCATGTCTGGTCCACCACCAACCGAATCATCCAACAATTGAACGGGGGAAGTACTGTCTACGGGTTGATCTTGATCCACTCCTTCTTTGACCCATTTCAGGGGTTCATGAACTTTCTTTGTTATCAGCGTCCCCGATATTTGCGGGAAAGAAAGCAAAACTCTGAACTGGGCCGATGGTTTGCCGTCAAACGGATATTAAGGTTTTCGTTTTTGCCTGATCCAGACGTTTCTGAGACGGAGGTCTTGTTTCAGCAGGCGGCGTCGCGGTCGCAACAGTCGTCCAAGGGACCAGACCTGCGGGTGTCAGCAACGCACGGGTGCAACAGTAGTACTCTGGCCACCCTTGAGGCACCCCAACCTAGGCAAAGTTTGGTGGCTGAGTTGAGTTCCTGTTTTGAGCTTCCAATACACGAGAACGATGAATATGATGAGCTGGCTCTGTTTGAGGAGAACGAAACTCCGTTTGGTCCAGAGTTTAATCTGGTTGCCAACAAGTACCCTGATAAGAGTGGCGGCTCGAGCAAGAGTAACGAGAATCCATCACTTGATGACACCCTGGAGCCCACAGGAGCAAAACCATTTGCCCATGGATTGGACAATATGCACTCAGATGAAGCCGATCTGGAAGCTGATAATTCGAGCCAACAACCCCTCTATGCTGAATCCTTGGATGAAAATCATTCACCGAACAACAACGAGAGCACAGCTAGCGGTAGGTCGGAGATCAAGGATCCAATCAAGCACCCATCTTCTGGAACGCATGCAAATGCCAAAGTGGTCAGCTCTGGTATAGATGAATTGGATGGCGTAGCAGACAGTGAAACTAGTAGCTACCAAGAAGAACAGACCTTGTATCAACGATCTATGCACGACGGTCTGATTTCTGGTCTGCCTCATGACAGATCGACCGACACTGTCCTGATTGAGGCTGATCCTGATTTGCTTTCATTTGCTCATGGAGGCACTGGCGAGATGGAAGAGTGTTCATCTTCAGGAATATGGAGTGTCTAGTTAGCAATGGCTAGAGGGCTAGTGGACTCCCATCCTTGACTGCTCTGCAAAACTATTGCTGTGTCCCTTCATGCCGACGGGTGTACATGCATCATGAACCCGTATGGGATAATCAATCGAAGAGCGGGGCACTGCGATTCGGAAGCCGCAGCAATGATGCTGATTCTGGATGCATGGCACTCAAAGCGATAGTTGCATCCAGGCCCAAGCGCTGGTGAAGGCAATGATGAAAAAACTGCATGCAATTTGAAAGGACGATCTTGAAGCCGACACAGGCAATGAGAATGCTACGTGACCCTCGCCTGCAGTGAAAACTTCAGGGCTGTCAGAACAGTCAAACTTTCCGTCACTCAGGAAGTCGTCGCAGGCCGCCCCATAGCCCAACAGCACAGTGGCCTTGCAGGTGGTATTGTAAATACCATTTGGATTCCTTGGATTGTAGATTCCTTCCAGACGCTCTCGATCAAATTCAACCACGCAAGTCTCCCCTCTGCATTTTACAACGGAGCTGTCGAATCTATACAAGTCGTTGTCATCCCGTGGGTACACATTGGTAACTGATCCATCAATAGCAATGTCCAATTTTGTAACATCGTTGATGCAAACTCCTTCCGTCACGTTTGAGATGGAAACCGCTACCCGCATGTACAGATTCTTCACTATGGGAACTGGTTCTTCCAGATATTGTTCGCTGGAAGCAGAGCAAGTAATGCCAGTCTCCTGTCCACTTACAACATAATGATAACTTTCGCCGAACACTTTGTCGTTGGAGACAGCAGCATTCCTCGATTCGGTCTTGACCCCATCTGGTCCAAACTTGATACATTCAGTTGCTCCAAAGTCTCCCTGGACACGATGAATCTGTTTGCCATCAACTGCCACATCAATGAAACCGTCCGCAAATCCGTCTCTGCCAGCATCCGTCACCACCAACACGTACTCATCTCGAGGAACACAAAAGTTCATGATACGAGTGTCATTGCCAACCCCTTGTTCCCGTAAGAGACTCATGTCAATGTCCCGTTCCAGGTTGAATATCGGCTCGTTGTTGTTGCTATTGAAAGGAGCGAGTTCCGCATGGACGCTAAGAAAATCGGAATCGAACTTCATTGTCACGTTGACCTCCATCTCTCCTTGGACGCAGATGTCAGTATGGTCTCGATAGAGAAGCCATTGACGCATCATGCGCAGGTTTTGACCACAAGTGAATTCTCCGTGCCCTTGTGCCAAGCAGGATTCGGGTCCGACGTAATTCATGTAATTGAACACTGGATCGACTCCTGGCAATTTTGGACAAGAGTTGGGTATTTCCTCCCCGGGCTGTTCGTAGAAAGTCGAAGAACATGGGTACATCATGATGGACGGCCGGGGCAGAAAGGGCGTGTCGTCCACAAAATCCCCATGATCCACATTGATTGGATCACACGGATCAGACTCGTCGTTGCTGTCCTCTTCATCGGGCAACGTTTCACTTTCGAATACATGCAAGAGCCCGAGCCAATGGCCGATTTCGTGGACAAGAGAAATGCCGGTATCGTAGTTCTCCAATCTATAGAAGCAGTTCCAATTCCATATAGTTTGGTGGTTTCAATGAGCATAACATCAAATGGGTGTGATGCTTGGAGAGTATCAATGACACATCAACCAACAAAGCTTCTTTACGTACCCTCCTCCCGTCAACGTATCATAAGCCAAATAAATTCCATCAGACGTCCGATCCAGTTGGTAGGACGGATTGGTGGCTGCTCCAATGGTGAGGCAATTCGTTTCTTGCCATATGAACATGTGACCACAGATACGATAGTTCAGATAAACATTCAAGGTTCTACGATCTCCCTGGTGAGCTTGCGTGGCATAGTCATTGGATTTGTACACATTTCCAGCGTAGACAAACGCAAAGCTGTTTCGCACGTGGACTGTAGAATTTGCGGGGTCACTGTTCATCCAGTTGAATTTGAAAGGCGAGTCGGCATAACGCGTGTTGATGACATTGACAGTGTCTTGGATCAACTGATAGATATCGTGAACGGTCGAAAAGCGACCTGGAGAAGAAATGTCAATGTCTTCGTTATTGATTGTTTTGTTGCGCAGTTCCTGGCGTAACATTCGGAATTCGTCCGAGGGATGAGGAATCACCCAGGCACTCGATTCGTTCTGGTTGTCCAACGGATACCCTGACAAATGAAAGTAGGTGTCAATCTCGATGCATTGTTTGCAGAGTTCTTCGCACGGAGGGAGTGCAAGCTTGCGGCCTTGATGGTCACTGGGACTGCCAAACAAAGCAGTCATTCGCTGCAAGTCCAGTTGCCTTTCGAACGCCGTCAGATCTCGAGTTCCACATAGTTCTTGTTGTGGAGGTTGAGGTAGTGCTTCGTTCCCATTGACCAACAGAAAACTGCAAACAAGCAGAAAAGGATTCTTGTGTTTGAATGTCATTGTATTTTGGAAATGGGGATTGAATATGGGAAATCTGAAAGATTGTGGTATCTGCTATCTGCTTCTTGTGCTCTCGATTGACAAGAACATGTATCACGCCTTGCAGGCCAAGAAAGCCCCTTGCCTGATCGTAGCATGAGAGCCCCAAGATGCGAATATCCAGTGATATGGTGGTCGCATGATTGTAGTGTCCTACGGTGACATTTATTTATTTGCTCACTCTTTTGGTGGAGAGCGTCGCGCCAACGAGAATACTAAGGCCGGTTAGCTAAATGGCTACAGCAGTATCGCTTCCGAGTACTGGTACCGTATGAACTCTGCACTCTACTCTAGTACTGGGTAAACTCTAACCCCCCAAATCCCAAATACACTGTCACAGCTACAGTACGGACGTCCCTGAAAAGCGATATACCACTCTGATCTACTGCAAATCAACCTAAACCAAAACTTGTTAAGTTTGTTATCTAGACCAGTAACAAGCCAACATTGCCATCCACAAACTAGCTAGA